TAAAAATCTTCATCGCTTTTTTCAGAACTTTTAGTGATACAGTCCAGAATACTCCGAAAAACATGCTACAAGAGTTTTGGTTTGTGATAATTTATCTTACTTTTCAAATAAATTTATGGTTACCACTGATTTTGATATCTTGTAGTTGAAAGCGTTTTATGTTTTTCCGATCATTGAGAGAAAGAAAATGAACTTTCAGAGCTTAGTTATGTTATTATTCTATTTCACAAATTGCTTTTATTTGTTGATATCTTAGCAGTTTATGTTGTAATTGTAGATTTTTCTTGCAACTTACAAAACCAAAACTGAGACACTAAAATTAGATTTAAAGAAGGAGTACTAGTAAAAACTAAAAACTAAAAAGAGAAGCTTCTAATAATAAAATCTGGGTGGGTCAAAATCCATAGATTGACTAAACCTGAATCGAAAATGTTAATAGATTCTGTAATAAGACCCACTGGTCCATAACTGTATGCTCTACTCTCTACGTACCAATAGGTAATAAGAGACGTCCCGTCACTCCCATTATTTGGCTTTACTTTTATGATTCTGGGGTCCATCTTTATTCTTTCTACCCTTTTTATCATCAATATTCAATTAATTTAAATCTAAATGTGGTCGCAAGCTTAAAACTCTATAATATCACACTTTTATTAATGAAAAACATACAGATTTAATAAAATTTTAAAAACTACAAGAGCATAAAAAATTATTTCTTCGTTTCACATTAATTATCAATAGTACAATTTTCACTAGAATTTTATTAACACTAACTTTTAATCTAATAAAATCATTGCAGGTTCTAAGTAAAAAAATTGCAGCTTTAGTTTTACAAGTGCCTGAAAACACGCGGCATAATTACCCCTATCCGCTTGTAATTTTTTATTCTACAGCTTTCTCTCTGCAGCTGTGTATGTCATAGGAGTACATTCCAACTGTTATTTTATTTTTTTCCAACGATCCTATTAATTTTTACTGTACCGTTTATTAATATACATTTAAAGCGGATATTAGATAAATAAATTGGACCAACAAAACTACACAATTTAATGTGAACATTAGACTGAGTCTGTGGCGACTCGTGGTCGTGACTCTGAACGACGTCGTAATGAAAATAGCTCTCCGTAGCATGAGTGACACGTGTGCAGAATCGACGGTCAGGAGAGATCCTAGGGAAGTTGAGAGAGGACCGTGTGTGAATTACGAAGCCGTCGAACGGCGTGCAAGAGCGCGTGCGGCTCGATTCTTACGTTGTTAAATAAGGACCGTCCGATCAAAATATATAGATGCGTGCGCGAAGGCACATGCCGTTAGGACTCATTCTCGATGACCATCACGTGTCGTCTCGTAATTGGCTACAATTGCAAACTCCGTTTTATCATTGAAAGGCAAAAAGACAGAATAACCTTTTTATCTATTGGTAATAAAACATTTTAATGTTACTGTATTAATAAACGAGCTAATTTATGGTGCCTTTTTAATGGTAGCAGTAGCACTAAATTAATTACTCCAAACTCCAAAGCTATTAATTTAATGGACACAAATCCTAATAAACCCAGAACAGTTATTTGGGACCTTTATTCAAATTTTATCGAAATCCGATCTTTTTATCCCTTTTTAATCTTACCATTTTTCTTATTAATAAAAAGACTCGTAAACAATGAAAATGAAAAGAGAAAAAATAGGAGAATAGAATTTGAACGGTTAAGAATATGATAATCACGAATATGGCATGATATTATAGTTGGAGTGGGTTACTTGGCGAAAGAATCAAATAGAATTTTCATACATATGGAAAGTGACGTGTTCTTATTTGAGTTATTTCTGCAAACATTACCTAATTCTCGTATTATTATTCCAACATTACATATTCGATATCTACGCATCTCATTTGCTCAAATCATGTTCATTTGACTTGAGAGCTGAAAGAACTCGCTCACCACACTCTAAACACATGCTAAATCCGTCAATTTAGTTGATTTTCTGTGTCCACTAATCAATTCTTGTTCTATTACCACATTCATAAGATTTGAGACCACTATATATTACACCAATATGGAAGTCTCTTTTTGATGATATAACAAAGTGAAACTAATGACAGTAAGCAAATGTATGAAACTGTTTTGAAAATAGGAATCGCTCTTGGCTATTGCTAAGGTAAGGGATGATGTGAACTGTGAAGCGAAGAAACGGCGCCGTGTCGGTCCAAAAAATCATTTGCAAAATAATTATAAAAGGGACACGTGTCGAGAATACGCTAACGTACGCCCAGCCCTCTCTTTCCCTCTTACTCAACCATTGATTTGCCGTCCACTTCACGCGTGCCCAGCGGTCAAAATTTTCAGACGCAAAAGCACCAAATAATGCTTTTCACTTTTTTCGTTAAGTTCTTGATTTTTCATACTTTTTTGTTGCAAGTTTCCACTCTATATAAGACAAAATAGTAAAGTTTTAAGATTCTGATTGATAATCTGCATAAAACTTATCTTTTTGATAAGGTTATACTAGTATTTTGTTTATGCTAAGAGTTATAAACTGTTAAGTTTAGAGAGAACATGGTAAGATGGTATCACTTCTTGGGAATGAGTTCGATCTATTGAGAGCAAACATAACATTTATTAAAATACTCCTAATGGGATATGCTAGTTGTTACACGACTTCCAAATGGTCGAGAATGTCTGCTTGACATATTGGAATCCGTGATACGTTTTTGATCCATGTATCTTTGTGGTTAAGACAAGCGGTTTAGGACGAGCCTTTGAAGATCAAAGAGATCAGATGAGACTTAAGAGTGAAAAATATCATGGGTTATGATGCTACATAGGACTTCGTTTTATTGTTTCTTTCTGATATTTGATAATTGTGTTTTAAAAATCCGGAAATTCAATATGTTCAGTTTTACTATGTTTACTAATAAATACTTCCTCCGTTTCATAATAAATATCGTTTTGACTCTTGATCTACCCAATGTATCTAGATGTATATGGATGTATTAAGACTTAAAACACATCCAAATACATCAATAGATAGTGCAGATTCATTTTGTCAAAACGACACTTATTATGAAACGAAGGGAGTACATGAAGGAAAGCGATTTTCGTTTATATATCCGATATAAATAATTAGTGATAGGGAAAAGTTATATGGTTTCATACCACAATACAGTGATTGCATGTCAATTATATCGTCGCAGAGATGATAAAATAAAAGTCAAACTAAAGATGTATTAGTGACAAAAAAAAGTCTAAGGATGTACCAGTACACTACACACTTATACAGTCTACACAATTACAGACGATTAATACACATGTGTTTTAGGAGTATTAATTAGATATTAATAACGAGACAAAGTATGCTGCCACATGTACAGAACTAAATATCTTTCCCTTTTTTTGTAGCTAGATCTAACAAAAGATATTCAAAGATCAACTTCTATGCAAACACAAGAATTACACTTCCAAGTTCAATTGTCCTTTTACATAATTGGAGGTAATACTTTTAAAAGGTTCGTCTTCTCCATGACATTGTTTTTTACATCTACGCCAAATACTTATTCTAACAATATTGAGTATTAACAAATAACAAGAAATATGGAAAGGAAAAAGAGCACCGGCTGAAAAGGTTGCAAGATACACTTCCTCTCTTAATCCTCTTAGGCTAATTGCTAGTATACGCTACTTTGACATTCCCTTCTATCGTACGCACCTTCTCTAAATCTTCTAAAGTCTCACCACTCACGTTCCCTTTTCGAAAATCTGCCGCAGAAAAAGAAAAACATTTTTGGGAAAGCATATATTATTGCTACGAAAAATGAAACCTCCTTTGACATAAAGTTAATCATTTTTAATATTTGGCTTAATTTGTTGCATGATAAAAGAAAATATATATTTCTTGGTTAAAAAATCAACCAAAGTTGTTGAAAAAGTAAGGCACTTTTGAAGAGAAAAAATAATTGTAAATACCTATGCATTATATTATTATAAAAATATAAATATATAGTCACTCATAGTACTTATTTTAAGCTTTATTAGTATCTGCCTTATAACATAAGCATTTAAAGTACTTGTACATTCAACTACGTTTCTGTGCGTATCAGAGATTACGTGTGCTTACTCTACTTTATTAAATTTTGACGTAAACTGTTGTAACATTAATTAATTTACATTTAAAAATGTATACTACTATTTTGTTTTCTTCGATCACCAAAATATATTGTAATTAATTAATGTGAAAACAATAAAATATAATATTATTCGTTTTGAGAGTCTAAAGCTGCAACGGCATCGCCATATACAGAAAGTGTAAGCGCAGGATAAGAGCATGCACACTCTTTCCCATTTCCAAGCAAATAAAACCTATACATACACACACATACTCATACACGCTTATATACATCTAGAGAGAGAAGAAAAATGTGGCCTTTTTCAGAGAAATAAACAAAAAAGCCAAGTTTTTATTTTGTTTACAAAGGAAAAAAGCTTTTGTCTCTCTCTCAATTCCTTCTTGTTCTTGTTTGCATCCGGAAAACAAAAGAAACTGTTGTTTCATGATGGCACCTTTGGTTTCTCTTCTTCATTGAAGGGTCGAATTTGGTTCTGAGAGAAAAGAAGAGAGAGAAAAAAGGAGAGAGAGAGAGAGAGAAAGAAGCAAAAGCCCCACAAGAGAGACATGCTTGTCTGTGTGTAGTCCCTTTTTGTATGTTCTTTAATCTCTCCCACTCTCTTCCGTTCTGTTTTTGTCATGTGTAAGAATTTTGTCCTTCAATTTTGGAGTTTTCTTTAACCAAAAAAAAAACAGATTCCATGAAATGGATTCGTCTTTAATTCTTTTGGTTTCTGGATTTATCTTGTAGCCTGTTTGCTCAATAGGGCGCTTTGTCTCTACTTGGGGTCCAAAATAGAAAAAATGAAGACTTTGTCAAGAAAATAAATCTGAGTCACGCTTAAGGGCCTAGTGTTGAGTGTGGGGAGAGACAAAAACAGAACATACAAAATCTCTCTATGATGGCTTCATTGGCTTGTGTTGAGGACAAGATGAAAACAAGTGGTTTTATGAGTAGTGGAACAACGGCAACAACAACAACAACGTCTCAATCTAGTCTGCTTGAAGAGATGAAGCTGTTGAAAGATCAGTCAGGTTTTCATCTTCTTTCTTCCTTGCAAAATTCCATTTTTGAAAAATCCACACGCAACACTTTCTTTGTGTGTTTACTTTTGTTACTTCAGAAAGAAACATACAAAAAGGTCTAATCTTTTTCGTGTTAGTTCTGTCTAGAATTTGAATCAACGAAGTAAAAGTTTCATAATTTACGCCAATCACACACTGAAATTGTGGTTTTTAAACTTGTTCAGGAACGAGGAAGCCAGTAATAAACTCGGAGCTATGGCACGCTTGTGCAGGGCCTTTGGTTTGTCTCCCTCAAGTTGGGAGCTTAGTGTACTACTTCTCACAAGGTCATAGCGAACAGGTAACTTTTGTGTTTCTTTACAAACACACTGTAGCTCACTAGATCTTGTAAGCCCTTGTTCAAAGGTTTGAATTTCTTGTTAACTTTTTGAAATCAGGTTGCTGTTTCAACCAGAAGATCAGCAACAACCCAAGTTCCTAATTACCCAAATCTTCCATCTCAGTTGATGTGTCAAGTCCATAATGTTACTCTTCATGTATGCCTTTTCAAAAAATATCTTTTGCTTAGTATGCAAACTTATTGCAACCAGTGTTCATTTCTCTTGACAATGGTTTTGTTACATTTTATAGGCAGACAAAGACAGTGACGAAATCTATGCACAGATGAGTCTTCAACCTGTACACTCTGTAAGTTTCTATTCTTGTAACTTCCTTTTGTATGCTTTAATAACTCATTTTAAGAGTCTAATGACTTTTAAACGGTTTGTGCATCAGGAGAGGGATGTGTTTCCAGTACCAGACTTTGGGCTAATGAGAGGAAGCAAGCACCCAACTGAGTTTTTCTGCAAAACACTAACTGCGAGTGATACAAGTACACATGGAGGCTTCTCCGTGCCACGTAGAGCTGCAGAGAAGCTATTTCCACCTTTGGTAAGTCTCTCTTTACCCTCAGGAAAAAGAAACATTTGTTCCCTTTGGTAATTGTCGCTTAACTTATGTATAATAATATATTACAGGACTACACAGCACAGCCGCCAACGCAAGAGCTTGTAGTTAGAGATCTGCATGAGAATACTTGGACATTCCGCCATATCTATCGAGGTATATATATATATATATAACCACTATATTTCTCTCTCTCTCTCTCTCTGTTTCGATTCAGTTGATACTGACCTCAGTTCTTGCTTGCATTCCCAGGACAACCAAAGAGACATCTCCTAACAACAGGATGGAGTTTGTTTGTTGGCTCGAAAAGATTGAGAGCTGGGGATTCTGTTCTGTTCATAAGGGATGAGAAGTCGCAGCTGATGGTCGGTGTGAGGAGAGCCAATCGCCAACAAACAGCACTTCCTTCATCAGTTCTCTCAGCGGATAGTATGCACATCGGTGTTCTTGCTGCTGCAGCTCACGCAACCGCAAACCGCACTCCTTTCTTGATCTTCTACAATCCAAGGTTAGCTCAAAAACCATCTCCAATTCTCAAACTTGTAAAACATCTTCTCACATGACTAAACCAAGAACTCTCATCGTGTTTCCTTCTCAGAGCGTGTCCAGCAGAGTTTGTGATCCCTCTAGCTAAGTACCGCAAGGCTATATGCGGCTCACAGCTCTCAGTTGGTATGAGGTTTGGAATGATGTTTGAAACCGAGGATTCAGGGAAACGTAGATACATGGGAACCATTGTTGGAATCAGTGATCTTGATCCATTGAGATGGCCTGGTTCTAAGTGGCGTAACCTTCAAGTTGAGTGGGATGAGCCTGGCTGTAACGATAAGCCGACTCGGGTCAGTCCATGGGACATAGAGACACCTGAAAGTCTCTTCATTTTCCCTTCTCTGACCTCAGGACTCAAACGCCAGATCCATCCATCTTATTTTGGTAAGTAAAAAATGAAAGTGTGTGCCTCTTTCTTTATGAGATATGAAATTTTGCATCCTCAAATCTTTGTTATGAAAATTTTGCAGCTGGTGAAACAGAATGGGGAAGTTTGATCAAGCGGCCTCTTATTCGTATTCCTGACTCTGCCAACGGGATTATGCCTTACGCATCATTCCCAAATATGGCTTCTGAGCAGCTTATGAAAATGATGATGAGACCTCACAACAACTCAAATGCAACATCTTTCATGTCTGAGATGCAGCAGAATGGTTTGATGGGGCATGGAGGTTTACTTGGAGATATGAGGATGCAACAACCAATGGTAATGAACCAGAAGTCTGAGATGGTGCAGCAAGAGAGCAAGCAAACAACAATGAACCCTTCTGCTTCTAATACGAGTGGCCAAGAACAGAATCTGTCACAGAGTATGAGTGCTCCTTCAAAACCTGAAAAACCAACACTTTCTGGTTGCAGCTCACAGAGTATGAGACTCAATCATGGACATGACCAGTCAATGGAACAGACAAGCCAAGTGTCTAACGAGGAGAAGACTAATCAGCTGATGCAGAAACCGACTGCTTTGTCTCCTTTACAAGCTGATCAGTGTCCTGACATGAGTCAGCAGATATACACACCACAGTCTGATCCAGTCAATGGATTCTCTTTCCTGGAAACTGATGAGCTGACATCACAAGTTTCTTCCTTCCAGTCTCTTGCCGGATCATACAAGCAACCATTAATGCTGTCCTCCCAGGATTCTCCAGCTCTTGCGTTACCAGACTCGACAAACTCGTCGCTGTTTCACGACGTGTGGGACAACCAGCTGAACGGTCTCAAGTTCGACCAGTTCAGTCCCTTGATGCAGCAAGATCTTTACGCTTGTCAGACTATGTGTATGAGCAACAGCACAAACAGCAACATCCTAGATCCTCCACTCTCGAACACAGTTCTTGATGACTTCTGCGCCATGAAAGAAACCGATTTCCAGAGCCTCCCTGCTGATTGTTTGGCTGGGAACAAGAACAACAACACTAGCTTCGCTCAAGATGTCCAGTCGCAGATCACATCTGCTAGCTTTGCAGACTCACAGGCCTTCTCTCGCCAAGATTTTCCAGATAACTCTGGAGGCACTGGTACTTCTTCAAGCAATGTTGATTTTGATGACAGCAGTCTGCTGCAGAACAGTAAAGGCTCGTGGCAGAAAGTTGCAGCACCACGTGTCCGAACCTACACTAAGGTAAAAAAAAATTGTCATCTCTCATTCCTTTTCCACAGTAAACATTCTGGTGTCATGACCTGACATGAAACTTTGTGGTGTGTGGAATGTTTTTGGTTTGGCAGGTTCAAAAAACCGGGTCAGTTGGGAGGTCGATTGATGTCACAAGCTTCAAAGACTACGAGGAGCTAAAGTCTGCCATCGAGTGCATGTTTGGACTTGAAGGATTGCTCACTCATCCGCAAAGCTCTGGATGGAAGCTTGTATATGTTGATTATGAGAGTGATGTTCTGCTTGTAGGAGATGATCCATGGGAGTAAGTCTTTCTCACTGTCCCATGAGTCCATTAACTTAAACTTCACTTGCTGTATATTGTTACAATATGTTTCTAACATAACTACTTAAACTGTTGCAGAGAGTTTGTGGGATGCGTAAGGTGCATAAGGATACTGTCGCCAACAGAGGTCCAACAGATGAGTGAAGAAGGAATGAAGCTTTTGAACAGCGCAGGCATTAACGATCTCAAGACTTCTGTTTCATAAATGTAGCATTATGTAAACTAGTATCTCCTGCTGATTTGTAACAAAGAAAAAGAGAGAAGAAACTGTTCTTTTTCGAATTGGTAGGAGAGAACCATCTTGTTGTAAGCATATGTGTTGTTCCGATTTGAAACTTAAAACTGTTATCTTATTTATATATGTAGTAAACTAAACAATCACTTCTTCGTTGTCTTATGATCATTAGATCAAGGGTCAAGCTTCGTGTCGTTAAGCTTTTTTACTGTCTTCTGCACAATGATAAACATATTGTATCGAAAATCACCTCAAGAGAACTAGTGATAGTATAATTACTACTGTGATGGTGAGCCAAAAGATACTCACTGATTAATTCTACATTTGTGGCTTGAACAAAGAAATGTATCGAAAAAGTATAACGAACTTGTATAGCAGCAAAGCCAGGCAAAGAGAAAAGAGAAAAATTGCTCTGCTACTAACGACAAGCTCTCTCTAACCAAGAGGCAAAGAGCAGGAGTGGTCTGCTAATACTCTGCTTCAGTCCCTGTCAAATCTCATTCTTTTTGCACTTTGCATCTCGGGACCGTTCATGTTACCATTGTTTAGATTCCTCGGCTGGTAAGAAGGTGTAGGATCGTGCTGGAATGAACAGTTGGCTCCATGGCGACAACCCCTCGGGGTGTTGAAGTACAAGCAAGGTTTCATCATCTTGGGCTTTGAATCCCTTGGCCTCTGGTTAATATTGTTATTGCTATTTACCATCTCAGGGTTAGGTCCTCCAGGTTGGAGGTTGTACCGATAACCACCGGGATGTTGTTGAACTGGCAGCGGCGGCGGCTGCTCTTGTCTTTCCCCGCCATGTTGCTGAATCAGGTTCTTGTAATAACTAGCATCTCTTGCTGGTGGTGGTGCTCCATAGTTGAGCTGGTCTGACGGCACTGGAGGAGGATACACCACGGGAGGAATATGGTTTACCGTTGGCTGAGGGTAAAAGTGTCCGTTTGAGGAGGCAGGTGCTGTGGTTACTACTCCGTTAGAGTCATGCGTTGAAGATTGGTAGAGGTTACTTGCGTTGGAGGAGAATGAACTTGCACCGCCGCGGTTTGTAACAAGATTCTCGACCAACTTAGGGTTGCTTAGGATTTTAAGAAGAAGGTCTTGGTCGATCATGCTGCTGCCTTGTTCTTTGCTGTTTGAGATTGCGGATAATGCAGCCATTATTTCTGAGCCTGCAGGAAGGGTCGTTGAAGGTGTAGGTGTTGGTGAATTCACATCGGTTGTCGACGGCTCTGTTCCAACATTTACACCAGATTGGGTTGGGAAATCAGATGCTGGATCATTCGCTATGTCATCGTCTTCTACAGGTAGGATGGGTATGACAACGGTTTGCTGATCATCGTTTCGTGAGTTTTCAACATCTGCTAGAACCGAAGGGCTGCAGATTTGAGTTTAAGAAAAGAAAAGACCCAAGTCAGAAAATAAGTCAAGAGGATGTACAAATGTATGTGTTGGAATAATATGGATAGATCCGCACTTGGGGGGGATAGCTGATGCACCAGGATAGAATGCTTCAAGAACTCTCAGTTCCCTCTGATTTTGTGACTCCACTTCTTTGCTTTCTTCCCCTGCAACCACTCTCCATTCCTCGTCTAGCAGAATCTGCAAGAGCACAAGTTATTTCAGGTTAAACATATTTCACCATCATATATACAGCATTATTGTCAGTATCCTAAAGGCAGAACATATGAACATCCTCAACTAGATTAAATACAACCCTACAAGGGTAACTTAACTAAGAGCACCCAACCAATTTTACCACATTAAAATTTGGTTACACACTTGATCTAAATTTCAGAGGTATATGTAAACTAGAAGTGTACAAATCTTGGCATTTTGGGGGAATTGGAATTAGTACTTTCAAAGATTTAATGATTCAAACTAAAAGTAAGGCATAGAGGGTGCGACCAGCAAGCTCACCCGGACAGGGCATTTCCACTTGATTACTGGGATGTCTGATAACTTAATCTGTGGCTCATTGGCAGAAAGAGGTCCACCAAAACCAGGTGGAAGATTATCATCACTCGGATGTGAATGCCATGAGGACTTTGCTTGCAGGTGATCTTGAGATTCTGATCCAACTTGTGAAGGTGAATCCTCTGATATGAACAGCCGTACCTTCTCAGCAAAAAAAAAAAAAAAAAACAGATTGTCAACTGACATGTACACAAAGTCATGCTACTTGGAATCACATGTAGACCGCAGAGAGGAATCACAACACACACAAAAAGAATATACACATCAAACCAGTTATCTCTAACATGCAATCCAAAGACAGTAAAAAAGGGCTCGACCTCATTAACGTTTTACAAGAATCCCGGTTGTTTGAAAAAGCTTAACGAAAGAAACAATCAATGCCGTAACATATAAGAAAAGGACCTCATAATCCAGAGGTCGCCTAACTAATCAACTGCTTTCCAAACCATGTATACATAAAATAACTTGGAAAATGGTGACATTCCTCCCCTTAGCAACCTCCTCTTCCTCCCTCCCAATTAGCAACTTAGCTGGACAACAAGCTATATTACCAAAGTATTTTCCATCAGCAAAAACGTTGCAAACGACAGCATTCAAGAGTGTGTGAATGCATAACATGTCACCATGCCGAATACTTTGTTGAAGTTAGCCAAAACCCCTTTGGTTTTCTTGGTTCCTTCTCTTGCATACCTCACCACTGACTACATTGATCTCATGATGGAACTCGATGTATCTCAGGACTATGCCCTTATCCAAAGAAGCAAAACATCGGCAAATAATTTTAGACTATGATGCAAGAAAAATCAAAAAGGAGAGCAGAGTTTTATATGTACTCCAAGAGCTCGAGATAACTGATAGTCAGGTTTGCCTCCATGGTTCCACACTTATTTTCCAAGAACTAACAAAGTTGCAGGCAAGCATAATTTAAAACCCAGAGTACAGATAGACACTATAAACAATCTAATTCTCATGCTCCTCAAATCATGACCAAGCAAAAGTTAATTATAGTCATCGAAGTAAAGGATGTAAAGGGACATTAATGAATACAATAGTCAGCTGAATCAAATCACAGAGTAAAACAAAACAAACATCAATCATCGACAGCATAGATAATTCATCATCACTGATATACATTTTTCTGAAGTTTCCAGTAATTGTATCATTTGCTAGGGAAATTAAAAAAAATAAGCATCACTCATACACACCATTGAAGCTTAATGTCTTTACCTGACAAAGTTTAAAATCTGGTGGCCAAGATACCCTTTTGGATTTGTGCAATGCCCGCATAGTTACAGAAAGCTCACTTCTTTTCAATCTAAAATTTCTTTTTCAAATGAAATTGATTTCGAGGACTGTCCAATTTGCCTTTAAAATCTCAATAAATTAATCAAAAGCCAGCATAACTCTCTTAGATTGAACCAATCGTCATCGTTCTCATCGAGAAACCCTGATTTTTTTTTCCAGGAAAGCTTTTTGAGTGTCGATATTGGAGAAATTGAAGAAGAGAAGATGATGAATTTATAAAAATCCAGAGAGAGGAAACATCTGCGTGCTAAATCCGTCGAAGCCGATGTGAAGCCCTAGATCCTCTGGGCTCTTCTTCTGGTCACCATCGTCATTTTATCTGTCCTCTGATTTTTCTTTTCTTTCTTTCCTCCGCCTCTATACACGTGTCTTCACAACCGTACCCTCTTAATGTTCGTCATTTCTCCAGATAATCCACAGGTTAATTCTATTTCCAAAATTGCCCCAGTATTTATGATTGTTGCGTACGAATTTTAATTTCTTTTGGAAACACAGTCCATAGCAGCCATTGACTCACAGTTTCTTTCTTTTTTCTGGTAAACAAACATGTTAAGAATTGACTCATAGTTATGATCCGACAATCCCACGAACCACATTATTGTTTCTCATATGTGTACTGCCAAATTTGTATGGTAAATTGATTGAAATTTAGACTTGTATTCTGAAACAAATGTGTAATAAAGTTACGGTTGACAAATTAATCAATTCAGATATAGGTTTAGATTGCACTTTTAATCGATTTCTCGTTTATCATAAAAAACGTAAGTGTTTCAGTTTCTTTCTTTTACTTCGAAAATGTTAATTTGTATGCCATCCTAAGAATTTCTGCAGGAACAAAATATTATCACACGACTTTTGAAAAGTGAAGTTCTAATCCATTGATCACACGACAGGTTTCACTTTTAGTTGAGCAGGTTATGTCCGAAAAATCCAACACCAAACCAAACAAAACCAAATAATCCCATAGCCACAAAAATCAAACAAATTTTTGAAGGAATAAAAGAAAACGATTCTATACAAAAGACTATCCTCTCGCTCCACTCTCCTTTCTTCTTCTTCACTCCTGTCACTTATGGTTGTCTCTGAAACTAGAGTTAAGGATTGTCTGAAAAAACAACCAATCATCAAATAATTCCGCAAATCACCCGAATTCACACCGGTCATCTTCTTCATCTCTGCCATTTTCTATCTGTAAAAAGCAAAGCCAAAATCAAACATTTTCTCACTAACATTCAAAGCATCAAAATACACCAAAAGTGAATTTGCAGATAAACGATAGAGGGAGAGATTTGTTTACCCTTTGTTCCCGGTTGCGCTTGAGAAGCAGACCGTTGGATTCTTGGAGATCCTTGTTTCCCATTGGCACCAACAGGCAACGAATGTCTCTTCTTGGCTGAAGCAGCGTCTCTCTCCTGTAGATCAGGACTTGACCTCGGTGAGTTATGTTCTTGAACCTTAGCTTTCGCCGACTGTGTTGGCTGCATGAACCGAGGGAGAGAGTTCTTGCCTCCGCTGCCTTCTCTTGCTTCTTGATCATACCCGAACGAATTTCTCCTCCCGCTTTTCTGTTCTCTCCCTTCTTCTTGCTCATTACTAGCCTCACCGGTGCCAGTTTCCTGTTTCGGACTTGATGTTGTTATTTTCTTGCTAACGTTCCGCTTTTGGCTCGAACCGCTCTTTTCGGATTTCCCCTTTCTTGCTTTAGTAACTGAGGAAGATGCTTGACTCGCCGGTGTCGCCTGAGACTCACTGATTGTCATCGGAGTTGAAGCTTCCTCAGGTAAAGAGTAAGCTTGAGGACCTGATTCATCTTCTGCCCTTCTCTTTTTGGAATCTGGTGTACTAATAACTGATTCATGCTGTTGTGTCGGCGCAATCTCAACTGTCTCCTTAGGGTCCTCTACAGTAGCCAATGGAGTTTCATCTTTAACATCAATCTCTATCAAGTCTGCTTGGTCTGCTTTGATAGTCTCATGCTCTAAAAGCTTACCTTCAACCTTGGGATCTGCACCCTCACCGTCTGACTTCTTGTCAAGTGAATCAAGAGAAGAAGTTACAGAGAGCTCAGTGCCACATTCAGATCCGTCAAGAGCAACATCTTCCACAGAGTGATCTTGTTTAGTGTTTGTAGTGTTAACCTCTGATGATTCCACATCTGTTTTGGTTTCTTCAACCAAAACACTATCTTTAGAAGAAGAAAGCGTCATTGCTTTGTTTGAGCCAACAAATGAAGTTAGTTCCTCAAACTTGGACTGCGCGGCAATGAAAGAAGGGTTGCTTGCCTTACGCTTCAAAGAATGTTTAGGCTGTTCATCTACATATTCAGGCTCTTCGAGCAAAGCATCTGGATCCTTAGCAGCAAGTGGATGAGACTGGATCGAGTCATGATCAACCTCCGCAGATGCTTCTGGTGAATCATATTGGCTCATTTTCTCTGTCTCGGATAGCTCCACATGCTGAGCTTCGACCTTACTCGCTTCATAGCTTGAGGAACCAGTTTTAGTTTCGGTCTCTACCGCTGAATCAGAGTTCACCAAGTCTTTGACATTCTCTGTTTCTTCCAAGTGTTGTTCTTCGGCTGCCACATCTGCTTTGGAAGTCTTCTCAGGCTTAGAAACAGACATCCACCTCTCCAACCAGTTCCAAGCAGAGCTAGGTTTTGTTGGAATTGGATCACACTTAATGCTGATAGGCTTCGTCTTGGGAGTTGACTCCATTAGCTAATAATCAAAATATGCAAGAAAATGAGTATACAAGAAAGAAATCCAACGAATAGCCAGCTATAATAATGCCCTAGAAACCAAGTTTAAGAACATACATGCTTAGCAAACTTGTTTTCCAGTAGTTTTTGTGCTGATGCATTTGTCTCCACCTTACCCTGTAACAAGAAACAGTATTGGTCCACAGATTTAAAAAAAAAAAAAAATGATCCTGAAAACATAATTCAGCCATTTGAAAACCTTACCGTCATGGAATGACGAGCACGGACCAGCGTCTGCATTTTGACAATAGCTTGGACGCAACGCAGCGACCCCATGGCTTGGTTCCTAACCAGGTGGCCACGTACTGCAGCTTGGAGTTTAACTACTTTCTTGCGCTTCAAAAGTTCTCTTCGCGCCTGCAGTATAACAACACCCCCATTAAGCATAGTTTTCATTTACCATGTTCTCATAGAGTGAGTTAAGGAAAGCTTCTACACATCCTTAATAATATTACTATGCAAGAAGAGCAAAAGGAGACAAGAAGCATACCAAAAATCCACGTGTAGCAGCTTGGATGATCACAACAACAGACGCATCCAGCTTCTCATCAACTTGTTCATCACTTTCTTTTCTGATTATGATCACATCATCGTTTTCAGATTCTTCAACCTTACTAGTAATTTCAACCTCGGAAGTAATGTCTTTCTCCATCACTGATGCATCAGCAGCTTTGGGTACTTCCAACTTAGGTTCCAAATCATCATCCTCGGTTTCAGTCCCTTTTGATTCCACAAGAACAGGCAGTTGCTCAATCTTCTCCTCCGGTTTGTCCTCAACGGACTGAGCTTTCTTCTCATCCACAGGCTCAGCCACATAGGCAGCAACAGGTAACTGGCTCTTCTTCTTCTCATCAACAGAGAATGTCTGCTTTTCAGAAACATTGTTGTTGTCAGGTGATGGAGATTTAAGGAGAGCAGACTCAAGAGTTTCTCTTGTCCTTGAAGCAGGAGTAGTTTCAGTGACTACACTACTGATCAACCCTCGCTGTTGTTTCCCAGGTTTCTTCCTGAAACTCCATCCACGCTTGTCGCCAGAGCTCTTGTTCTACATCCAAATAACAAAAATTGACCCACTCATTTCACATTTCCATAGGAAATTTGGTTCAAACTTAATAGAAAAGCTTAAGACAGAAAACCATTAAACCTAACAGATCAAAAAAGGGCAACGATCTCTTCAAACAGACCAGACCAAAAAACCAAACCTAAGTAATTCCAAAAAAATTAAAACTATGTAATGCCAAAAAACTCCGACCAGAATCTGACGGAAGCAAAAAAAGATCTACGAAATTGGTTAATATAAGGAATTTAGAATACTCAGATCTTAAATTAGAAACTTAAAGCCACTAAGTGCAGGCACGAATCCGGAGATCGTAGAGAAACGAAAAAATTAAGAGATTATTATGTCAAAACCTCGAGGGCGTTGGGCGTAGGTTCGGCGGCATCGTCGCCGCCGGCGCAAGCGATTATACGGAGACAAGAAGAAGCTGGAGATCTTCCCATAGTTGTTATTCTTCGAAGATGAGGAAGACCGTTTTATCTTCTTGTGGTGTTGGATCAGTAAATAAACACACAGAGAGTGTCGTTGGAAAATGGAGCAAAAGCAACGGAACTCAAAGGGAGCATTAAAATACGGTTTAGTCACGGATTTGGAATCCGCCAGTCTTTCTCTTCTGTCCGTTGAGGTGCCAATAAAAGCGAAAACACGCTGTCACTGTCAGATCTCTCTCGTGACATTTTTCTTCTACTTTACAAAAATACAAACCATAAAGAAAATATAAAAAAATATACGAAATAAAAGAAAACGATTAAATTGAATACAATATCGCTTAAGAGTATATAAAATGAAAAAGAGATTATTCGATGATTAGAAAAATATTATTAAAAGAATTGTTTGTATTTTATGTTTCTTTCCATATTACCAACCAATAATAATGTTGGACTAGAATGAATTATGAATTAGTGGGGGATTATACAATTATGGCAAGTCGATAATGTTGCTTCACCTAAAATAATATAAGACGCATGTGACTGTCATGTGCACTATGTCTTCTTTTTGTACTTTTTCTTTCTTTCTTTCTCTCTGATGGCTTTGGGGTTTATCAACTTTATTTACAGTACAACCTCTATAAATTAATACTCGATAAAGTAATACCTCAATAAATGAATATAATTTTCAAATCCCAAATTCAGTTTTTTGTCTAATTATCCCTCGATAAATTAATAATCTTAATAAAGTAATAAAATATTGTGGTCCCAACGTTATTACTTTATACAAGTTTTACTGTATTAATTTAACTATGAAGTGTCTCCTACATATCTGGTTAAAGTCTTTAATATGTGTTATAAATCTATTTTTGCAGAGTAAGCAAAAGTGACAATGATATATTAACCAAAAGTATTAAGACTAAAGAAGATGGATGATATGATAACAATGTAAATTCCTTCTTCGGAGGATTTAAAAATGGAGAAAAAAAATGAAAACTAGATAAAAATATGTTTTATGGGCCCATAGTGGGCCAGGCCAAGAGAAAATAAGAAAAGCCGTGGCTTATAAGAGGAAATGGAAGGTGTAGGGTATCTCTCCCCTACCAACTGTTCGAGTCCTAACCACTACTCATTGTATCGACATGCCTTTTGTACATTTTATGCCACATGTCTTATCCACAGTACTGCCAGCAAGGCAGCATATGTAGCTTTTTTTGTTTCGTGCCATTACGACAAATATAACAAACGGAAAGTGTGGGCTCTGTGAAAATGAAATCCATTGAAAATAAATATTCTAACGTTGTGATGGAGTCATATTTAGTCATTTGCCCGATCCGTTGTTGGATTTATCTTAATCATATAATGATGACTCACATGCTACACAAGATTAGACGATTAGTATTATACTAGACATTAATCTACTAAATGCAAGCGAAGTTGACGCAAAAAAAAAAAACGAAGCCGTAGTCGGTAACTAAAAGCATAAAGTTTGAATGATAAGCTCAGGGATTGCGTGTGAAGATAACTAGATAAGACTAACCTTTCACGACCATAACCATTAACCAATATGATTAACATTAAGACCAAAACCTAAAGTATGATATGATAGTGTTAATATTAAAAAACACAGAAGAAGCATCACTAATTGCTTCCATCTTAAGTCAATTTTCTCAATCATGCGGATCATTTTTCTGTTTTGTCGCACTCATTTATTAGTGAGAGAAGCCCAATCAGCTTAGGCCCATGTGAAAAGAAGGCCATCACAATCACACAGAAGAAGACAAAGGCAAAAATAGTACCTGTGGTGAAAGGAAAAGAACCGTTACCACTATGCAACAAATATGGTTCTTTAGAGTCAATTAACCATGGTTAAGTCTTTTTTACAGCTGTCCCTAAGGCTAAGGAAGAGATTAGGTTAAGATAGTCTAGATAGATCCATTGAGGATTATAAATAAAGGTGTAAGCTCAATGATATAAATTGTCCAAGTTAATATCAATAAAATCAGTTTTCTTAATCTTCTATATGGTATCAGAGCCATTGAAGCTCTAACTGACGACAATGGCAGATCCAGTCACTCCCTATCCGTTCCCTAGTAATGTTCATGTCCTAAGTTCAGTCACTATCAAACTCACAGATAACAATTACTTGTTATGGAAGACCCAATTTAAGTCTCTCCTGTCGAGTCAAAAGTTGTTCGGGTTCGTGAACGGTGGTGTAGCAACTCCTCCGGTGACCAGTCCTCTCTACGAGTCATGGTTCTGCACATACCAGTTGGTCAGATCGTGGCTCTTTGGCACTCTGTCCGAAGAAGTCCTTGGCTCGGTCCATACTCTCACCACTTCTCGCGAGATCTGGTTGTCGCTTGCCGAGAACTTCAACCAGAGCTCCCTCGTGAGTTTGGTCTCCGTACAAGTCTCCAATGTCTGAAGAAGCAAGACAAGAGCTTTGCTGCTTATTGTCGAGAGTTCAAGCTGTTATGTGATGCGTTGAGTTCCATTGGCAAACCGGTGGAGGAATCCATGAAGCTGTTCCAGTTTCTGAACGGTCTTGGCGATGAGTACGATCCAGTCGCTACCGTTGTTCAAAGCTCCCTCAGCAAGTTTCCAAGACCTACTCTCAATGATGTCATTGCGGAGGTCCAAGCGTATGACATGAAACTTCAAGCTCGAGATGTCTCTGCGAAAGCGACGAATCATCAAGCGTTTCAAACACAACAAGCCAATCAAGTCTATGACAGAGGACGTGGTTCATACCGTGGTCAATATCGTGGAAGGGGAAACTATTCCACCAGAGGCAGAGGCTTTCCTCAACACCAGAGTGGCCAGAGCAACAACGGAGAGAGGCCCATCTGTCAAATCTGTGGTCGTGTGGGTCACACCGCCATCAAATGCTATAACAGGTTTGACAACAACTACCAGGAGGCTAATCAAGCGACAGCATTTACCTCTCTTCCGGTTGCAGACGGTAAAGAGTGGTATCCAGACTCCGGTGCCACGGCACACATCACGTCAAGCACTAACAACCTTCAGTCTGCCGCCAAATACGAAGGGAATGATACGGTAATGGTAGCAGACGGTGCTTATCTGCCCATCACACATGTTGGTTCCTCAGCCCTTGCATCGCCTACTAGTATGATCCCATTAAATGATGTCTTAGTTTGTCCTGCAATCAAGAAATCCTTACTGTCAGTCACGAAATTGTGTGATGACTATCCCTGTGGAGTATATTTTGATCGTACTAAGGTTTGTATAATTGATTTACAAACCCAGAAGGTGGTGACAAGGGGACCTCGGCGTGAAAGTCTCTATGTTCTTGAGGATTCAAGGTTTCCAGTGTTCTTCTCCAATCGTCAGTGTGCGGCTTCTGAGGCGACATGGCATCATCGGTTAGGACACTCGAATCTGAAGACCTCCAGAACCTGAAAAACAGCAAGGAAATTGAAGTTAATAAGAGCGCATCAACCCTCATCTGTGAGCCTTGCCAGATGGGGAAGAGCCATAGGCTTCCGTTTTGTAGTTCTGATTCTCGGGTTTTACACCCTTTAGATAAAATCCATTGTGACTTGTGGGGACCTTCACTAGTTGTGTCTTCAATGGGTTTTAAATATTATGCAGTGTTTGTGGATGATTACTCAAGATATTCTTGGTTTTATCCATTGAAAAATAAATCAGAGTTTTGTTCGGTGTTCATTGCGTTTCAAAAACTCGTGGAAAATCAATTTGAAAGCAAGATAAAAGTATTTCAGAGTGATGGAGGAGGAGAATTCATAAGTAACAAGTTTAAAAGTCACCTGGTTAGCTGTGGTATCAGACATTTGTCGTGTCCGTACACACCCCAACAGAATGGCATAGCGGAGAGGAAGCATCGTCACTTTGTCGAACTCGGATTGTCCATGCTGTTCCACAGTGAAGTGCCTCTGATATATTGGGTGGAGGCGTTTGCTGCTGCGTCCTTCATTGGGAATATGCTTCCATCCTCTGCACTGAACAATGTCAGTCCCCATGAGTGTTTATTCAAAACCAAACCAGACTACTCGAGTCTCCGCGTCTTTGGTGCTGCCTGTTATCCCCATCTCAGACCTCTGGCGCATAACAAATTTGATCCTCGCTCGTTGCAGTGTGTGTTTCTTGGCTACAGCTCCCAGTACAAAGGCTATCGCTGTCTCTATCCACCTACTGGGAGAGGGTACGTCTCTCGTCATGTGATCTTTGACGAGGAATGCTTTCCATTCAAGCAGCAATACAAGTCTCTCCAACTAGAGTATGATACAACTCTCCTGCGTGCTTGGCAGCAAGCCCGGCGAGAGTCTGACAAGGTCGTGGAAGACACAAGAGTGGTACGTGTCCTCTCCCCACCACAACAAGCACAGCCACCAGTTGTCCCTGTTACACCAGAAGCAGTGGACAATACTCAGTTTGAGGAAACAGAGATTGAGGAAATACAAGGAAATATTCATCCCATGACTACTAGAGCTAAAGCAGGAATCCACAAACCAAATACGAGATATGCTCTGGTTGCACTAAAGATGATTCCTGACATACCTAAAGACATCATCGAAGCTATGAATCATCCTGGATGGAACCTGGCTGTGTTTGATGAAATCAATACAATCTATATGCTCAATACGTTTACTCTGGTTCCCTACACAGAAGACATGAATGTTTTAGGGTGCCGTTGGGTGTTCACAACAAAGATGAAACCGGAAGGTGAACTTGATAAGCTAAAAGCAAGACTAGTAGCTAAAGGGTATGATCAAGAAGAAGGTATAGATTACCTGGAGACATATAGTCCTGTTGTGAGAACGGCCACTATCAGAATGATTCTTGATGTGGCTACTGCTAAAGACTGGAAGCTCAAGCAACTTGATGTCTCCAACGCCTTTCTTCACGGAGAATTGAAAGAACCTGTCTTCATGACTCAACCACCTGGGTTTGTAGATCCTGACAAGCCGAATTATGTTTGTAAGTTAACAAAGGCACTATACGGACTCAAACAAGCGCCTAGAGCATGGTTTGATACCTTCAGTCTTTACCTGATTGAGTTTGGGTTTGTGTGTAGCAAGTCTGATCCGTCTCTCTTCACCTATAGGAAAGATGGAAAATCGCTTGTTCTCTTGCTATATGTTGATGACATGCTCTTGACAGGAAGTGACGAAGAGTTGGTACAGCAGCTGCTTCTATCTTTGAACAAACGTTTCTTCATGAAAGACCTTGGTCCTCCAAAATACTTCTTGGGTGTAGAGATAAAGTCATATGATGGTGGAATATTTCTTCATCAGGCGTCATATGCGAAGGATATCCTTCACATTGCTGCCATGACAGACTGCACTCCGATGCCTACACCGCTTCCTCAAGACATTGACAATCTCAGTTCAGAACTGTTTCAGGAGCCCACATACTTTCAAAGTCTTGCAGGAAAGCTCCAATACTTAACCATCACGAGACCGGACATTCAATTTGCAGTCAACTTTGTCTGTCAACGTATGCATCAACCGACGGTTTCAGACTTCAAACTCTTGAAAGGTGTACTCCGGTACCTGAAAGGCACAATCAATTTTGGTATTCACATCAAGAAACATCAAGATATGAGTCTGACTGCCTATTGTGATAGTGATTATGGAGGTTGCAAAGAAACGAGGAGATCAACTACAGGGTTCTGTACAATGATGGGTTCTAATTTACTATCTTGGTCAGCGAAGAGGCAACAAACGGTGTCAAAATCATCGACAGAATATAGAGCTCTTACCTCAGCGGCGCAGGAAATCACTTGGTTGTCGGCTCTACTCCGCGATCTTGGAATTGTTCAAACCAAGTCTACGCTTCTCCGATGCGACAATCTATCTGCGATCTACCTCAATGCGAATCCAGCTCTGCACAGTCGCTCCAAACACTTTGACACCGACTGGCACTATATCCGGGAGCAAGTCGCTCTGGGCCTGATCGAGACTAAGCATATTCCGGCCAGAGATCAACTAGCTGACATCTTCACGAAGCCATTAGCTCGAGCATCGTTCATCGTACTGCGCGACAAACTCGGTGTCGGAGAATTCGATGTCGCTTCATTCCCCACCACGAGTTTGCGGGGGGATATTAGTGAGAGAAGCCCAATCAGCTTAGGCCCATGTGAAAAGAAGCCCACCACAATCACACAGAAGAAGACAAAGGCAAAAGTAGTATCTGCGGTGAAAGGAAAAGAGCCGTTATCACTATGCAACAAATATGGTCCTTTAGAGTCAATTAACCATGGTTAAGTCTTCTTTACAGCTGTCCCTAAAGCTAAGGAAGAGATTAGGTTAAAATAATCTAGATAGATCCATTGAGGACTATAAATAAAGGTGTAAGCTCAATGATGTAAATTGTCCAAGTTAATATCAATAAAATCAGTTCTCTTAATCTTCTATATTATATCGCCGACGAAAATTTTGCCATTTTCTTACGACATCGAAGTTCTATTTAGTCATTAAAATAGAGTTAAAAACGACTAAAGGAGCTGATTATGACAAGCATAAACATAATAACTATAGAGAAATACACATTTGCATGTCATAAACAATCAGTGAGAAGACAACCGTACCACTTGTTTTCTTTTCCTGAGTTTTTGAAAATCGTTCGAATCGAAAATATTTGTCTCTAGAAATAAATCATTCGATGTGGTTTACATCAGAATACAAAAGCCGATAAGGGATTAAGCTTAAACAAATGTTTGAATAAAAAGGAAATGATTCAGAAAGAAACAAAAACTGTTGTTAAAAAGGAAACCACATCGGAAAATTCAGAGTCAGACTAGTTTTAAGACTTACGTGGTCTTCCTCTTTTTCCACCGGTCTTCACCGGCGAAGCTTTTCCATTACTGGTGCGGCCACCGCGACCACGTCCTCCACGGCCACGTCCACGTCCTCTGCCACGAGTGCTCTGTTTCTTGCCATTGGCTTCTTCTTCATCTTCACTGTAGTCGCTGTCCGCGTCACTGCCTTGAGCTTCCTTCTCCTTGTCGCTGTTTTCTTCATCACTGTCTTGTTCAGACTCAGATGAATCTTTTGATGCTTTCCTCTTTTTAGCAGCACCTCTTTTCGCAGGTTGTGGTTTTGGTGCCACAGGTTCTTCCTCGACTTCTACGCTCTCTGCTCAAAACAATCATATACATCAAGAAATGTTCAACCGCTCTTAAGAGTACAAATATCAACGTGATGGTTATACCTTCTAATGACCCTTTCCCGTCGTAGATCTCGAGCTGCAGGAAACAAATCGCATAAGGAACCAGACGAGTAAATACAAAATCATCTTGAGCTCTCCATTGAGATCAATCAAAAATAAGAATTGGCTCTATGTCGTTTGTTACCTGCTCAAGCCGATCAGCAATGTCTGTTCTATCAACTATGACCATTGAATGGCAAAAACCGCAAGCCACACTGCAGAAAACATACACAGCATTTAGAAACTTCCAATATATTTAGATTTCTCTGAGTTAAACACTAAAAAACTCACCCCATGACATGCATTCCCTCGAGCATATCAACCTTTTTAGGCGCTGCAGAGGATCTGAAAAGAGAGAGAAACACATAGTTAATTTATGATAGTCGAATGTAGCTTGAAGCTAAGAGTTGATTACTGTGTGTAGCATACTTTTGACCGTTGGGGCCATAACCAAGTTCTCCATACTGAGCATGACCCCAGCTTATGCAAGAACTATCTGCACCAACAAAATGATGCATGCTTCCTGAATCCATCCAACGCAAGTTCCAGCCACTGCATGAGGAATAATCTTGTTAAAATTAATCATCGAAAGCAATATAACAATCTGTGAGATCTGGCTTAAGAACAAACCTTAAATCCATCATCGGTTTAGGGTACATCCAATCATCACCATTGTTCTTAATCTTTCCCCACATGTACAACTGTCCTCCACCTGAAAAAAACAAACAACTTAAATTGAATTACAACTATCGGAACAGAAGACTAAGACAAGAGGTAAAGGCATTTGAGATTGAAGTCACTTACCAGCAGTACAAGCGGAGTTTGCAGAGCCAGCAGAAACAATGGCATTAGGAGGCAAAACATTATGCCTCTGAAACACATCAATACGGCGAGGAGACCACTCATCTTTCTGCTCCCTATGTCCAAGCCTGCAATTGACAACCAATATCTTCGTAGCCAGTCTCCAACAATGCTTCAGTGTAAAACTAAAAAAAGGGCTATTACCAACCTTCCATATCCACCGTAGCCCCATCTGCAATATGTTTCAAGATTGAAAATCGATGGATCAGAATGTATTAAAGGACCGGATGTTTAAAGTAATCAAAATTCTGAACAGAACAGTTACTTACGTGTAAACAAACCCATTCTTATCTACAGCCACTGATTAAGAGAAATTTAACTTATTAGAATGAGTAATTAGCTTCCTTGAAAAGCAGAGAAGGAGAGAGAGAAGAGATGTGATTTCTACCTGTATGATTTGCTCCACATGCAACTTTAACAATTGTTTCCCCTGCAAGAGAGGCTATGGCTTTAGGACGTGGCTGAGCTTCGTAGGCGAGTCTAACAGAGCTATCCTTCATATTGAACTAAAAAGGCACAAAAAACAGAGTAAACCTGGTTTAAAGTAAATGATCGAGACATCTTAAATGAATCTATTTATCAAGTACAACCAAGAGAGACTAAAGTAACTGAACGATTCATAGCAATTTACCTCATTATCAGTTCCATGACCAAGTTGACCATACTGTGGGAGGCCACCAGTCCTAAAATCAAACAAACAAACACTCTGACACTGAACAAACCATTAAAGGAGAAATATCAGAGCTAAACCAAAGAGTAAGAAACCATACAATATAGAGGCTCCTTCAGTAGAAGATAACCAGACTGTGAAGTCAGCCCCACAGGCAATTTGTGTGACCTCATCAGGCACAAGACACGGAAGAGGCGACGTTTCAAATTCTACAAAAAAAAACAAAGCATGTAAGATATAGATTTCATACCATTAGAACAGTAAAGATTTCAAATTCTACAAAAACAAAGCATGTAAGATACAGTCTTCCATACCATTTTTGACAGAACCCAAACCCAACTGCCCATGCTTGTTCCAGCCAAAAGCAAAGGACTTGCCCTCATCGCTAACCACTACAGTGTGGTTCCTCCCTGCTCCTGCTTTCACAATTTTGTACCTTCAATAGATACAGAACAAGAAAAAACAAAATTAGCTCAATGCCTAACTAATTCCAAGGATTAGCAGCCACGTAAATGTTCGAATCAATCTCCCTCAGACCCTTATCTACTAGTAAGGAAGCAGAAACTCACTTTGAGAGTCCTGACACAACCGTTGGCCTGTCACGTTGAATCATATCTCCATGACCTAGTTGACCTTTCTGAAACACACAGACACACCAACATTTTCCATACACCAATCATTCAGTGTCAATTCAGAGAAGCTTATCCAAACAAGAAATGAAATCAGAGCATACCTCATTGCGTCCCCAGGTGTAGCAACGACCTTCAACATCCAATGCCACACAATGACACGAAGCTACAAAGATAATTTACACAGATAAACAGTCAATCTTCATATTAAGATACAGTAAGAGGTTTCAATTCCACCATTATCACAGATCAGAAAGTAAAACCGATTCCTTTCGAGTAAATAAACTCTCGGGATGAGAAGAGATTGGAAAGTTACCGCAACCAGAGGCGACGAATCGAATGTTGATTCCAACGAGTGGTCTAAGCCGAGTGGGAGAGACCAAGTTACCATCGAGCCCACCTTTGCGTCTTCCAATGATATCCCAAGACGTAGCGCCACAGAACAACAACTCGCCTCCCTTCTCCTCCGAGCTCTCATCCTTCTTCTCCGACGAATTCATCGCTGCCATGACTTCTCCGACCTCACCTTCCCGTTTGGGTTAAAAATTTGAAAAGGCTTTGATTATTCAAAACCGGGAAAGCGGATCCAAAATGGAATTGGGTACGCGGCGAATCGGTAGAAGCTTTGAAAGTGGCGGGAAAGCAACGGCTAGTGAAGTGGAGAGCGGATCGGAAGCGACGACAAACGATTGAAATGTAAGGGGAGAGAAATAGAGACAAATTCAGAAACCCTAAACACAAACAAAGTACAGAAGAGAAACTACGAAAGAAGCAAAAAGGGAAAAGGGAAGATAAAGTGGGGAAAATATAAAAAAAAATTGGGATTAATTGCGGGGATTTCCAATTACCAAGAATATACAATTTCCCTTTTGTTTTTTTTTTAATATCTTTGTTTTAAATTTTGTTATATTTTCTTCCTCTTCTTCGGCATTGCTTTTGTGTAACGTTTTGTTTGGTCTCCTACTTTTTCTCTTTTTTTGGTCACTATCTTTGTTTTCTTCTTTCCTCTCATGGACGATTTTAACTAAAATGTGCTTTTTCTTCTCTGTTATCAGAATAGTAAGTTTATCTCTTGACGAAAGAATATCAAACATATCTCTCTCTCCTTGTCTGTATTTTTTCCAAAGGTATTTCAATACAATGGATTTGTTTTTTTTTTGTTAAAGTTCAATACAATGGATTTACAATCTTCAATATCTTCAATATTTGAAATTTGATATTATTCTTCATGAATTTGTTAAAGTTTAATATTTCCAGCCACCGGTGAAAGACTTATAGCTACGAGTAATTTGCGGAGAGGATTAACACCGCGACAAACGGAATTAAAGGCGTTAGTTTGGATTATGCAATACATGCTTCTGTATAACAAATATGCAGTTATGTTTGAAACAGAGTGTTCGGATTTAGTCAGTATAGTGTCAGTACCTGAGGAATGGCTGGCGTTTTTGGTACTCTTGGAAGAAATAGACAAATGCCAGTGAGAATTCTTCTCTTGCTCTATTAGACATATCTAAAGGACCAACAATACAAGGGCGGATAAACTAGTATGGAGTACTCGAGATCTTCGCTATAATGTGTATTTTGTAAATTATATTCCACCGGTTTAGATTTATGAACCGTTGTAGAAATATAGGTTGTTGACGAAAAAAAATATATGGATTCGAAAATCTCGACAATAAATATAATATATATATTTTTTAATTTTTTTAATTCTCTAACAAAAAATATATAATATTTTGTGATAAATTATTCAGAAAACTTTATTGAAATTCATTTTTGATTGATTCAATAAATAAAGAAATTTAAAGCAGAATATGTTATGTATCATGATTTTGTGGTTGACAAAGCTATGGATGTCTTTTAAACCTTAAATATTTAATACTTCTACCAAATAATTCTATTATGTGAAAGCTAATTGCATGATAAATGTTATTTTGGTGGATTCAGTAGAGTTAATAATGATCTTTTGAAAATCACAGAAATATTCATCAGAAGTGTTTTGTATCACACTCTTTAATCCTTTCTTTTCAGTATTCTCTCCTATCGCACTTCGCAGTTCGCACATACTTCTTTTGTTCCTTTCATGCATCAGCCTTGAATTTCTTTTACGTCATGATACACACCGACGTGAAGTAAGATTATCCAATTATTTAATTATCATCAAACCAAGAACACATACGTTCTTATTACAAATACAATAATTTAGGCTCTCCAAATTAAGAACCAATCCATCCAATAAATAATACAAGTCTTCTTCAAATAATTAAGAAGACATCATTATCTTTTTTTGTTGTATATATATATAGAGCTAAGATATATAAATGAATTACTGTAACCTTACCCAAACACCTTCGCTTGGTATGTTTTGATTCACCACAAACATCATATAATAACCAGGCGGTGCGATAATAGCCGATCTCGGCGTTCTCACTTGAACCTCATAGTTCATCGACTTACCTTTCCTCGTAAACTTAACATTATCCAAAACCAAAAGCCTCTGGTTCATCGAGAAGGAATGCGTCGTGAATGATGGAAACACCATCGTCACTTTCACCGGACTCTTAACCTCTCCGGCAACCTTAAACTTTAGCTTCAAACTCATCCCATACTTAATACTCGACTGCGATTTAGGAGACATAACATTTGGACGAAGATTCGCAAACTCCGGTTCTAGATAAACCGGAGAGAAAGCTTCCAAGCTTAATTCCGTCGGAAAAAGCACACCGGTGAAGTTATAAAACGCATGAGGATTGCTTCCTCCGACGAGAACCCTCCCGTCACGGAGGAGAACCGCCGCGGAGTGATACATTCTCGGGGTTTTACTCGGGTTTAGTGACTCAAATTTCGAGTTAACCGGATTCTCGGGATGGTATAAATCCGGTACGAAAACCGGTTCGCGACCAAGCTCCCAAGCAGCAGAACCAGAAGATCCACCGTTGATAAGCAACACATCTCCGTTAGGCAAAAGCGTCATATCTCCCATGACTCTAGCACGTGGCATATTCTCCACCGTCCACTGAGGATTCGCATCGTTAATCTTAATCCTAGCACACGTGTCAAGCGCTCTCACGAAAGTATTCTTTCTAAGCGCGAGGATGTACGAACCTTTCGGTGCACCTCCACACACCAGAACCTCCGCATCGATTTTAACTGCTTCAAGATTCTTCAACGGTAATAGCACGGCTGAGCCAGTGCTCGGATAGCTCCTCGGATCACCGCCGGGAATCGCCGGAAAAGTTTTCACCACCGTGTTTTTAACGTAATCGAGTAATATCGCTCGGTTATTAGCGAATATAAATAAATTCCCGTCAGTATTGAGAAAAGTGTAAGGGTAAAGATTATTCTCCTGTCCTCGATCACTAGTCTCGGCCAAAAACGGCAACGCGATAACGTTAGGAGATGTCGTTTTGGGGTAAAACTCGTAGTTGAATTGTGCCTGACCTCCGATAACGATCTGTCTACCGTCGGGAAGAATATGGTTAGAAGCGTACCATCTTCTCTTGGCTAATCCGTTGTTAATCTCGACCCAGTCGCAACGATCGTTGTTGCATGGAGAGAAGGTTCTAGCTTTTAATGCACCGTCCCGGTCTCCACCGGTTTGGACGAGAAAACCGTCGGGTCTAACCGAACCGGAGGAGCACCATGTGTTGGATTGTACGGTTAAGGGACGTACGGTGTTGGATGCGACGTCGTACTCGATGGAGTGAGCTGTGCAGTCGAGTTTGGAAATGGGATCCATTGGGTTCTTGCGGCACTTACCGTCAGGGAGAGAGATGTTCGATGGTCCGAAGTTGGTTCGGTCGAACATTATGACACGGTCGTTGCGGAGGAGCTGCATGTGCATCGCGGAGATTCCGACGTTGGGGAGGAGGAGATTCCATTTCCCTCCGGCGGCGAGTGACAAGTGGCGATTTAGGAGGAGTTGGAGTAAGGTTAGGAAGAGAGCATATAACATTGTGGCTCGTGTTGCCATTTTTGTCTTTGTTTACTTATTTGATCTTTGAGCTTTGTTTGTGTTGTGATCAAAATGTATCTTGGCTTGTTCGTTTATATAGTGGTCGATGAGACATTATTCAACGTTATTATATGTATTAATCTAAATAAAGTAATAGAATTATTATTATAATAATTGAAATGAACTGAAATTAAATTACAAGTCAATCAAGATTCAAATCCGCTGTTATTCGATATCTGATTTGTAATATATCATTAATAGATTTTTAAAATATAGTGTTATTAATCAAGATTTTAAATCCAATTTTAAAATACAGTGTTATTCAAAATTAAAAAACTTTTAAATTTTTTGTTTACTGAGTCATTTGAATTCAATGAAATGAATTTCACTGAAGTTCTATGAATAAATTATTAAAAAACAAAATTCATGAGATATTGCAGAGACTTTATAAACAACTGATATAGATTCTTAAAATAAGACAAAAAAAAATTAAATATAAAGGATTATGAAACCTATATATAATTGATTTCAGATACATCATTATTGAATAACACCCTCTTCAAAAAGTTATGTCTTAAAGTGAGATGTGGTAATCTCTTTTTCTCCTGTTTTTTGAAGTGTTAATTATTTAATGGGTTATATCATTCATTTTTTTTTTGTATCTTTAACAACAAATTTGAGCGGCGATTTAAGGTTCTACATAAAACAAGTTAGATTTTTTGTTTGCCTGGATTTAGCTCCAATCGATTAATTATAAAATTATTCGAAAGTATATTTTGAAAGGATTTTAAGAGTCTTCTGTATATTTTTGATATGTCTCAATGTTTGTGTATTCACGTAGCCAGAGATTTGTAGAAATAATGATACATTCCCTTAATTCTCTTATTTGTTTATTTTTTATTAAGATGAACTGTTTGTTTGCATTCATATGCTTATAATCGCTATTACAGGTATGCGGGATATGATTTGTCGTGAAAGGAACACTTTAGATAATTGGATTTACATTACCCTTAGGAGGGACTTGATTATTATTTGAGATTAATTAGTTCGGGGAAACATCAAGGACGAATTAATGTTGGAGATGTTGTGTCAACATCAACATGCAACTATAAGTTATACAAGATGCCGTTACGTTTGAAGTCAGAAAAGAAAATAGAGTCCGCTACGTTTTACTTCCCTCAGGAGCTATTTCTTCCCGTTCGTTGCATGTTAGTAATTATTTTGGTCGTCGCTACTTTGTTTTGTTTTTTTATTTTAAAAAGGGTTTGTCGTCACTATTTTCCTTGTTATAAATAACAAAACAAATACTTAAACAATAAACAAACGCATGTAAGATTTTAGCAAAAGATGCATGGACATGAATTTATACTTTTTGTTCCATTCCCGGTTCCATATTGTTAGAAAGTATATGAATTGCTTTTTTGTTAAAGGATTTTCATAAGTATATGAATTACTTTAACACATTAATTCCGATGCTTTAAATTTATGTAGACGAATAAAGTTATGGTCAATTTTTTGTTTAGTTGCTTAGATGTCAAATATCTTTGTAATCCGAAGAGTATATGATTCATTCAAATAATTTTAGTTATATGATATGAATTAATATCGTCGAGTGAACATTTTATATTATTTGGTTTTACATTATCCTTGATTGACTTAGTAAGTTGTCATCGATTATCTGAGATTATTTAGTTCGGTAGGCTGCAACGAAATAATGATACATGCAACTATAAATTATACAAGTCAAAGTCCGTTACATTCTCTACATTAATCGTAGTCCTCCCAGGGGGTGTATTTATTTCTGGTTCGTTGCATGTTGATTATTTTGGTCATCCCAAGTTTTCTTATAAATAACAAAACAAATTATAAACAAATATATGTCAACTGATCTAAAGGAACACGTTGAGTTAAGTTTCATCATAAGATTTCTATATCTATTTTTCATAACAATCTTTCACAACAATTCTTATTAGTAAACAGTCATTTTCTTTTAGTTTATTTAAGACAAATTGATTTCAGTTATACTTCTGATATCTGAAATTGTCTTCTTCACTGTAAACTATATGCATACATGTTTATACTTTACACATTTATGAATTAATAAATATACGTCCATATCACCAAATCTAATGATGGACCGATGACATTCCATTAATGAATGCGTTTAGTTGACTCTATATTATTTATATGCTGTTAAAAGTGCGCCTCCTATTATTGCGTTATCAATTATTCATATATGTACATATGCATGCATTACATTTGTAATTATTAGATCTTATTTTCGAAGAAGTAAAAACTAAAAACAAAAAGCTTTCACGAAAAAAAGAATAAATAAAGAACATAAGATTTTGTTTTCGATCGAAGCTGTTCATCTATACTATTAAAATAGTGGAGACACTACTTAAGGTTTCAACACTAAAAAGATTATAATCTTGTTTCCAAACACCATTTTACCCGAAATTAACACATAATTAAGCTAATTAACCCGACCCGACCGTTGGAAACAACACGCAGATCTACAGTTGAGAAAATCAACTTAAATCGAACCAATTAAAGAAACCGGCTATTGCTGTTAAAACAAAATAAACGGACACCAATCAAAATTAATTTATAATTGACTCAAATCAGCTGCCATCGAGATTTCCTTGCAGTATTTTACGAAACCTTCCCAAAAGAACGGCCTCATACCTTCTCCAGCTCTGTACACGAGATATCTTCTCGGATATTCCATAAACTGGACCAACAGAAAAATCGGGAGTCTAATTCAAAATTAAAGATTTCTAATGCAATAACTACTAAATGCATGTTTACAAATTATAGATTTTGATATGATATTAAATTGAGAAGATATTATTTTAGGTTTTATCGGTACTAGTCATGATTAACTTCAAATTAAAAGAATTTGATTCACTCATGTTGTTATGTTGAAACCTCAAACTTTAATATATGATGGTGAAAATTAAGTTAACAATACCGACAAAATCAATAATTATCAATCTTATTATCAGAAAAAAATCACACATATTAGGACAAAACTTATCTCATTAAAATAATAATTCTTATTAGCAAAAATCAATCCTTTTTACCGTTCTGCCCAATAAGCCCAAATTTAATTAGTAGCTAAAAATTAATATCACATATTTAGATAATCTAATAATATTAATTCATCAATATGTATCACAAATGTATTATTATTTTTATTATTACAATATAAGTTTTTATATAAAAAATTACAACACGGGTCAAGACATAGTTTTGTAATTTATTTTCACAACAACATATAATTTCGCTGCCTTATGATTAATCAATTACACTATCCAAAACCACAGCTTCCAATTGTTCATAGCATTATCACTGCACAAAGAGTTAGGATTAAAAGTGCTTGCTCACTGAATTCAAAACAAACCAAAAAAATAAAAATCAAACCAAATAAAATTTGGCGCGGTTCGATTCAGGCGGTTTTAGCTAATTTAAGTCCGGTTTAATTTGCCACGCCGACCTACGACCGGCAATTACTAATCAATCAAATCATTGTTGTCCTTGTCCCAAGATTGGTTTCGTTTTTTCTTCTCTTCTTCTCTCTCGCAACAACTCTATCTGCGATCAGATCTCACCGGAGAGACACAAACAAATTCACGACGAGCAATGGCTTCAGGTTTCAGCGGCGATGAAACTGCTCCTTTCTTCGGATTCCTCGGCGCTGCCGCCGCTCTCGTTTTCTCCTGTAAACATTCAGATTCTCCCACTCGCAGATCTCCAATTCCTTTTGTTGTTTTCCCCTCAAATTTGAATCACCGATTTGATCCGATCTAATCAAATCCGATCCGATCGGATTCTCCGTTTTTTCAGGTATGGGAGCAGCGTACGGGACAGCGAAGAGCGGGGTAGGTGTGGCGTCCATGGGTGTGATGAGACCGGAGCTTGTGATGAAATCGATTGTTCCGGTGGTTATGGCTGGTGTGTTGGGTATTTACGGTCTGATCATCGCCGTCATCATCAGTACTGGAATTAATCCAAAGGCCAAGTCTTACTATCTCTTCGATGGATATGCCCATCTCTCTTCTGGTCTGGCTTGTGGTCTCGCCGGTCTCTCCGCCGGTATGGCTATCGGAATCGTCGGCGATGCCGGTGTTAGGTAATTTAATAAACCATTTTCACCTAACTCTCTGTTTGATCTTATATAGGCTATTGAATTGTTTTGAGACGTTGATCTTTTGAGAAAATGTTAATTCTTTGTTCGTATTATTGAGTTTGTTTCGCATTTAATAGGATTCGAAATCTTATGATCCTGTTATGAAGCTGAACAGAAACGTAATTTTTGATTGATTATACATCATGAGAGTTTTATGCAAATGTCGATGCACAACAAAGACTCTTCCTTTCATATGCTATTTTAAAGTCTTAAAACTTTGGTGTTGAATATTGTTGTTTATAGCTAAAATGATTGAATCTTTTTACTTTATGCTGATTGTGAGACTAAGGATGTATGATATTCTGATGTGTTTGTGTATCTCATTCGACTTAAAGAGATGTTTGTGTTTGTAAATTGTAATTTGGTGTCTTGTGTTTTATTTTTCAGAGCGAATGCACAACAACCAAAGCTGTTTGTGGGAATGATTCTGATTCTCATTTTCGCTGAAGCACTTGCGCTGTACGGTCTCATTGTTGGTATCATCCTCTCTTCTCGCGCTGGACAATCTAGAGCCGAGTGAAATGAAAGTCTTTTCATACGGGCTAAATCGTTGTAATGTCTTTATACATTTTTTTACTTTCAGTTTTCTTTTGTGGCATTGTGAGTTTTTTGAGTTTCTCATGAAAACAACCAAACATGGGTGGAAATCATTTGACTTTTGGTTCTAAATATTTTTTTCATTTGCACACTCTATGGAATACATCAGTAAGCAATAACAGATGTTGATTCAATGATTTTGAAACCTTTTTAGCTCTTTTGAAACAAAGATTTTGGAGTATAAATCGAAATGAAATGATTTTGGAGTGAAATTATGCGCCTTTGTCAATTCTCTAAACGTTATGATCAATATAGTTAAAAGGCTTAGTCAATCACTAATCCGTTGTAGTCTAGCTGGTTAGGATACTCGGCTCTCACCCGAGAGACCCGGGTTCGAGTCCCGGCAACGGAGCTTTTTTTTGTTTGCCTCTCTTTTGCATATCATATTCATCATCATCACTGATGGCCGAAAACAAATACTCGAAACAAATATTATTGAACCTTAACTTCAAAATAAACAATCTTCTCTCTACTCATCAGCAAGAACATTATTTGGTTTCAAGAGTTTGGAAAACATTTATGAGTTTCCGTAAGACAAAAAACAGTAGTGTAAGCATTACAATGAAAGATGAATAGGTGAAACTAAAAGCTTTGATAGTCATCACGGACGAGCTTTCAAATTTGATTCTTTAGGCTGCAACAACGGCTGGTTGTTTTGCCGATGTCTCGCTTTCTTGCAAGCTCTCATAGTATTTGACAAGAACATTCCATCCACTCGGACACATAAACCCATCTGGAGGATTCTCCCCTGTTCTTGCATACGTTCGCATCTGCAAGCAAACAAAAAGAAACTCGGGTTGTATAATCAAGATCAAGCCAAATTTCATGAAAATTGGAGCCTTCAAAAAGAATACTCAAAACAGTCTCTTACCTTTGTTCCAGAAATGAAAAGGAACTCTTTTGCACGAGAGGGATCGAAAAATGCCATCTTCTTTTCTACTGTATCGTAAGCTGCAACCTGAAAGATACAAATGACAGACAACATGATCAGAATTGTTTGCAGCTTAGTCTGATCATCAACAAAATTGTTTTTGTGTAATACCCTAAATGGAAGAATGTTTAGTTTCTCAAGTCCAGGAGCCATGCTCAAGACTTTCTTCCCATGGTCAGGATCATAAAGATCTCTCTTCTCAGTAGGATGTCCCATTCCTGCAGGATCACGCCCCACAATGTAGAAGTTAGCACCAGCGTTAATCCTAGCCTTGGCGTGCCACTGAACTTCAGTCGGACCAGCGTAGTGCATAGGCGATGGAAATATCGAGACAATAGTAGTCTCTGGATCAAGAACTCCATCTTCAAGAACCTATACACATCATCATCAACCAAATCAAAATCACAATCTATCGGTACGCCAATACAAGACTGAAGAAAGAACATAAACCATCCACCTTGCTATGTTGCTCCATTCGAACGTCAAGTGGAACATCATCAGCCTTCGTGAAACCTCCCAAAGGATGAAGCAAGAGAACAGGATTCTTGTAACCCATTTCCAAAAGCCTCTTCCTGGTGTCATTCATCAGCAGAGCATGTCCATTGTGCACAGGGTTCCTCAGCTGGAATGCAAACACAGCATCCGCTTTACGGTTATCGAACTCTACCCTAAGCTGTTTAGGAGAGAGCCTGTAGTGATCAAGCCCATCGTTGTACTTAATCGTCTGGAACACTTCTAAATCGCCACCAATCAGCCAGTTTTCAGATGGATTAATGTATTCTTCAACATAAGGCAATCCTGGAGAAGTCGTCCCCCAAGTTCTCGCTATCCTCTCTTCCTTGTTGTGTTTGTATATCTCTACACTGCACAATTCACAAGCCAAAGATTCATCACAACAACAGTCAAATTACTTCAACAATAAGGTTCCATAGCAATAAAAAACCCATCTTTAAGGTTCCACAGCAATAAAAAACCCATCTTTATGCCACCACCAAAGCTCTAGTTTTTGATCACATACCTTCGGAGAGAGCCGATGATGTCTCCTTGAGGGCTAACGAGAGCAACGTTCCGGGATGATCCGATCTGTTCTTTGGTGTCATCATCAATGGCGAGAACGATAGGAAGCGACATGTTGACAAAAGAGCCGTCTTTTAACCTAAGGGAATTGAAATGCAAGCTTTGCAGATACTCGTCTTCTCTCATGAACCCTTTGAGAGGACTAGCCCAGCCTTCGCTGATGACGTGTACCCACTCGAGATCAATCTGCGTGAGCTTCACTTTCGGCATCGACTCCGATTCGGCTTTCTTCAGCTCAATCTGCGATTCCGGCACCACCAATTCCACTAATTCCCCGCCGTCTGGGTCAATCAAGGAGCTCTTCACAGCCATCGACGAAGCAGATTGCATTGTTGGGTTGCGTTTATAGACCAAATTCGAAAACGGGTTGTGGTTGAAAGAAGAAACGAACGAGAATCTAGACGGGATTTGATCGGGGAAAGAGGACGATTTTGAGTTTCTAGGTAGGAATTGGAAATGATTGAGGTGAGAGACGTAAGAGGATCTGATCAGAAGAGACATGGATATTGGTGAATAAAGATCCGAGAAAGAAGCGAGGTTAGTGGAGAGTAGAGAGTGAACAGTGAAGCAGAGAAGATTTGGTCGGACATGTTGGGAGGAGAGAAGGAGGAGGAAGATGACGAACAGTGTGGGGAGTGTGAAAGAGATCCACACGTTATGCCACTTTTGGCTCTTTGCTTTTGGTTTGTGGATGCAATTATTTGCCTAAAGTTGTCTCTTTGAAACTTTTACCACTTGTTACCTTTAAATATATGAAGCCAATTTTTTTTTTTTTTTTGACTTTTGAAGCCCAATAAACTTTGCTCTTGTTTGTGGATGCAAACTTCTATATTTATACCATATGCACAATACAAAATCATATACAGTAGAAACACGTTCATACATACATACATACATACACGTTTATAGGGTGTGATGATGCTAGTTAAATGGACTTTATATGAAAAGAAGTTATATAAAGGATTTTAGTGACGAAGACGTAGTAACTAAACTAGACAAGAGACCAACGACAAGAGCACTGTTGTAAGTGCTTGGCTCGTTCTGCATAGAGTTGTTTCTTGCGTCTATAAACGTCTCGTTCAAGAAAGGTCCGCCAACAAGCGCACCATAAGCTACGTTCGGGTTTGGATCCTCCGAGTTAAGCCACTTGAATCCATCTTTGCATCCAGTGTTTGCATCGGCTGGAATCGAAGCTCCTCTGTGGTGCACAAACTCTGGATATTTCTCGCCATAACCCACCAAATAACTCATTTTCTCCGGATTCTTCCCTAGCATGTAATCAGCCTACAAAGTATAAATCAAGTTATAGTAACAACAAGAAACCATATAGTATATGTAAGTGTCATGAATGGAACAACAAATAACCTGTGATCTAGCGAACTTTCTGAGATCTGAAGGTTTGAAGGATGTGTCACTACAAGATATTTTCTCAATACCGGAGGTTATCATGTAGTCGCTATAGAGAGTGGCTAAAAATGCAGAGGACACAGGATGTTGCAATGCATTCCATTCACTAACCCATATTAGACCACCTATTAACCAAAAATCAATCAAATTTACTTAACAATGATTCTTTCATCAGTAAATGTATGGTTTGATTGTCACATGTAAAAAAACATACCATCAGTTCTACTCTCTGTAGCAGTTGGTGAGCTTGGTATAAGCCCACACATGACAGCTTCTGCTGTTTCCTTATAACCTTGAAGTCCTTTGCTTCCTGATAAACCTTTCTTGAAGAAAGTCAATCTTGACAACAGTATCTGCAAAATGGTGTGTGGTATTTGTTAAGCAAGGAAGAACATGATCCATAATTTGTAAGTGTTAATACATACATGTGTTCCTGGAAGCTTGTTGTCCCAACTAAACCAAGACGGACTTCCAAAATTCCCAAACTCTTCTCCATTTTCCGACACAAAATCAAGATACGTCTTATCCTCCGTGGCATGGTACAACCAAGAAGCAGCCCAAAGAAGCTCATCTCCATACCCCGTGGAGTTGTAATAACTCTGAACCTCAGGTATGTTAACACTGTAAGATCCTCTGTTCTTATCAGCAAACTCAAACAACTGCTTCGCATGCTTCAAAAGCGTGCTCGAATACTTCGGATCGCTTTCTTTAAAAACCAAAGACGCAGCAGCCATTGCCGCTGCCGTCTCCGCAGCGACCTCAGTCCCTGGAGTCTCCGCGTCAATCTTAGTCAACGTTCTCTTCCTCTGCATCGTCTCCGGCCTGTCCCAACATTTATGATCCGTCACCGGATCTCCCACCTGGATGTAGAGCACGTTCGGAGAAGGATGAGCGTTGATGAGGAAGTCTGTGGTCCATTTGAGAGATTCTTTAGCCGGATCTAATTGGTTGAGGGAATCCATTCGTTGACCGTATTCGAGAATGGACCATGAGAGGACTGTTGCAGTGAAAGCCATCGGGAAACCGAACTTCATGTGGTCTCCGGCGTCGTATAAGCCTTTGGAGAGGTCGAGACTCGCTTCGCTTCCGTCTTTGAGGCCTGAGTCTCCTCTCCATTCTATCTTGTTGTTCTCCAGCTTACCAGCTGCAAATTACAACCAAATCAAAATCAGAATCCGGATTTTGTGAGGCGAAAGAACAATGTTGAGGATTGTTGTTACATTTCTGGATGTCGAAGAATTTCATTGCGGTTTTGAGAGCTTCGGCGTATTTCTTGTCGATGGAGCCAGGAGGTCCGTCGTCGTCGGATTTGTTTGCTCTGTGTCGGATTGTGAAAACGATGGCGAGGATTACGGCGATTAATACGATAATGCCGATGAACCAGCTACAACAACAGCATCTGGAGCTCGATTTCGACACCATTTTCTTGCACCAGGAGATAATTAGATCCGAGGATTGTCAATGGACGTGCATTTAGGGATTGAGAAGTTTGCTGAATCTAGGGATTTTTCGAGATCTGATAAAAGTTGTGTATCGTGACGAAGATTCGAGAAAGGGAAACTAACAGATTTGGGCTAAAAATAGGGAAATGTTGATGCAAAAAATTGAATGAGAAAGAGAGAGAGAAATAAAAAAAAGCAGAGGCACCGACACAGATCAAACCTGTATGTAACCACGCGGGACGGGATCTGTTTTTTTCAACTTCTTTTTATTTGTAGAAATGTTTGTGTAATTACGGAAATGTCCTTGCCTGGGATGGAAGCAATGTGGCGAGTGCAAGGTCTTTATTGGCGGTTGCGGTCATCATTGGGATTTTCCGATTTTATCATTTTTTGGTTAATGCTTTCTTAAATACACTTACCTGTAAACTTCATTACGAGTCAGCTTCAAGCCCCCCCACGTCTGATTGATATTTAATTGTTATGGGAAAAAATTACTAGTATTATGTACAGACGTTACGAAAATATTCAGCTACTTGAATAGTACTAGTATTTGATTGTGCCACGGTTTGTTGTTGTATGTGATTTTGATCAAGATGATGGGAAAAATAGAACGGACAAGTTGGTCAGATAATTTGATTTCGGGCCATTAATAAGCAGTCCAAATCCTTATCTATACAACGACTATTTGTGAAGAAAACGCACCAACTTCAGCAAAGTGTTTGTTTCAAATCCATCAAGTTTCTGAATTGTCTTTGACTCTTTGTACAGACTCGGGTCACGAGTACACGGCCCACTTCATCTACATGAAATGTACTTAAGTTTGACACTGCGCACCAGGAGAGATAATTACAAATTCGATGGCATCGTGTACATTCGTTTATTACGTTCTACCAGTTGCTCGTCATTATTGATTGTGTATCTGTAATTTTATTGATGATCTTCTCTAATGGCTTAAAATCTTCCAATCTAATAAATAACAAATACATGCTATAAATGTGTGTATATTTGAATTCTGAACTCACAAAGTGATGAAAAATGGGTTACATAGTTTTACACAAGTAAACAACATCTGACATCTAAGTCTTCAAAGCCTTTTGATCACTTAAATGTAAATTTGGCCCCATTTTGTTACATTGAGTGGTCATTGTAAATTTGATGCATGTGAATATCTACCGATCACCTATATATACGTTTTGTGTTTCTGTGTTACTTTCTTTAATTTGCTTTAATAATTGAGAATAGTGCCCCTCATCCTCTTTTTGTCGACATACTTTTTCCCGGTTCGGCTTTCTTGGTATAGTCTAACGATGAAAACGTATCAGAAACTATGATGGTGTGTGATTAGTGTAACCGACAAAGATCGATCCGGTTTTTAAACCGAAATCAGACTGGTTGACTAGGGTCTACGTACTTATCAGTGTCTTGAGAAGTTTTGATGTGGACCTGAAACCAGTTTACTCCTTCATAATTAGAAAGGACATACGCATAAAAGCATGCTAATGTTTTGTTTCTTTCTACTCATATAATTAACATGTTTTTATCATCATGATGCATAATTAGCTCACTTTACAGAAACAAAGATCAAAACCTTGTAATCAAATCACAGTAATTGTATAGCTCTTGCTTATCTATTTCCAGTTTCCATTTTTGTATGAACTAAAAATAGCATGCGTATTTATTATTTAGAAAATAATGTAATCCTTATCCAATCACATTAAAAACGAATTCAATAGAAACCAATGAAATAAAATTTATGAAACCAGAAAAGGAATTACAAATTCATCAGAGGATTCAAATAATATGATGTAATGCCACCTCATACCACGAAGCTAAATAGAAATTAATCTGGTGAATTTGCTGATGAATTTCTAGGATTTTTTTCCATAAACATTTGCCACCACATTCAGAAAATCACTATAACTCAAATACTCAATGATCAAATTAGTAAAAGTCTAAAAGAAAAAAGAAATTGGTAAAAGAAAACCTTCCGAATTCCAAACCAAACGTGTCACAAACTCATAATCATGAACAAACATAGCCATTCTTATTAATTGTTTTAGGAGAAAAATAGTGTAATCTTATCACATTAAGAAAACCAATAGAATCCAATGACAAATAAGATGATCAAATTAGTAAAAGAAATAAAATTTCCAACAAAGGATTCACAAGAAAAGCTTGCAACCTAAGTTGGATTTATGAGTAGTGAAAACTAAGCTACAAAGAGAGTACAGTGGATTCATTACTTTTTGTTCCTGATCTGAAATCTGAACCGTCTAATTTAAATCTCAGTGGGATTAACCTCTGAAAATCGTAGTGTACGCTAGGTGAGAACATAGATGATTATTTTACCCATTACTAGAGGAGTAAATATTTGAAAAGGAGTCGTAACGAAACCAAAAACAGTGTGTGGTTATATAAAGCTGAAACAACCGCTGGTATTTCAGTAAAGCAACAAGAAATTCAGTTAACAAATTATTTTACTTTTGATTAGCTCTTTTTCTCCTCATTATATTATTTGTCTCTTTCCCCGCTCTCTCGCTCTCGCCGCCGACTGCGTAACGGTCGCCGGCCGCATTACGCCGATCATTTACGGACCCACTCCCTAACGTCTCGAAATCAGTTTCCCCGGAGTTTAATCGGAGTATTCCGATTCGATTGCATTCTCATTCACTTTCCGAAAGTTTTTCTCAGGAGGTAATGTTCCTTCTCTTCGGTTCGGTTGAAGTAGAAATCGATTCCTCTTGTTTGAGATTGTGTTTATCAATAGCGATCTTAGTTCCTTGTATTCATTTCTGTATCAGATGCACTATTGTGATTTCTCGTTTTCTTTTCAGTCGGTTGTTCAAAATCGATTTCAAATTTGTGCGTCGTATCTAGATTTGGTAATTTTCGATTGCAAACTCGAATTCGAAGGACGATGATTCTGAGATTTTTGCTTCTGATGAACCACATTTGAAATTTGTCGAGTCATTTCGTCGCCGACACTAATCCCAATTTCACCAGTAGGATTAAGCACATTTGATTTCGTAGACTAATGTACATTCGTTCCTCGGGTTCAAATGATTTCTTGTGCTTCACATAGTTTGATTTCGTTCATTGATTGATTCTGCTTGTTATAATTGTTCATTGTTCTTTGTTGAAATAGTATACTCGCGTCTTTGTCGTCTTTGAGGATAACATTTTTTGTTTGTTCCTCTTGATCAGGTGTGCACAATGATTGGATCGTTTCTAACAAGAGGACTTGTGTATGACTCTGATCTCTTCATTGAGGTTCCAAATATACTTGATCAAAGAATTTTTCATGACTTTGTTTTGACTTTGCATATGTTGGCAGAATGATATTTGGATATGCATATCCTGCTTATGAATGCTACAAAACGGTTGAAAAGAATAAGCCTGAGATTCAACAGCTTCGTTTCTGGTGCCAATATTGGTATGTGATTGCCTATTCTCATTTGTTATTATCATGATCTTTATACCTTGAGTTTTCTTTGATAAGGAATAGCTTCCTCTTACAACTTCTTGCAGGATTTTGGTGGCTGCTTTGACGATTTTCGAAAGAGTTGGCGATACTTTTGCTTCATGGTTGGTGCTGTTGATATACAAACACTAAAGAGATATAAACATATAGTACTCATTTTGTCACTGTCTTGTTTTCATGAAGGGTTCCGTTGTACTGCGAGGCAAAACTGGCGTTTTTCATATACCTTTGGTTCCCCAAGACGAGAGTAAGTAAACAAACTCTTTTAAGGGTAACTATAAAGAAAGTAACACATGTATATGTGATGTATTGGAGTTCTATCTCACTATATTTTCCTTTCTTTCCACAGGGAACTACATATGTTTACGAATCTTTCTTTCAACCATATGTTGCAAAGCATGAGAGTGAAATCGACCGCAGCTTGGTTGAGCTAAGGACCAAAGCTGGAGATCTGGCAGTCATATACTGCAGAAAAGCAGTGTGCTATGGACAGACGAGAATCACCGAGATCCTGCACTTTGTTGCTCTTCAATCAACCCCAAAACCTAAGCCTAAGGTATAATATATACGCACCAACCAAATACCAAGAACAACTAGAATGTTTTCTCCTGATAATGTTTGTGGATTTTCTCATGATTCGAATTTTTCATATCTAACTACAGGAAAAGAAACAGCCATCACCACCAGAAGAGGAACAGAAGCAACCGGATCTTAAGGCGGCAAGAGAAGCGGCACTTAGTGCTCAAGCCCGTCCACCAACCAAGAAACCGCAGCTTCTAACCAAAGAACCTATAACACCAAAGCCTATTCCGTCTCCAACTAAGCAGCAGCAACAACAAATAGAGAACAAGGAAGCAAAACCAAGCGTGTCACAAACCAAACTCACTCCTCCTCTTCCTCCACCACCACCACCACCACCCTCAACCGCCACCAAACCAGACGCTGATACGGCACAGCCATCACCATCACCATCAACAACAGAGGCAGAGAAAGCGTCAGAGACTGTTGCAGCGTTGCCAGCGACTGCGATTGAGCGAGCGTTAACTTCGAAAGAGACTATAATGGAAGAAACACTAAGGATCACTCGTGGGAGTCTGAGAAAAGCTCGTTCAACTGGAACGCGTTAGAAGAAAAGGAAACATACAAAGTTCAAAACTCTATGCTCTAATCTCCAAAATGGTTTCTTTCATCTTATCAAGTCTGCTTAGACAAGAATAATCGATTTTATATTAAAAGATTTGTTGTTTTTTAGTCAGATGTAAATCGTTCAGACCTGGGCACTAATATTGGATTTGGATCTATCCATTATTATTCACTAAAAAAAATAATTCCGCTGCCGGGCTTCGAACCCGAATTTCAGTTTCTCAATTGAAGTTGAAATTAACCTGTGTGCTACAACGGATCCTCTGCACATTCCTATTCCGTTTGCTATTTGGTTCGGTCTAAATTTTTAATACACACTAAAAAACTATTCAGCTGCCGGGCTTCGAACCCGGATTTCAGTTTCTCAATTGAAGTTGAAATTAACCTGTGTGCTACAGCGGATCTTCTGCAAATTCTTATTCCGTTTGCTATTTATATAACTTGATAATGTTTAAGATAAAAGAGAACCAAATTCCTTTGCCGGTTACAAAAATTTGGTTCGGTTTAAATTTTAAATACACAATAAAAAATCTATTCCGCTGCCGGGCTTCGAACCCGAATTTCATTCATCATTTGAAATTAACCTGTGTGCTACAGCGGATCTGTTGTACATCTAATCCATAAACATATAGATAACGAAGTAATATTTAGTATTAGAGTCACCATGAATAGAACTTTTTAGCCGGATTTTGGTCGATGCGATGACGATATTCGAAAGAAATTTTCGATGCTTTTGCCCCGTGATGGGTGTCATCGATATAAGTAGCTACTACAGAGTATAGAGCATATTCAGATATTTTTTTCCGGTTCTATCCTGTTTTCATAAAGTGTTCCATAGTATACCGAAGCAAATCTGGCATTTTTCATATATCTTTGGTTTGGTTCCCCAAGACCAGATATCTATTGCGGCCTTGCGGGTGATAGTCAATCGCTCACTCTTTCTGATATCCCAAATGTTTTTGAAGTTGATAAGTCAATCTTGTTCCCGGAACCTTAATATCTTTAGTATTTTAAAGAACAATTTTAAATCTTTTATACAGTATATGACTATTTACGTTATTAACCAACAGGTTACTTCCTGTGCAATCAATGTCATCAAATTGTCGGTTCTTTAGCCTCGATGTGATTACGTTTTATCGAATTAAATTCTTCTTTATTGAAAATAAGCAACCACCACCTGAAAGAGGAACAAACGAACAAAACACAGACGAAGAATGAATGGCACAGTTTCTAACCAAAGAACCTCCCCCACGCCTATTTTTCATCCCCACGTAAGCAACAATTTAGCATAGACCAAAAAAATTATAAAAAAGTATTCCGCTGCCGGGCTTCGAACCCGGATTTCAACAATTTGAAATTAACCGGTGTGCTACAGCGGACTTGTTGTCTATACTTCCGATCAGTTAACTTTATATACTAAATAGTTTACATATTAAAATCGTATTTTTCTAAGACAGGTCAAAACTTGTTTATTCCGAAGTTAATACCATCCATGTTCATCAGTAAGACAATAACCTACTTCTACCGATATACTATTTGCAAGAAGAGTATGTCTTTTTTAGAAATCAAATACTCCCTCCGTTTTTTTAAGATGAATTTTCTAGCAATTATGTGTTGTTTCACAAAGATAAATTTTTTACCTTTTTGAAGCACTTTTTCAGTTTTCAAGAAATATTGATTGTATTTGTTGGATTTTTATTGGTTTAAAATTATAAAAAGTTGTTTTATTGCAGTAATCTATGCACTAATGATTGAAAATCAACTTTTTCTTAATCTGTGTGAAAAAATTAGAAAATTTATCTTTAAAAAACGGAGGGAGTATTAACGAAGAATGAATGTATTTCTTTTGAGAAGAAAGGAAGTGAAGATATTAATGACGTCAAAATCAATGCGTCATGATGAGGTAAGTGAAGGCCTCAATAATAGAGGTGAGTGGTAGGCATGAGTTGTGTGGCGGCAGCATAAAAAATATAATAATTAAAAAATGTTGTTGCAAAAGAGAGAGAGAGAGATATACATCGTATTTAGTTGTACTACCAATGGCACCGTTGGATTCAATCTCGAAGATAAGATCACCAAAACCTATTGATAGTATATCAATTATTATTGCTAAAAGCGACTCCAATGTGACTAGTGTTTGTTTTTTATTGGTTGCTACAATTTTACCATGCCAAATGCACAGATTTAGACTAGTTTGTAACAAAATAAAAGCACCACCGAAAAATGATAAAACAGAGGTAGAAAAGAAAGATTCCTTTTTGGGTCACTTTCGATCGCTACTATAACTATCCCCTTTCTGTTTCTTTGTTTGTAGTAGCACAGAGCACTGTTTAGCAGCCCACGAAGTCCAAAAGACAAAAGAGGAACAGAAACATGAGTGATCCTAGAGGCCAGTCTTCAACAACGACTGTCGGAGGAAACGGCGGCGGAGGAGGCGGTGGAAACAGCGGTGGCTCTTTAGGGGGACAGCCGCAAAGAGCAAAGGTGAGGAAGCAAGTGTGGGCTGGAGTTCTCGGCATCTCTTCCGTCTCCACCAACAAATAATATTTTCTTGGTTCCTTTTCACTTTTGAAAAAATATTATGTCAAGTGAAAAATGGTGGTGGTAATTATTGTGCTTGCTCAGCGTTCTTGTGAAGTAATTTGTGTCTAAATGACAATCTAGCTAGCGAGATCATCGTCGTCATTGTTATGAGGCTTTGAATTATAAATATGTTGTTATCCTTCAACTTCTGCAGTGAGCTTTAATCCGACAAACCTCCTCAGAACTTGAATGTTGTGTCTGAAAAGTGGAAATAATTAGGCTTTTCTCGTTTGGATTGGATGTATAAAGCGCGATATTATTGTGAGTCAAGTAGGTGAATTCGCTTGCAGATATTTAAAAAAAAAAAAAAAACTGACTAGAAATTTGATGCTAAAACAAGGTATAGTATGAAAAACACATGGTAAGAATTTTCAGAAATAAATAGACTATGGAAACGAACAATAAGTTTATTGAATTCTATGGTGTGTGTTTTGAATGGTACAGCACTCTCCACTAGGTATATAATTGTTCTTCTTATCCATCCATAAGCAAGTAACTATATATATATAGCTCCCCAGATATTTTCTCACATATTATAAAATGTATAAATCATCATTTCTTACGTAAAATAAGCGGAACCAATATAAAAACTTAAGTATGCAATAATGTCCTGCAATGTGTGTCATGACCGGTATTCAGTTAAAAAATTCTTGTTCCCTCTTATACCTTATCCTTAGAGCTGTCAATATGGGCGCAATGCCCATGGGCGGCCCATGTCCAACTGATATTGGACGGACGTGGACACGCCCAGTTAAAACACGGACAAAAGTGGACTTGTCCAGTATGACCCATGGACAAATGCGGACGGACAGATATGGAAATGGGCGGCCCATTTTATCAAAATAATTAGGTTAAATCGATTTGGGGAAATTGAATCAGCAAAAACCTATTTCTCTCTTTCTCTTTTTCTCTCTTCTCTCCGTTTCTCTCTTCTCACCGTTTCACTGATTTTCCTCTCGGTGGTCTTCTGCGGTGCCAGGTGGTCTTATGCGGTGATCTTTTCCGGGGGACGACGCATCCTCTTCTTCTTCTTCTTCCGAGGAGACCAGGACGAGCCATCATCTTCTTCGGACCAGTTTTCTTTGATTGCCTTCATGGCTTCTTCAAATCAGGTAATTTTATGCGATTTCTTCTATGGTTTTTCTTTGCATGTGTGTACTTTGAATCATTTGCTCTGTTTATGTTGATCTCGTTGATTATGAGTTGATTCTAAGACTGAGAGAGATGAGTTTGATATTGAGAACAAAATTGTATGCAATTTGTAAAAACATTTAGTGAATCCCATTTGTGAATCCTTTGCTTTGTGTTTTAAGAGAAACCCATTGGTATATTTAACATTACAATCCTTTGCTCTGTGTTTTACACCAATGGATATATTGGTATGTTTTGTTTTGTGGGTTTTGATAAATTGCAATGGTTCTTAAAACAAGTTTCTTTCTTTTCATTGATGTTACAGGATGAGATGGAGGAGGAGGAGACTGTGGACCTCCAAGAGGATTACATGAGTGGTGATGAGGATATGGATCAAGAGGAGGACCAACAATACCCACCAGCCGAGGCAACAAGTACAGTGGAGAGAGGTAAACGCAGGACCTCTAAGTGTTGGAAGCATTTTAAGGTCATAGGACCGAAATATCCTGATGGTAGAAGTGACTGCAGATGTATCGTTGCAATTATACATACTGCATAGATCTTAAACAAGGAACCAATACCTTGCTGCGTCACATAAGAGCATGTTTAACTACTGGAAATAGTCCTACATGTGGAAATAGGAAACTAGATATGCTGGTGTTTAGAGAAATGATTGCAGTAGCCATCGTTGAGCATAATCTACCTTATTCGTTCGTTGAGTACAAAAGGATCAGGGAAGCATTTGCTTATGCCAATTCTAATATAGTGTTTTGGAGTCGGAATACTGTTGCAGCTGATTGTCTAAAGATCTTTGAGAAAGAGAAAAGAAAACTCAAGGAGAGCTTAAGTGACATTCCTGGTCGTTTTTGCTTGACAACTGATCTGTGGAGAGCAATCACCATTGAGGGTTACATGTGCTTGACTGCACACTACATTGACAGAAGCTACAATTTGAAGACAAAGATCTTGTCATTATGTGCCTTTCCTCCTCCACATACTGGTGCTGCTATAGCTTCAAAGGTGTTGGAGCTGTTGAAAGAATGGGGATTGGAGAAGAGAGTCTTTACCATCACAGTGGATAATGCTTCATCAAATGACAATATGCAGGGAGTTCTCAAGAGACAGATGAGAAAAAACTTGGTCTGCAATGGAGAGTTCTTTCACATTAGATGTGTTGCTCATATTTTGAATTTAATTGTGCAAAGTGGCTTGACTGTGATTGAAGAAGCATTGGAGAAAATCAGAGATAGTGTGAAGTTTGTGAAGGCCTCAGAGTCTAGAGAGAAGTCATTTCAGGATTGTGTGGAAGTTGTGGGGATTGATGAAAAAATAGCTAAGGCAGGGCTGGTTTCAGATGTGACAACTAGGTGGAATTCTACTTATGTGATGTTAGAGAGAGCTATCAAGTTTAAGGAAGTTTTTAGACATCTTGTTGAAGTAGAGCCAATGTATATGAGCAATCCATCTGAGGAAGAGTGGACAAGAGCTGAAAGTATTTGTGAGTTATTGTGTCCATTCGCAGAGATGACTAAATTGATCTCAGGATCAACTTATCCTTCAGCCAACTTGTACTTCATGCAAGTCTATATCATTGAAAGTTGGCTGAAAACAAATGAGTTCTCTTATGATGAGGTGATCCAAGAAATGGTGGGAAGTATGAAGGAGAAGTTTGATAAGTATTGGGAGGAATACAGTGACATACTTGCAATAGCTGTTGTATTAGATCCTCGCTTGAAGTTCAAGTGCTTAGAATATTGCTTCAATTCTCTAGATCCAACCACAAGTCAAACCAGATTGGATAATGTGAGAAAGAAGATGAAGAAACTGTTTGATGTGTATTCAAAGAAAACTGGCGAAGAAGCTTCTCAAAGTAACACAATGGAACAACAAGTTCTTCCTGGATATAGTGTAAGATTATGTTCTGTTTTCTCAATTTCTGTTATATGTTTATGCTTATCGAAATTCATGTGATAGTCTCATTTTGTTTCTGTGTTTCAGGGCTTTTATGCTTTTTTTTCTCAAGCAGCTGGTGGTAATGGCATGTCTGCATTAGATAAATATTTAGATGAGCCTGTGCTGGATTTTCTTGCATTTCCGAGCTTGAATGTTTTAGGCTATTGGAGAGATAATCAAAACCGCTTCAAGGAGTTGGCGACAATGGCATGTGATGTATTGAGCATTCCTATTACAACCGTGGCTTCAGAGTCTTCATTTAGTATTGGAAGTCGAGTTTTAAACAAGTATAGGAGTTCTCTTCTTCCTTCAAATGTGCAGGCCTTGATATGTGCCCGGAATTGGCTTCGTGGCTTTGAAGAAATTGGTAAGTTTTTTGCTCATGTTATTGTTCTTTGAAATTAGTTATGTGGTGTTGTTTCTATCATTCTATGGTGTCTCTGAATTTTGTGGTTTTGCATCATATTCACTTTACAAGTCATAAAACTTTGGTTAAACTTCCATGTCATTTTTGGATCCTAAGTTTTTGTTTTTTTGTTGTGTTTTAGATGATCAATTTGACTTCTCGAACTTAGAGGAAGCCAAGAAAGGAGGAGAAGAAGTTTAATAGAGATTTGGTAAGTTTTGTTGCTTCTTTTGTCATCTTGATTAATTATGTTTGGTAAATAATGTTATGATGATTATAGAGATTGGTGTATATGCGTAAGAAACTAATGAGTAAAGATTGGTTTCAAACGAATTTGTTCCTTTTTCTGAAACTAGTTTCTTCTTTCTTTACAGGGATGGATGTTGGTTTTGGCATCTGGATACTATGTCTTTTAGCTTATAATGAGGAGTTATGTCTATGAACTTGTTTCTACTTTAAAATTTTGTTTAATAATGTTAGCTTCTGAATGATGAGTTATGTCTATGACTTTCTTGTTTTTTTGAATAATGTTATATGTTTTAGCTTTTGAAGGATGTTATAATGATATATTGAAAAAAAAAAACTGAAAAATTTAACATTTATAATGAAATATCATTTCTCTAAAACAATATTATACTAATTTGAAGCAGATAATACAATATTTATCATCATCTATTTATTTTTTACATTTTCAAAAATCTAATGGTTTTTGTCCATGGGCAGCCCACGGACAGCCCATTTTTAATGGGCCATTATGGGCATGGGCCATTATGGGCATGGGCTATTATGGACATGGACAATATTTTGTCCACAAACAAATGGACATTTTTGGACGGACCAATATGGACATGGACATTCATATTGATAGCTCTACTTATCCTGGCCAAAACTAAATAATCGACTATGTAATCTAGTGTCACCGTTAGAAGTAAACCAAGCTCATTACCTAATTAGCCCATTAGAAGTATCTTGGGCTGTACGTCAATAATATTTGTGTTGATCAAACAAACCCAGCAGGTCTCTATACATTGGAAGAACGGTTTATTTGTATCCTAATTAAACTCGAGTGTGAAAATTTATACCTGAACTTAAGGAGCTGTGTCTAAAACTGCCTCAACTCGTGAAACTTTATAATAGCATACCCATACCATTAAGTCAAGAGTAACTTTGTGCCCATTGCTTGAAATTTGGAATATTTCATTCAACTCTTCCATAGATAATTTCGACAAAGGCGTAATTTATATGTGTCATTGTTGGATTGGTAATTGAAACATCATCCCACAAAACACATTTAAACAAGTTTTTTTGGATGACTAGAAAGTCTAGGATCGCAACATCATATAATCTCATCCGAAGTGCCACTCGATCATCGATTATATGTAAGTTTTGCATTTGCTACTTTTACACTTGAACCCAATAAACTAATAATATTCTATATAAAATGAATTACTAAATAATTAACCTGGTTATGATTATTCTGGTGTTGTTTAATCTTAAAGTAGAAGACATAATCATAACTGTCTGAAGTTAATTATACCAACAATATAACTTATAATTTAGAACCCCTCATCCATTAATCATTTCACCAAAAGCCTCTGCTCTTCTTTGAAAAACATAAGCAAATTTAAAATCAAACTCTTGTTTTGTTCTCTGAGCAAGAATTAATTTTTATTTATTCTGAAGTTAATATTAGTGACTGGTCCCAAATTAATCTCTCTAGCTAACTCAAAATAGGTCAAAGCCAAGCCTACATGATGCAGGACCACAACTTATTTCAACCCCTGATAGTTAGTACTTACTACAGCTTTAAATTTCGCCTTAACTACGTACCTATATAATCAGCTCATGATTAATTAACAGTTGATCATTCCTCATCATTATGTTTCTTCATATATTAGCTGACTGAAATTGAACAGATTAATTAAGAACTTTCTTCTCTCTTGCTTTCCTCTTACTTGAATAATTACAGATTTACGTCTTCAGTTCCATCTGATATAGTTGTAAATCTAATTAATATAGATATATGAACTTAAGACAATAGTTTAGCAGAGTGAACTAAATCAGTTCTGATGTTTCTTTGGAGGAGGAATACATCTGCCTCAAGCTCAAGCTATATACTGGAGAGAAAACCATCAAGAATATTACTCATTTTTTTTTTTTCAGCTCAAAGAAAGACTTGAACTCTATTTCCTGTATTTTCTTAATATTCTTTTGCCAAAGACTTTGTTAGGTTGGTTTCCAAAGTAATCAAAATATTACTAATAAATGTATCCTGAAGATGTTTGCTCATCAGTCCATACATACATTCATCTATATCCAAGTTATATATAAAAAGAAGTTCACTTTGCCGAAGACAAAGGAAGCCCATACAAATGATTTGTTCACATGCATCATCATATACACTTAATCTCTCAACTAATTTTTACAAGTACGTTTCTATTAGCCTTCAAATTTCAATAATTTATACTTTTTATTTCTTAAAGAAAAAAAAAGATTACGAAAAGCTCCTAGCAACCCCTACAATGTACTCAATCATATTTTTGATAAAGGATTTTCGTGTATAATAAAAAAGTCTATAAATACGAGCATCTCAATCAAACAAAACATATGCAAGACAGACTACAAGAAATTTTATTATATTCACCAAGGACCAAGCTATGCAAAAGCCATTTGAGAGAGCTCCTTCTAACACACACTCGCACTCCTTCACCATTCATATTAACGAACCTCTTAATCATTATCATCACATTCAGAACAACAACACCTTCATAGGTATCTCGTCATCCATGAAGCTGTTCACCAAATTCCGCAAGATTCTCACGAAGCTCATCTTCACCTTCCCCTCCTCATCCGCCACCGTACGCCGTCGCAAAACCGCCAATTCCAGCAATGGCTGCGAGAGGCTAGAGACGCCGAAGATATCGTGCAGTAACTCGTACTACTCCTCTCATTCTCACTACAGTGAAGCTATATCAGATTGCATTGACTTTTTCAATAAGTCATCGATTGATAGCTTGTCTCACCAACGTGAAGACCAGATTGTTCATGATAGCTTTTACGTTTAGCCAAGCTTAAATAAACAATGTCATCATTTGTTTTTCTTCTTTTCTTCTTATAGATAACTCAAGTTTTTTTTCCTTGTTGTGCTTGTGTATCAACAATTTTACGTTTTGAGCAATTATCATCACATCTATTAAACTATTGAGTTTTGGTATTACTTGTTAATTAGCATAATGTATACACACGTACAAACTCTTTGTTTGTGTGTATCTGACACAATAGTTCTTCTGGCGATGAATTAGATGTATATGTCTCTTCCCAAAATCTTATAACTTGTTGATAACGAAGAGGAGAATGGCATATTAAATATTTTACAACGAAAGCTCGATAAAGTTTAATTCATTGCGAAGAGGATAATTCTGTTTTTTTTAACGTATGCATAAGTTGTAGAAAAAAACAAACTAGGACTAAGAGAGGGCAATTAGTTGTCATATGCAAGATTTATTCTTACAGAGAAGTCAAAGGGATCAAGCAAAGTTTCTCAGCCTCTAATGTCTTAACAAGTATTCACTGTCTCTGCATGTTTCACTGATAGCTGATTTTGAACGGTCCTCACACTTCTTGCTGTCTTTCATGAACGCTAAAAGAACATCACCGCGGTTTTTCATCTCCATTTTGTTGATCCGTTTCCGTACAATTTATAAAAACAGCCGTTTATATAGTTTCTTTCCAAGAGGCCAAAAGCTGGAACTCTTAAGCTTTGTGTGTGACATTATATGATCTCCCAGTCAAAACGTCATCACAACGAAATCCGAATTTAAATTATTTTGGAAAGCTAATTCTACTTAATTAATGCTTCTTTGTTAACAAAAATATCAAATTACTGTATATCTCAAAATCCTCTAAGCTTTAAAACCCTCCACGAGCTCAAAGCAAATCCATTTCACGCTCACTGGCCCATGGTTTCAACTTTCAAGCAACACTTTCCTTGTGTTTAAAATCTTCTTAAACCACACCAGACGGGAGACGAAGAACGAGCTGTCCACCCATCAAACTGTTCCCAAAAACAGAAGAAACAATCCCCAATCTTTAGACATTATGAAAACATTTCAGCAATAGTTATCGAGATTATATATTACAAAGTTCTGTTTACCTCTGGACGTAGTAGTAGCAAAAATCTGCAAGAATGAAGGTTTGGACGATTTCAGAGAGAAGGACCATTAAAGGCCATAGACCATACCCTAATGCAGTCAGTAATCGCCCTCTCGAATCCAACACCTACACGCGGTAAAAACAATTTTTTCAGAAGCTGTAAAAAATGCAAAAACGGAAAAAAATAATGAGTTTATTTGTGTAACTCAAGAACCTGAAGGATCCAGTGTGCACAACTCAAGAACCTAGCGATTCCCAATGCAAATACGTAATGTGCTGTGAATGGTTCCACGATCTGAGAACAAAACAAAAGACAAAACATTAGAGGAAGATTCAGACAAAACATTTTTTTATATTTCATTTTACAAACAGCACAGAACTGTATATTACCTTAGTGTTCTGCATGACTCTTAACTGAGGAAGAACTGAAACAGCTTCAAGATAAACACAGAATGCCCAAAGAAGCCTGTTCACGATGTGGTGACGTGTCGTTGGGTGAATGAGCAAAGCTACAACAGCACATGGGATTACCTGAAGCAATGCAAGAAACAAAAAGATTCTCAAAACAAATATTACATTGGTATCAAAATTTATAAATAAACATTACCCTCCAATCAATAAACAAATTCACAAAATTCTCTTATTGGTTTAATACAACTAAAAAACAAAGTCCGTCTCATGCATAGATTCAAAGCCTGTACGAATTGATTAACCTATAGACAAGTTTTAGCTCTCAAAAACCACAAAATGAAACAGAATAGTTTGGTTAACTTACGACGTAGTAGATAGCAAAATTGTCTTTGTCTTCCATATAAGTAGGTCTAAGCTTCAAACGGATCATATAGATGACCCAAAGGGTCGTCACCAAAGTAGCTGAATCGAGCAACGTGTGAAAATCAAATTCCATTACAAAACTACAATACAACCGCACAGCCAGAAACAAAGCTGTTAGCTCCTGTGTCTTGAGAGATATCCCTGTCAAAAAAAAATTCATCACAAATTTCAAAATGTCAACATCCATGCATTTCCCAATCACACAAACGATTCTAATTAAATGGATCATAATCAAATGTAATTTCAGAAATTTCGAATTTCCGGTATATTACCAGCGCAAGTCTTCTCCTTGGTGAGTTTGTAGATAAGAACAGAGATTCCGAGAGCATGAACGGCCTCGGAAGCGATGAAAAGGTTATCGTGCTCATGGACAATCACCCTCAGGAAGACGAGCACCGTCATTGCCGAAACCACGCCGAGAAAAGCCTTCACCTTGGGCGGTTGCCGGCGAATCCATGACATCACGGACTGAATCGGACTCTTCTCCGCCTTCATCGTTCCACAAATTCGCGAGACTTGACGATTCCAAAGAAATACACGAACAGATCCCCTCTCTATTGACGTATCTAATCGCGTTTTCCCCGATTAGTGTGTGATTAAATAAATGATTATCACACACAAGTTCGTTTTCGTTTTCGTTTTGAATTGAGAAAACGAATCTGTGAATATTTGCTTAACGCAACAATGCAACGCCATTTCTTTCGCGAAGAGGACGGACACGTGGCGGAAGCTAGAGAATAGAGAATTGCTGTTAGGTGAGAGACTGGTAGTTTCTCGTCTCTTTTTTGCCAACCTATCTAATTTAATTACTCTCAGACCGGTTAAGACGAATTAACAAATCTTAGATTATCATCTACCATGTTCCGGTTTATTCAATAGAGAAGAAGAGCCACTTCTCTGCTTTTAAACGGACATGTTTAAATCTAGGCCCATTAAGGGCCCATTGGAGAGCGGGGGTGTAAAGTTTAAATGCACCGAATCGACTTTATCGAAGACTCTCTTCTTCTTTTTTTGTTCGCCTTTGCTACTCCTAACGGTCTAAAATCTCTCTCTCTCTATCTCTCTTTCTCTTGCTCTGTGGTCAATTTTGTTTCTTACAACTCTTCTGCGACGTTTTACTTCTTCGATTTGAATTGGGACTTGGTATTGCGAGATGGTTGCGAAATCGGTGTCTTCGGATCGGGAAAGCTGGGATAAAATCTTCAAAACTCTGGTCAAGATTCTACAGACGAAACAGGACGAGGTCGAATCCCTTCTCAAAGACAGGAAAATTATCGAAGATAAGCTCAAGACTAAGCACCAAAACTGGATCTCTGATGTTCGGGATTACGAAGAACAACTCTCTCTGGTAAAGTTTCCCCCTTTTCAGAAAAAGTTAGGGTTTTTATGGTTCTCACTCTCCGCTAAGTAGCTACTCTCAATGTCAGCGGAAATTCGTTTTGATTCCTCACGAATTTTGAAGTTGAATGTATTTAATTTCCTGATTTTGTCTGTTTTGCAGATGAATCGAGAAATTGAAACGATGAAGATGATGCAGCTTGTTGAGACCTCGAAATTCAGTCTCTTGTCTGGGTTAAAGGAAAGCGACCGTTCTCTCTGCAATTTGAAATTAGGTAAGTGATTGTTTGGAAAAAACAGATTAAAGTTCGCTCCTTTATGAGAACAAAGTTTCTTTCTTTTTCTTCTCTGTTTCATGAAAACCAATGTGGCAAATTGCAGAACAAACGGTGGACGAGTTAAATGACTTCAAGGCTTGGTTTGATTTCCTCACACTGAATAACACTAATGTAAGTGAAAAGTTTAAATCTTTTACTCTGTTTTAGAAACTCGTACAAATGTTTACTCTCTTTTTTAATGTGGTGATGCAGAAGGAAAGTGGCGACTTAGAAGCTGCGGATAATGAATCAATGGAAGCAAAAATCATTAAACTGAAACTCGAGTATGAGAAGCTTGCTTCCGAGAAGCAATGCGAGGTCTCTGATCTTTTACGAGAGAACGGGTTTGCTTGGAGTCAATTCAAATGCACGGAAAGTGGATTCACTGATAAGTTAAAGAAGAAAGACGACGAGATCGCTCAAGCAAACACCAAAATTTCGAGTCTTTTATCTTATCAAGAGGAGCTTCAGTCAACTAATCAGGAGAAGGATGATATCATCTCAAGATTAAAGGCTAAGGTTGCTGAGATGGAGACGAATTCTGCCAAGAAAGATGAGGAGATCTTGAAGCTCTCGCGGGATCTAGAGTCGTTGAAGAAGACTCGTAGCTTTACACCGGTTTTAACTCGATGCACAACGACACGTGACAAAGGTAGCAATGTTAACACTCATATAACTACTAAGAAAGAGAAGTCTGCTACATCAACACCAAATGAAAAGGTAACTTGTGGATTTGATGAATATGCGTGTTCTGTGTTTACTGAAGCAGGAGAATAGTTTATCTTATACAATTTTGAATGTTTTGATTCAGGACATTAAAAGCTCGAAGAGGAAAAGAGCGAACAAGACACCAGTCTCAGTTTCAGAAGTCCCAAAGCTGTTCACTTCAACATTTAGAGTTCCCAAGTTAAAGCCTTCTTCTTCTGAAGACCAATAGATTTATCTTTTTGAGTTGTTTGTGTCTGCTTCTATTAGGTTTAGGGTTTTAGAAAATCTGCATTGTAATCTATCTCTGTATTTAGGATCATCCCCCCTGATGTATAATAGCTTATAGTTCTTGGAAGTTTATTTAGTTAGGAACACAACATTCATATTGCATTTAGCAGCTGTTAGTTTTCTGTATCATTTGTCATTGAACCTTTACTAATGTTTCAGCAATGCAATAAAGATGTCAAGCGGATTTGAAGAGAAGTTTTTGCTGTTTGGTTTTGTTTGGCTTTGATATTGTGCATATATCATATGCTTCTTCTTGTTTTAGTTAAAGTTTACAGAGCCAGTGAGTCTGAAAGTGAACTTTGTGCTTCAAACCAAATCAAACCCATACTTGGTTCATGAGACTTGAACAATGCAGTCATATGATACAATCTATGAAAATCTACTTAACACTCTAAATCATTGCAGAAAAGTTTTGTATTTCGTCAGATTCTTCTTTAAACCACCAAATTTCGGTCCGGTTCAACGAATTGAATTTTCCAAATTTTGGTCTAAGTGATGAAACGACGTCGTGTCAACTGTCAAGTTCCCTTTTACGTTGGATTTAGGGCAAAATTGACGGAGGGGAAAACAAAGCGGTTTCCTTTGTAGAAGAAGAAGAAGAATGCCTTCGGAGGATGCGAAAGCCGTGAAGAAAGTTGAGGCTGAGGAAGACAATATGAGCTTGAGCTCTATTGTAAGGAAGAAGCCCACGAACGCCAACAATGTCGGTTCGTCTGCGACAGCTTCGAGGAAATCGAAGAAAGAAGAGAACGATGACGATGATGATGACAAACCCATCAAGTTATCTTTATCTGGGTCTCGACCAAAGCCACAGAAGAAGGAGATTGACGAAGAAGATGATGATGATGACAAACCCATCAAGTTATCTTCATCTGGGTCTCGTCCAAAGCCATCGAAGAAGGAGATTGATGAGGACGATGAGAAGAAGCCCGTTTCTAAGAGGAACAATTCCTCAGCGGGAGTCTCAAAGGTTCGGTTTTTATCATTCTTTCTGAGTAGAGATTCTTAGAGTTGAGATTAGTGTTTCAGGAATTTGGTAATGTCCTGGAAAAATTGAGCTTTGTGTTCATGACTGTCTGGTTTTTAGGATAAAGAGGTGAAGAAAAAGAAGACAGAGAAAGAAGAAGTAGTAGCAAAGAAAAAGACGACAGAGAAAGAAGAAGAAGTGAAGAAGAAGAGGGAAAAGAAAGTATATGATTTGCCTGGTCAGAAGAGAGACCAACCTGAGGAGGTATTTCTGTTAATCTCTCTATGTGATTACTAAGATTTGTGGCGAATCCGTCTGAAGAAATTTCATTGTTGATTCTGCAATTCTGCAGAGAGATCCACTTAGGATTTTCTACGAGTCACTCCACAAGCAAGTTCCAACAAGTGAAATGGCTCAGATTTGGTGAGTCCTTCTATTGCCTTTGTGTGCCTTAAATTGTTCTGCAACCTTCACATTACTGTAAATAAGGAACTTAAAGAAAAACGTTGACACACATAACTTGTTTTGCTATGTATCTATTATTGTGTTTGGTAGTCACATTGTTCGTACGAAAGGCGAGTCCTTTTAAACTAAAGACACAAAAGCATTACTATATATGTGATGTTTTGTTATTGTGTGGGTCTGTTCATTGTTTGCTTTAGATTGCTGTGTTAATTTAGAAACCTTTTTTCTTGTGTGTTTATGATCACAGGTTGATGGAGTCTGGATTGCTTCCAGCTGAGAAAGCAAAGAAAGTGCTTGAGAAGAAACAGCAAAAGCTTGGAAAGTTCAGTTCTCCAGCGAAATCTGCAGCTTCAACTCCAAGAAGCAGCGCAAAAAAATCAGTGACGGCAAAGAAGGACGTAAAATCATCAGCTGAAGCTTTGTCAGGGAAAAAGAAAGGAAGTGATTCGAAACCAACCGCCACGAAGAAGCGGAGGAAGGATTCTGATGATGATGATGACTCGGATGATGATTTCTTGGCTAGCAGAGTCGCTAAGAAGCCCAGAGCCAAGTAGTTTTGAGTTAATTATTAAAAAACTGAAATCTTGTTATGTGATTTGAAACTATCTAATTGTTTCTTAGTGATTAAATTTGTAGAATTCTTGAAAGTTGAATTCTTTACGAGTAAAAGCAGAGTTGGTTTATTGCTTCTGATTTTATTAGACTAACTTGATATGCAACATAAGTGGGACATATGGTTCTTGGATCCTTAATCGGAGCTTTTCAATGTGTTTGTTATCAACTTATCATCATCTTCTTCGTCAATCTTTGGCTTTGTGAGACCCAAATCAATAATGATCACTTGATAGGTTTGTTCTCCATCATCGTCATGGTTCTCTTCTTTGTTCAATTCCTTCGAAAGCTGTCGTAGACGAAGAAGTGACGAACCACACTATTGTTGTCGGTCGTGGGTTTTCGTCATTGTTGGGCTTTAGTAAAAGCTTGGGCCCAAATTTTAATATGAGCTTTAAAAGCTAGTTTTTACATTTTTGCCATCACTTTCTTTTCACATTCTTCTTTTACACCATTGATAATAACCCTAGTTGTTTTCATTTCAAGCGTAGTAAGAAACTATTTGATCATGAGAGTTGTAGATGATAACCGTTCTTCTCGTTTTGGGGATGGTTTTCAAAACTATTTCACCAAATCCGAACGTGAAGTTGCTTCAATTTTGTTGGAGCTTTGTTATCCCGTCGATTTTGAAACTCCAATTTTTTCGGTTAAATGGGGAGTTCGTAAGCTAAGAACTAGTGTTTTCCGGGACCAACTGCTCAAAACTCCTCCAATGTTGCCGGCGATAAAACTCCTGCCACCATCTCCAGATTCGGAGATGAGAAGTAGTTTGAGTTCGTGTTTATCAGACGATATGGAGAAAACTCCTCCAAAAAATGTAAGCCTAATTATATGATTCTGTTTAATCTGATTTTTTTTTATATTTCTCTTGTAAGTTTCTAATAAAAAACTTAAATTCTTTTATTTACTGAATGTTAATTGGGAGCTTTATTTTCTTTGTGAATTTCAATTTCGGCAGAGGAATGAATTTTCATCCAAGTGTGAAAGATTGAAAAGAAACAATTCCACTCAGCAAAACATATTTTTGGTTCTGGATGTAAGTAGTTTTGTTAGAAATATATTTGTTTAACCATGTTGAACTTTTGTTGATAGAGAAGAAAATTTTGCAGAACATTTTGTCAGAGAGGGAAGGTTTTTCCATTCCGGTGATGCAGCAGGTCGTTTTGGAACGTCAGAGAGTGTTTAGAGAAAAAAAGACAGAGAAGACTCGCTATACGTAGATCCAAGAAGGAGCTCAGAAATTGATTATAGTTTTTTTCAATGGTAAATTTGCTTAGTGATTAATTACTAATTAATCTTTAGATATGTCAATTGCTTTCATCAGATTGCAGCGGTTTTTTTTTTTTCTTCTCTTTTTTTTCTAAATAATGAATTTTAGTCTGCAAGGATGATCTAAACATTTGGCTAAAACCGGTTACTGTGTTTGTCAATTTTGACCCACAAAGTATCATGTGTCCCCCTATGGCTCAACATAGTGAATAATGATCGTTTACACATATACATCTGAAATGTAAGTTTTGAGTCTTCTGACACAATATATGCGACCAAACCAGAAAACTCGGAAATTTTCTATACATAATAATACATATATGGGAAATTCAGAAGATCGGAAGGATGTTTCATGTTTGGTAAGAGGTTAATTTTCTTTTAAGGAAATGCGTGCAGAAAATGTTATCGCCAGTAGCTTGAGAAGCAAGGAAGAGTTACATTGACTAAAACGGCAAGTACATGACACACACAAAAATGTTAACTCAAACTTTCTTTTAACAATTTGGACAAAAATACATTTTTTTAAAGGTTCATTTTCCCAGCTTTGATTTTTTTGAATAAAAAAGAAAGATTAATTAAAAAGAGCGATCAAGAGTCATTTCCATTGTGGAAGCCCTTTAGCCTAGTGGTTAAAGGGATTTAATGCTTCTACACCAGGAGGTCTGGGTTTCGAATCTCGGCGAATGCGATTTGCTAATAATTTATGCAGATTATTGGAGACAAGCTTACAGGAGGTCTACAGAATGGTGCACGTGGAGCCGTCGGCCGGGGAGCCTTTGAAGATGGTAGAATCGTCCATTGTAGAATTGTCTTGTAACAGTTCTCATATTTGTGTAATAGATTAGTCAATCCAGTGTTAAAAAAAAAGAGTCATTTCCATTTTCAAAGATTGTTTGATCGAAACAAACCAAATCAAGTTTCGTAGACTTCCTCTTCTTCTTCATACTCATCTTCTTCATATTACACTTGGTACAAGAATCAGTTACATCTTGTTTGATTCTTCGTACTGTTTTTTTTTTTGACCAAAATGATTCTTCGTACTGTTGACATTTAGAAACCACATAATTCATATTACTCTCAGCTTAGTAAACTCCATTTCCTCCATTCCTTCTACTGGGAAATGGATTTTTAAATAATTTTTGAAAATTCTCCAGCCCATCAGTACCTCTTGGCACGTTTTCTTTTCTTCTTATGAGGAGGGATTGTTATCTTAGGCTGAGCTGCAAGGACGACACTGTTCCTCCACTCTTGCAAGTGCACTTTCTGCTTCATCAACTCTACAAAGAAACCAGTAACACTAACACATCATAATCAAATCACTTGTGCGTGTTTGTTGAATAGATAATTAGGAGCAAAAATATAAAGGGAGAAAATAACTTTATTCCGTACGTATGAGCTGTAAGCAATATCTCGCGATACTGGTCATGCTTTACAGGTTCATCATGGGATGCTTCTTGCACATCATCCATGTAGTCAAGCGCACCATCCATAGTTATCACCGATGATGCATGGTGATACTCTTTTGCCGACCATAGTATGAATGGTTTCAAATGTGCTAAACCTCTGTTAGGATCGGGAGGGATGAGTGATCCTATCATATCCTCGGTAAAGAAGCAGCTTCGGGTGATCTTCAGGATTTCCTCAATCCTTGCTAAGTGACTAGGTTTTGCGACTCTACAGACAAGTAACACATGAGAATAAATTCACAAGTGTGTTAGTTTGTTGTGTAGATTAAGAGTTGAGAAATTCGGACCCTGATAAACTCTTTATACGTTTTGTCAATTGTTTCCAGCAAAGAAGCAAAATATAAAGGACAATCGTGCATAGTTGGACGCTGTGAAACAACCATATATTGTTTGAAACTGGCCTAAACAAAACACAACTTTTGCTCATTAAAACAAAACAGGTTGTATTGTATCTTTCTAGTTTCTCAAAGCTATGACCAATTTTATCTTTACATGACTTTAGAATCCTTCAGAATCAAACTAAACAAAACACAACTTTTTGCTCATTAAAACAAAACAGATTGTATTGAATCTCTCTAGTTTCTCAAAGCTATGGCAATTTTTTCTTTACCTTAAAGACTTTAGAATCCTTCATAATCAAACTAAACAAAACACAACTTTTGCTCACTAAAACAAAACAGATTGTATTGAATCTCTCTAGTTTCTCAAAGCTATGACCATTTTTTATTTACATTAAAACTTTAGAATCCTTGAACCAAACTATTGTGTGAAACTAATCAAAACCCTGATAAAATCTAACACGGATTCTCTCAATTAACTTTCTTAACGGTGATTCCAAGAGCAAGTTCAGCAACTTGCCCAAGCAATGTACAGGTATGTCTTAGTTACAAAACGATCTCAATATCTCATAAATGGTTGATTAAACATTGTATATGATTTGTGGACATAGCGGATAAATATGAGATTTTACTTTTATACAAGCTTTCTCTCCTCAATAAGGATATGTTGTTGGTAACTAGTGATGTGGATTTGGCTTTTCTTCTCTTTGCTTAACAAGTAAACGGACAATCGTCTGCAAAGAGGTGACTGATTTTATACATACCGAATGTTGTTGAATGTTGTTGCTGATGTGATTATTGACAGCCTAATTTATTTTTCTTGTTGGATTATTGACAGAAATTATTCTTGTTGGATTATTGACAGCTTTTGAGGCTCTGTTTAGATCAGTTACTCTATTTTCTTTTTATTTGTGTTGGTGTTTTGACAATTTTGGATTATTGATTTGAGGCTTTGTGTTGGTTACTTTAGTATAAAACCTAGAACTTAATTGCCAAAACAATATGTCATTTGTCCGCTGATCTTGTCTGCAAATAATAAAACCTAGATGAATACATTCATAACTTTGAAAAGCTCGGCATTATACAAAATTATACTCTGTTTTTTAATTGATAGGGTTTCCGGAGTTTTCACATAAAGTAAAAGAATAAATTAAAAGTTGATTATAAATGATCATTTTTGTTATTAACAATTTTCTGTAACTCTTAACCAACATAGTTCATCATAATAATAACTAGTAAAAAAAGCGTAGAAAACTTTTAAAAATTAAAATTTCACAGATGAAAATAAAAGAGTAGTTCTAGTCTTCTAGATAATAGACTTGTGCTGCATCGATCACAGCTTACACTTGTTATTACGGCTCCAAGACCTGCAAAGTATTCATTATACATAACTCACAAGTTAGCAAAAGAGGAATGATCAAAATGGTATTTCATTTGGATTAGTTAATTACCAATATAATACCTCACGCTTGTTTGTTCATCATCAAAGCCACTCCATCAATACCTCTTGGCACGTCTTCTTTTCTTCTTAGGAGGAGGCGCAGTTGCAGTCTCGGGAGGGATTGTTGTCTTAGGCTGAGCTGCAAGGATGACACTGAAAACCAGAAACAGATCCATGTGACCTATCATGAGCTCCTTCACTCTTGCAAGTGCACTATCTGCTTCATCAACTCTGCAAAGAGACCAGTAACACATGAGAAATCAGATCACTTGCGTGTGTTTTGTTGAATAATAAACTTCATTACGTACGTATGAGCTGTAAGCAATATCTCGATAAACTGGTCATACTTGGCAGGTTCATCATGGAATGCTTTCTTCACCTCATCCATGTAGTCAAGCGCAGCATCCATAGTTAGCACCGGTGATGGTGATACTCTTTTGCCAACCATGGTTTGAAATGGGCCTAACCCTTTGTTAGGATCGGGAGGGACGTCTGATCCGATCATAGCCTTGGTGAAGAAGCTAATGAAACCAAGAAGCAGCTGTGGGTGATCTTTCAGGATTTCCTCAATCCTTGCTAAGTGACTAGGTCCAGCGCCTCTACAGAGAGACAAGTAAAAGTAACACGTGAGAAGATAAATTCACAAAGTGTGTCAGTTTCTTTGTGTAGATAGTAGATTAAGAGTTGAGAAATTCATTACCTAGGAGCTGCTTTTATATCTCTGAGGACCTGAACAAACTCTTTATGGCTTTTTTCATGAAGTATTTTCCGCAAAGAAGCGTGGTATAATTTATACTCGTGCTTAGTTGGATCCCGTGAAACAACCATTGTTTGAAACTGGCCTAAAAAAAAGACAACTTTTTTCTCAATCTCTCTAGTCTATCAAAGCTATGACCACTTTTTTCTTTCTTTACAGTGACTTTAGATTCCTTGAGGATCAAGCTATTGTGTGAAACTAATCGAAACCCTTATAAAATCTAATTAACACTGGATTCTCTCAACTAAATTTCGTAGATCAGCACCCTTACAGCACTGGAACTCAATCTCGATGGTGAGAAGACAAAAAGAATCCAAGGAGAAATCAAAAATCGATTTGGAAAGCAACCATTCACAAGAGAAACAAAGTTTATATAGTTACCAGCCAAGCCTTTCTTCAATAACAGCATGCCCTTATATATATATAGGGACGACTAAAACATCGTTTGATTAAGAAAAGACCTTAAAAACCATCTTTATCTAGTAATGGAAAAACACAAAAGAAAAGGAAATATTGGAGACACGCAATGAACACAAAACATGAGATGAAGATTAAGCTACATCGAACTAACACTGTATTTGCATGAGCTATGCATGAATTTCTCCTACACACAATCATCATATAAGAAGTAAATCTGTACATGCTAATTGCTAAACCACTCATCAGTAAACCACTAATTGCTAAACCAAAAAAAAAAAAAAATTGCTAAACCACTCAAAAGCTGAACATTACTAGTAGTCTAGTAGTTTGTTTACAAGACAGAATGTAAAGCCACAATGGAGCTTCCAACAAAAATACCTCCGGTTATTGGGAAGGCGGAGAAATTGGCAGTATACCGGCAAAAGTGGTATCGGAGGAAGCCCACTAATGTATCTAACATTACGGGCCCATTGGTTAGAAACGATGTCGTATCATCTATAAGTAAGCCCTAGACTTGTTCCATCGTCCTTTAAAAGACCTTCAAGTCTTCTTCTTTATTGGTATCTATCCCGCAGTTCTTCGCGTCTTCCTTTTTGCTTTTTTTTTGTTTTGTTCTTTTTCTTTATAGCGTTCGTCTTTAAAATTTAGCTTATTTTTGCAAAAGAAATTTGGTTTTCTGTGTGAAAGATTTGATAATTCAAGTGATGAGATTTGATCTAAAATTCTCACGACGGTCGTCTGAGACATATGTTGTCGCTTGATGCACCGATCACACCTCTCTGATGAAAAATTATTTCTTTATTCGCAATCTTCTTAATGATTTCAATGCAAAAAAACTTCGATTTCAATTTATTTTTTGTGTTAATTTTTTTTATTTGCAAGAGAGATTCATTCCAATTCGTTTTTTTTATGGCATATGTGATTTCTTTATCTCCAGATTAATACTGAAACGAATCTCCATGATATGATCATTGGTTAAAAGACCTTGAAGGCTATATATGTTAGAAACGTATAAGACCAAAGAACTATATTTGTTGAATCTTTTCGATTGTTTTCTCCACAGGTGGAAACTAAAACGAATTAGACCTATGATCATTGTTGAATTAGCTAAAGCTGATGTCAGTGCCAATAATGGATAAAAATTGATAAATTGAGGGAATAATTATTTTTATGAATCGAGCGATTGTATTAATAATAATAATTGACTAACCAGAAAGCGATTATTTCGTTACAATTGCGGATGAATTGTTAAAATCGATTTTATTATTACAAGTCCGTAATCGTGACAGAACATAGTCTACTCTAGACACAATCATCTGCGTGGCATACGTGTGCTTTGCACGTGCAGGAGCATTGTGTGATCGGTTTTGGCAGTTTGTTGTATATACTTTCACAATCACAACGTACAAATACAGAATTTGATCCGTTTAATTAACCGTCAGATAATTTCCGGTCTAAACAGATTGATATTTGATATATATACACAGAAGATATTTAAAGGAAAAAATAAAGAGATATATATATATATATTTATAAGGTTTCTAGTAAAATAACGATAACCACAACTTTGATCAACGAAGAAGATACTCTCTCTTCTTCAAACCTCATCCACCCAAAACACACACAAATGTCTTGTTTCAATCCTTCTCTTATCTCTCTCCTTCTGTTTCCTTTTTATATTCCCCCTTGAAATTTCCTCCCAATTTCACTTCATTTCATTTCCTCCGCAATGGCTACTACTTTGAATGCTGCTGTTTCTCTCGCCTCTTCACAGTCTTCTTCCTTTCCAGCTACGAGCTGTGCCATTGCTCCTGAGAGGATCAGGTTTACTAAGGTATTGCTTTAGCTTTTTCTCAACAAAGATTCCGATGAAAACAAGAAAAAAATTGTGTGGTCAAGATTCTAGAGATGCTCTGCTTTTGAGGCTCTGCTTATTATCCTCTTGGTCCTGTAACATGTTTTTCAGTAAATTTTTTCGAATTTGGATAAATGTGCTTCTGGTTTTTACTTGGGAATCTAGAAAAACGGAGAAATCTAGGTGAAAATGACTGATGATTTTTTAATTATGCCCCCAAAGTGGCCAATTTTCAAGATCAGTGTACTAGATTGTCTCTGGTTTGTTGTTTAGTAAAGTTTTAAACTTTGGATAAGTTTTCGAAGATCAATGTAGTACTGAGTATTCTCTGGTATTGATTTGGATATTGATTATGTCTCTCTGGTTTTGTTGTTGTTGTTGTTGTGTTGTAAAAGGGTGCTTTCTACTACAAAAGCAACAATGTAGTGACAGGTAAAAGAGGGGTTTCAGTAAGAGCTGAAGTAACAACAGACACTCCTACTCCTGTTAAGAAGGTAGAGAAAGTGTCAAAGAAGAACGAGGAAGGTGTGATCACTAACAGGTACAAACCAAAAGAGCCTTACACCGGCAAAGTCCTTCTCAACACCAAAATCACAGCTGATGATGCCCCTGGAGAGACCTGGCACATGCTTTTCAGCCATGAAGGTTGAGAATGAGATTCCATTTACTTCTAATGTCTGTTTCCCTTTCTTGGTTGATTGTAATGAAAGTAACAGTGACTTTCTTTCGATAGGAGAGATCCCGTACAGAGAGGGTCAATCTGTTGGTGTGATTGCGGATGGAATTGACAAGAATGGAAAGCCTCACAAGGTCAGGCTTTACTCCATTGCAAGCAGCGCTCTTGGAGATCTTGGCAACTCTGAAACCGTAATACACCATTTTCCCATGACATAATAATATATATTCGAAAAGAAATTACGGTTTTGTCTTGTCTGGTTAGCTGAATGAATGAGCAAGTTGTTTTCAGGTTTCTCTGTGCGTGAAAAGACTTGTCTATACTAATGACGCAGGAGAGGAGGTTAAAGGAGTCTGCTCAAATTTCTTGTGTAAGAATTAGTGATAAAAGCACACACTTGTTTTTCCTTAAACTTTTTTCAACATATTCGACTTTCAAGTTTTCTTTTTCTTTTTCTTCAGGTGACTTGAAACCTGGAAGTCCAGTTAAGCTCACTGGTCCTGTGGGAAAAGAAATGCTTATGCCAAAGGATCCAAACGCCACTGTTATTATGGTCTCTACCCTAAACTGTCTGGACTTGCTTATTATTAAACTCTATAGGTTCTGTTTCTTGAAACAACATTAGTCACCAATATAATCTTTTCTTCTTGATGGCGGCCACAGCTTGCTACAGGGACAGGAATCGCTCCTTTCCGGTCTTTCTTGTGGAAGATGTTCTTCGAGAAACATGATGACTACAAGGTGAGTGATGATGCTTTGGCCAATAAGCATTTAGATTATGAGACCATATATATCGAAATTTAACATCTTTCTGTGATGCAGTTCAATGGCTTAGCTTGGCTGTTCTTGGGTGTTCCAACCACTAGCTCATTGCTCTACCAAGAGGTACAAATACATATACACTCTTGACTCTTCATCTGGATTCTCAAGTCTTTCCAGTTTAAAAGAAATCAATGCCCTTTTTGTTGTGGTGGTGATTGAATCTCAGGAGTTTGATAAGATGAAAGCAAAGGCCCCCGAGAATTTCAGGGTGGATTACGCGATAAGCAGAGAACAAGCAAACGAGAAAGGAGAGAAAATGTATATTCAGACCAGAATGGCGGAATATGCACCTGAATTGTGGGAGCTGTTGAAGAAAGACAACACTTTTGTCTACATGTGTGGGCTTAAAGGCATGGAGAAAGGAATTGATGACATTATGGTCTCGTTGGCTGCTAAAGACGGTAAAACAAAAATCTATCAAATTTATTAACCAAATGAATCTTGAAACATCCATTGCATATTCAAAAGTCATGTAAAGAAAGCTTAAAATGGTTTTTGCTTTGTGATGGTTTAGGTATTGACTGGTTTGATTACAAGAAGCAGTTGAAGAAGGCAGAGCAATGGAACGTTGAAGTCTACTGATTTAAGAGCTGTTAACATTCTGTTGCAAATATAGTGGAACAAAAGTGTAATTTTCGCATTCAAAAAATTTGTAATTTGAAGCAAGTCCTTTTAGATATATTATACTAAAAAGCTTTTTTTTTTGTTCCAATCTTTATCTTATAAATTGCCTTTATTTTGCTCTTAAGATAATTGACATCTACCTACAAAATGTCAATTCATCTGAACTCAATAATAAAACTATTTGTTGGTTAGAAAATTGGCCTCAGTTGAATTGACACCAATATGTTTATATCATGGTAGATAAACCAATCCCCTGACAGTGAGATGAGTAAAATATCCAGTCTTATCCATAAATATGATGATCAAATGAAATTCATGCAATCTATTTAGACAAAGTAATGGTTTCTTAGGACACTTGAATACTCGAGTAGTTGATTTTGGGTTAGACATTCATCAAATGACACATTTGCGTCAAACCTTATAATTCTACCTTCAAGCCATCAAATATCATTAGAAATGAGAAAGAATCTCAACTGAAGATATTTTAAATTTTTATGTCAAGACTCAAGAGTATGGTTGAGATTCTTTCTTGAAGCCGACCAAAACAAAGAAGAAATCTAGCAGGCTAATGTTTCTTCTCTCTTCTTTTTCTTGTTGTCATATAGTCAGAACTGGCTAAATGCCTAAATCCTATATCCACTAAAAGGAAACCACGTAGTCAGATCCACCGGAAGCTACCAACATACAGCAACACTAGATTAAAAGATCCACAACAGTTTCTCCTTAATTCACTCCTCTGTTTCGCTCCCAGAGGAAGAAGAAGAAGAAGAAGAAACAGAGCTTTGACATTTTCCTTCAACTCAATCATGGCATTGGTCTTCTTCTTCATCATCTTATCCAATTCTTTCTTCTCTGGTAAGAATCTCCTCTAAATTTCCTGAAAATGTCATAAATTCAACAATTGTATAATGATTTCAAATATCTTTTTTTTTGTTATCTCAGGAGTCATGTCGAGGACCTTCACTATAACGAACAAATGCGAATACACAGTTTGGCCGGGAATTCTATCGAACGCCGGAGTTTCTCCATTACCGACAACCGGCTTCGTCCTCCAAAAAGGCGAGTCCCGTACAGTAGACGCGCCGTCTTCATGGGGCGGTCGTTTTTGGGGAAGGACACTCTGTTCCACAGACTCCGACGGAAAATTCTCATGCGTCACCGGAGATTGCGGCTCCGGAAAGCTCGAATGCTCCGGCACCGGAGCTGCTCCTCCGACTACTCTAGCGGAATTCACTCTCGACGGCTCCGGCGGACTCGATTTTTACGACGTGAGCCTCGTCGACGGCTACAATGTCCAGATGCTGGTCGTCCCTCAAGGCGGGTCCGGCCAGAATTGCAGCAGCACCGGCTGCGTCGTAGATTTAAACGATAAATGTCCATCGGAGCTGAGAGTGAATAATAGCGGCGGCGGTGGGGAGGAGGCAGTAGCGATGGGGTGTAAAAGCGCGTGCGAAGCGTTTCAGAAGCCAGAGTATTGCTGCAGCGGCGCGTTTGGCTCACCTGACACGTGTAAGCCGTCTTCGTACTCGCGGATCTTCAAGAGCGCGTGTCCACGCGCCTATAGCTACGCGTACGACGATAAGACGAGTACTTTCACGTGTGCTAAATCTCCCAACTACGTCATCACTTTCTGTCCATCTCCCAACGCTAGGTAAATTCCTTAAACACCCTTAATGCTTGTTACTTACGTTACGTAAGATGACGAGCCATTAGTAAAAGAAATTGCTTGTTGTGTAGTGTAGTGTAGTTGAAGTCACGAGATACTCGACTGTCGATACTATCATATTTCAAGTGTTTTTGTTTCTTTCTATTTTCGAAAGTTTGTTCTTTTTATGATTACCTTTTTACCATCAGAAGGTGGAGACATCGTTTGTCACTTTTGTACAAGAAAGATACATGGAAACAGCATCCACTAATTCCTTCTCATATGCAGCCTAAGATCATCTGAGGAAAAGAGCACACAGACGACAACTACGACATCAGGAAGTACGTCATCGTCGCAGATGGTCTACGAGGGTGGTTTGAACGAGAGCAGTGGCTCACCATCAACGTGCGACCTCGGCTCACGTGCAATCGCGGTCGCGCTCTCGCTTGCTCTTTGTCGGATGTGGCGGTTCTTCTGACCAGTCTCTATCTGCAGAAACAAGAATGTATGTGCCGGCCCATGTGATGTTTACATTTAGTTATTGTTTCCAACGGGGAATGGTTGGTGGGTGAAATAGATGACATAGTCACATAGATGATAGATTTGTATGCTTAGAACATCAGTTTTCTTATTACTATATCAAATATGTAAGTATGGTTAGATCAATACTTTGATAGTTTCTCTGGTGATTGAATAGTTTCTTAAGCTCACCATCGAGGCGATCAGGTTAGATACTGTTGTAGTGGAGAACAGATGGGTCAATATCCTATCTTCATTTCCATTTCTAAAAAGCCCACAAAAATTAGTTTAAAAAAAAAAAATGTCAGATGTGGGATTTGAACCCACGCCCTCTCTCGAAGACCAGAACTTGAGTCTGGCGCCTTAGACCACTCGGCCAACCTGACATGTATGATAACAGGGCTCATCGTATATTTATAGCATAGTAATAAAATACTTAAATTGGTGCCAAACTGCTCGTTTACTATTACCAACAAAAAGAGACTTGTTTTGACCACTGAGTTATGGCATTTGCGAGCCACAGACCATACATAAGTGATTTACTTGGATGGATGAAATTGTTACATACATAAGTGGAACACAAGCTTAATTTATGGAAAATCAACTCGCGTACAGGGGAAACAAGAGAGAATGAAGAAAGTTTGCTGCAAGTATTACTTCTCTGGGAGCAGAGTTAAAAGTCAAAACACATGAAAGTTTTTAACAGCAAATGAAAAATCGGTAAATTATCCTCAAAAAGAGACTCATGTTCTACCCTTTGTTCACTGCTATAACTGAGGAGTTAAAGAAACCAGATTTCAATCGTATAAAGTCTAATGCTTTTTTTTAAGGAAATGAGGAAACTCAATCGCACAAAACGCTTTCCGTGACATAAACAAAGGTTCAAAAGAACCCAACCAGATAACACCTTGAAACTGAGAAAGATCAAATAAAGACATAAAAGAGAAGATGACTATTAGAATCTTGCAAGATTACTTTCAACGGTTTTTCTTCTTCGTCTTTGCTGCGGCCTCCACGTTATTGGCAGCAGATGCACAAATCTTTATCCAGCAACGGTAAGAAACGAGGAAAGGTATCAACACCCACCATCCATTAGCTCCAATGTAGTACGAGTAATAGTAGAAGGAGTTTGTAGCAAAGTTGTCTCCTTCCAAGATAGCAGTAATGAAATACACTAGACATCCGTAGAGCTGGCCTAGCGAGATCGCAAGCTGAAGCACGTAGCTATACGACTTCCCCTTAGCAATGGCGTATCTATATTCATTTCCAACAATTTAGACTGATTTAACTTAACTTATACAATAACCGAACGGACAAAGATGTTAAAACTTACACAGCGAGTAAACAAGCTGGGCCTTCTATAACAGCGGTGATGCCTTCAACAGCTATCACTGCAGAATCTCTGCTTGCGTATCTCGAATCACCTTTGCTATATTCTTTCCCTGCATAAAAAGTATAAAATTGGCTTAAATGTTGAGTGATTGTAGCAACAGTGGAGTCTCTTGGTGTAGTAGCAAAGACTTACAGACTTCAGCGAGAAAGCAAGACTTGTTGTCCTTGAAAAACTCAGGGGAGAAAACGAAGTAGCCCTCAAGGACCATGTGAGTGAGACCAGTGAACGCCCACCAACACATAAGCAATTTGTCAAGCTGAGGTTTCTTCCTCCCTGGAAGATGAAATTCTCTGATCAGTGATCCGATTTGGGTCAATTCTCAGCGGAAACAAGTCAACCTAAGCTCGATTTGTTCACTATTACTACACCGATGTGCTCAATTCAACTTAAATCGGAGATCTAGTATCGTCATCATCAAATCAGAGAAGAGGGAGAAATGGATTTTACCGAAGAGAAACCAGACGAGGGTAACGACGAAGAGGGAAGCACCGAGGTAGACGGTGAGAATGGAGGACATGGACAAGGTCATCGGAACGTATCCCGGAAGTTTCAGATCTCTGGGAACGTAAGGATGTGCCGCTTCCTCCATCTCTGTATCTTTTGGGGCAGAGAGAGAGAGAGAAGACGGGTCTTGTGTTTCTCTGCTCAATGGACTTAAAATGTGAATTTTTGAGCTCGGATCTGATCTGAGACTAGTTTTTAATTTTTTTGGTCAACAAAAAAGTTGGATTATGATATGATTTATTTATTTAAATCTCCAAGAGAAAGCTAGTAATTTATATTGTCAAAATACGACCGTTTTTGTTTGGACACGTGAATGTGATTTGTCCTCTCCCGGAAGGAAATGAATCTGTGTGAATAAGGTATTTAACTCTAGCATCCTTATCCTAATAACACTTTGAATTTATTCTGAAGCTATTTCCCTCTGATTGCCAAAATACTTCAACTTTATATAACACTACTGATTTGTTAAACCAGAACATCATCTACTACACTTTCGTTTTTCTCAACCGTGCGACCAGCGACTTCTTCAGTACCGTCTTATCTCTCTCAGTGAATCTGATGGCGTTATCCGATGCGTTGCTCGCAAACCTTCCCAAGGTCTACATTGCGGTGGTTTTCGTGATCAAGGCGTATGGTTTGGTTTCTGGTTGTAACATTGGCGCCGTAGTTCTCGTTATCGCGTCGACTGCAGTGGTCGTCGCCATGTTGGTTCTAACGATGGCTTGGGACGTATTAAGAGGAGCAACAAAATCAATCTCGCAGTACAAGAATATCAGTCACCGTCACCATAACGACGGTGGCGTTGGTGGTAGCTGTAAAGGAGGGATTTGCTGGTACGGTTTAGCGTTCCGGTCACACGCTTCACAGATTCGGTTTAGGCTCCCATAAAAGTGGACTTCACCTTCTTTTTCCCTTTAGTTTGGGAAAAGTGGTTTCAATCTTAGGGAGTGAAATATAATTTATCACAGTTGCTATGTAGTAATTAAGAAATAAAAGAAGAGGCGAGAGACATTTTTTATGTTCAATGTTTCATCTTGCTGCTCAAAAAAGCTTGAACTAGTTACAATGAATAGATTTCTTGCTTGCTATATATACGATCAGGATTTGATGTATTTAACTGACATCAAGATAATATAAGGTGCAATAATAATAAGTTGATGCAAAGTTTGATCGATGTTAGAGATGAAGATTGTTTGTGAGGAGACGGAGGAGAGTGACGCTCCCTTGGCTTCTCGGTTGTGCCGCCACTGTGCCCGTTGTCGTCTTCTTTCCGCCTCTGTTCCCCTGCAAGTCAATTTGAGAACATTTTCAAGTGATATGGATCTGTTGTAAACTTGTGCCACTCTGTGTCTGGTTTGGTCATGTTATGTATACCTTTCGCTCGGTGATATCATCCTCGATCTCTAACGTGTTTATTTCTCTTGTTAATAGCACGGACGAAGCTGGTTGAAGTCTCCTGCGAGAGTAACAAAGGTTTTTTTTTCTGTTTAAGTAAACCTGAAAAGAAAGTAGTGAAAGGAGAGTAAAAGAATGGCAAAGCGAACAACCTTTTTGGTTTTTGCCCATTCCTCTGTTTCTTAGCTGATGCAGGTTCTGCTTCACGGGCAGGGACTTCAACTTTACGATGCTGTGTTGATTCTAGTTTCTCTTGAACACGAGTCTCGGCCATCTTAACCTAGGGATGAGTAAGAGGTTTGGTTAAAGCAGTTTTTGAGCATTATGATATTTGATTTCTGTGTCATGAGGAAATGTCGTCAAGAATGGCCAAACCTGTGGTTTCTCAATCTGGTTATCGTTTAAGTCCAAGTCATTCATTTCCTCAGCTAGCGATCTGGATGTATCTGGCAACAGTCTTCTGTTTCTGGAACAAGACCAAAGAGAAATGAGAGAGAGCGAGTAACTCTAATAGCTTAGACAATGTCAATATCAGAAATCTCTCCCACCTTTCTTGTTTCTCTGAATCTGGAAATCTGCGGGATATTGCGGACTCTGTTTGAATGTTAGACAGCCGGTTGTTGTTGCAATTTTTACTAACTTCAACTTGTTCTGGTGAAGGCGTTGGATCATCTTGCTTGGCACAGGATATATCCTCGTTTCCCAAGTCAGGTACTACATTTTTGCTTGGCACAGGAGACTCATTGCATTCTTCTGCGCTGACTTCTATTCTTGTCTCGATAAGGTTGCTAGGATCCTCATCGACATTACTCTGGAAATTTGTGATAAGCAATAAATATATCATTTGTAGGTATAAGAAAGTGAAGTATCAAGAATACAATCCAAAATCATATCCAAACTTACCTCTGCGTTAGCCAAACTTGTGGCAACCTCGAATTGTTCTTTGGCATGGCCAAGTGCTTCTACCTCAGGTATACATGGTTCTGCCGAGTTTGACTTGGGAGGTAGGCAAGAAGACTTGAGATTGTTCAATTCTGTCTCCAGTTCACGAGATTTGAGTTGTTCACTTCTCAGGTTTTCCTTGAGACTGCAAATGGCACCTTCTGCAACCTAAGATAATTATAGAGTAATAGGCATTATGCATACTTCAACAATGATATGTCAAAACTGATGAATGTAATTAAAAGGTAATGGCAAAATATTACTTTTAATTTCTCGTTGTACTGCTTCAGGACATTCCATACGACTTTAGCAAAATTACGCATGATGATGTGCTCTCTCTCACTTTTATCCGACGCAACATGTTCAAGCCTTGGAGATGATTTGTCCGTTGGATCTGCCTTCTTTTCCTTCAAATTCACTGGTGAACAATCGCATTAGAAATCAAGGAAGCAAAAAAGATTCAAGAGACTAAACTTCGTGCAGGTAAAATGTTTGGAAGAATTTTCAGAGCAGAATCCTACCTTCCTGAGAGATTTGGTTTTTCGCTTCAGCAACACTTTCGTCATTCTACAGATGGCAAAAACATATTCTTTTAGTAAATGGCATGCACAATAACATTCCAGTTTTGCTAAAGACACAAAAATGCGTAGAGGAAGCCAAATTTACTTGGGAAGTCTTGGGAACACCGAGTTTCATTTTCTTGTTTCTTTCAACTCTTGGAAATGTCTTGAGCTGCCTCTTGTTGCAAACCTCCTCAGTGTTATCAAATCTAAATTAAAACACCAAACGGAAAGACATTAGCAGTTACGAGAAATAGACTTCATCTTTGAGTTCATGATAACGAACATTACTTGATTTTCATGTAAGGTGATGCTTGTTTCAATAGATAGGACGTATCAAGATAATCCTCTTCTCCTGCTTTGACTGTTAAAATCTGTATAATACTCAAGAAGAAAATAAATTTCAATATATCTAATTAGCTCTTGTAAAAGAAAAACTCAAGAGAACATCCCACAAATACTCATACCAAAGCCATCCTCTTTTTTCCTTCTAGATAATCTCGCAAGTACCTTGTTAACTACATAAAGCCAAAATCACATTAGCATTTGGAGTGAAGGAAGACTAAATAACTCATCATTCATTTAGACTTTTTCATCAGAAAATAGGGAAACAAAGGGGTTTTGTAAGGGCTACCAAAGAATTTTGATGATGTTTCTGAAATCCCTTTTTTCGGTTCTTCTGGTACTCCAGCAGCGCCTGCCAAAATATACAGTGTGCTCATTGTTAGTGGATTCGTAGGCGTAAAAAAAGAAGGAAGACAAAACAAGGTCATCTCTAGGGAGTCCAAAATCAATGCCCTTACCCGCAAACATTGACCGAAAACCATGGATGTATTGTTGATGAAATTACTCTCCACCAACCTTTCTCCCTGCAAAACAAACCAAACGGGCAAACAGGGATCACGTATTTGTTTACAGATCAAGACATTGTTCACTGTTAACCAATTCCTACTGTGATGCTAAGAAAAAGTAGCGGACAACATCTTACAGTCAGCTATATATGTAAACAAGGAATCTTTCCTCCTAACTATTACGCTTAATCTGTACTTTTAAATATGACATTTGCATATCAAATCTGTAAGAGACTCCATATACAGAGGGTAAACAAAATATATCACCTGATTTCCAGTTCTTTTCTCTCTTTCTGCTCCCGCCAGGTCCACTATCGTCAGCATAGCATCACTAGACTGCGTTTTTGTTTCGTTGGAAACGCCATTGTGTGCTGCTCTTATGTTAATGATGCATTGTGAGCGACTGAAAGTTATTCCCAAAACTAGTTTAGAACATGAAGACATATATATAAACATTAATGAGAAAGGCTTTGTTTCCATGTGAAAGGACTTATCAATATGATAAAGCACAAGGGCTGTCCTGAGAAAGGTCAAAATCAAATTAGATCAAAAACATTTGCTGCCAAGTACCTTGATTGGCTATTTGAATTGGTTGTAGCTGTTGCACGTTTCAGCATTGCCTGTGCAATTAAAGACTCTGCTTCCTCCAAATTTCGGATTTGGACCTACTTAACCAAGACTGGGAGTTAACAAATCATTATGAAAATCCAAAAACCAAGAAAGAGCACAAAACAAACCACAAACCTCTTTCAAGCCCCTGATGGTTGATTGCTGCACAGACAATTCAGAGCTTCCATCTCCAAGTAAGTCATAAGCTTTCTCTCCTTTCCCTCGTTCGGAGTATATTTCAAATATCGACAAGTGAAATGACCTGAAGAAAAAGTAAAGAGATGTTACGGAACAAGTAGCTCAAAGATTATAATCGATTCAGATGGAAGTTATAAAACTTTAGTGATTATTAGTAATTACTATGAATATACAGTACCTAAAAGATCCTCCTTGAGAGCTCTCATCGCTCTTGTTGAAAATTTGACGGAGTGTAAGAGGCACAATCCCAGGATCCTTGGGAGTTCCAAAGACTGTATGAGTCTTCCCGGAGCCGCTAGGTCCCAAAGCTGCCAACATTCCGCTTTTCCCTTTCATGAAATCCTCCAACAAAGGTTGAACCATTTTACCATACACATCGTTCTACAAGCAGAAAAACTCGTCAATTGGTAAGACCCATCTCAAAATTCGACCGAAAAGGAATCGAAATCGACATGAGATTTGATCGAACCTGGGAACAATCGGCCGGGAAAACGTGAGAGAACCCTTCGTAAACCTCAGTTTTGCTTCGTTTCAGCTCTTGCAGCGCTTGAGGCGGAGTCAGAGTGACTGAGTAAGCATCGTTGAGAGCAATACAAGCCTCTTCGCTCTTCTTCTTCTTCGCGTTCTCCGGATTCCTGTTCTCTTTCGCGGTGTTCTTCTTCGATGGGTTCTGGGGCCAGACATTTCTAGGTCTGCTCTTCGTGGTGGTAACCTTGGTGACGGTTTTCAAGGGTTTGATTCTCAGGAAAATCTTCAGACTCTCCGTAACCGAAGGTTTCGGCTCGGATTGCGGGATCTGGATGGAGAGAATCTCGTCGATCGGAAAAGCAGGAACGTCGTGGGTATTCGCGGAGGCGGAAGGTGGCTTAGCTGCAGTAGTAAACGGCGTTGCTCTAGCTCTCCTCGGAGGATTCCGTCGTACTGTTACAGTGGAAGGGCACGGCGGAGGACTGAAACTCCTCTGTAACTCCTCCATCGTCTCTTTGTCTCTCAATGGCGGAAAAAGGAGCGTTTCCAAGTTTTCAACTTTCAATTGAAAAATGTTCTCTCTTTTGAATCTTTTGACTTTTTTTACCAATTTTTGGAGCTGATTTGATTTCTGGTGCGAATTGATTTTTTTTGCTTTAATATTATTTTGTTGACAACAAGTGCGAATGGAATTAAATAAATCTTTACAGAACACATTTGAAGCCCATATAGTGGGCTTTTGCTTGAAGCCCATTATATTTGCGCAACAAATAAAATGGCCCAGTTTCTCCACACTGCCATCTTCGTCAATTTTTCTTTCTCCGCTCTCTCTTCTATCTCGCCTCCGCGTCGCTGCCGCGACACGTTTCTCTTTCTCTCTCATCTCCGGTTTCATAATTTCTCGGTGACATTTTCCTATCCCAAGAGAAGCGCGATTTCGTCCATTTCGTTGTCAACCTTCCAAGGCCAAGCCACTGCTTTTTTTTCCCAGTCTCGATTAAATTTGAAACCTTTTTCCACTTAATTTTACGATTTCGAGTTTAAAAAGGCGAAATTTTTCGAAATGGGTTTCTGACAAACGTTGAGCCCGAGCTCAATCCCTTCTTCCTCTCAGATTGTTTTCTTTCGCGCGGAGAATCAGCAGATGAATCGGGATTCACTTGTTTAGGAACGATCTTAGACTGCTGTAATTTGGCTTCCTCCGATACCTTTTTGCCTGTATACTGCCAAATTCACCGCCTTCCCAAAAACCGAAGGTATTGTTCGAAGCTATATTGTACCTTTACAATCTGTCTTGTAAACTAGTAATGTCCAGCTTTTGAGCATGTACAGATTTTCTCTGATCTGATGATTTTGTGTGGAAAAAACAGAGTTTGTGTAGGAGAATTAATGCATAGCTCATGTATATACAATGTTAGTTGGATGTGGATACAGAGCATAAAGCTTTGTCCATTTGAATTATGGATTTATTCTTCATCTTATGTTTTGTGTTCATTGCGTGTCTCCAATATTTCCTTTTCTTTTGTGTTTTTCCTTCCATTCCTAGATAAAGATGCGTCTTTTTGTGTTGTTAAAAAAAGGATAAAGATGGTTTATGGTTCTTTTCCTAATCTAATGGGGTTTTAGTCGTCCCTATATATAATATAAGTGTTCATAAAATAGCTTGTAAGGGCATGCTATTATTGAAGAAAGGCTTAGCTTCTTTTCATTGTCGTAGCAAGTTTCTTCCTGCTCGGTGCCGCTTTGTTCTGCCGAATTCGGTAACTACGCTTCTTTGTTTCTCTTGTGCTTGGTTGCTTTCCAAATCGATTTTTGATTTCTCCTTGGATTCTTTCTGTCTTCTCTCACCATCGAGATTGAGTTCCAGTGCTGTAAGGGTGCTGATCTATGAAAGTTAGTTGAGAGTATCCATTGTTAGATTTTATAAGGGTTTGAATTAGTTGTTTCACACAATAGTTTGTTTGATCCTGAAGGAATCTAAAGTCACTGTAAAGAAAGAAAAAGTGGTCATAGGAGAGATTGAGAAAAAGTTGTCTTTTGTATAGGCCAGTGTCAAACAATGGTTGTTTCACGGTGTCCAACTAAGCACGAGTATAAATTATACCGCGCTTCTTTGCTGAAAATAATTCATAAAAAAAGGAATAAAGAGTTTGTTCAGGTCCTCAGAGATATAAAAGCAGCTCCTAGGTAATGAATTTCTCTAACTCTTAATCTACTGTCTACACAAAGAAACTGACACACTTTGTGAGTTTATGTTCTCACGTGTTACTTACTTGTCTCTCTGTAGAGGCGCTGGACCTAGTCACTTAGCAAGGTTTGATGAAATCCTGAAAGATCACCCACAGCTGCTTCTTGGTTTCATTAGCTTCTTTACCAAGGCTATGATCGGATCAGACGTCCCTCCCGATCCTAAAAAGTTAGGCCCCTTTGAAACCATTCAAACCATGGTTGGCAAAAGAGTATCACCAATATCATTATCAACGGTGCTTACTATGGATGCTGCACTTGACTACATGGAGGATGTGCAAGAAGCATTCCATTATCAACCTGAAAAGTATGACCAGTTTATTGAGATATTGCTTACAGCTCATACGTACGTAATGAAGTTTATTATTGGTTTCGCTCCTAATTATATATATTCAACAAAACACACGCAAGTAATCTGATTTCTCATGTGTTACTGGTCTCTTTGCAGAGTTGATGAAGCAGAAAGTGCACTTGCAAGAGTGGAGGAGCTCATGATAGGTCACAGGAATCTGTTTCTGGATTTCAGTGTCATCCTTGCAGCTCAGCCTAAGATTACAATCCCTCCTAAGAAGAGAAGAAGACGTGCCAAGAGGTACTGATGGAGTGGCTTTGATGGTGAACAAACAAGCCTAAGGTATTTATTATATTGGTAATTAACTAATCTAAATGAAATACCATTCTGATCATTCCTCTTTTGCTAACTTATGACTTATGTATAATGAAATACAGAATACTTTGCAGGTCTTGGAGCCGTTATAACAAGTGTAGCCGTGATCGATGCAGCACAAGTCTATTATTTAGAACTACTCTTCTATTTTTATCTGTGAAATGTTTAAAAGTTTTCTACGCATTTTTTACTAGTTAAAATTATGATGAACTATGTTGGTTAAGAGTATATGTGAAATCTTCAAAAACCTTATCAATTAAAAAACAGAGTATGATTTTGTATAATGCCAGCACCCGGAGCTTGTATACGCAACGTAAGTCCAAGCTTTCCAAGCTTTTCAAAGTTATGATGTTTTGTGTTCATTGCGTGTCTCCAATACAGTATTTCCTTATCTTTTGTGTTTTTCCATGTCTATATAAAGATGGTTTTTAGTCGTCTCTCTCTGTCTCTATATATATAAGGGTTCATAAATAGTTTGTAAGGGCATGCTTCTCGGGTATTCTCGTAGACTAAAAGGATCTTTGCATTGCCGCTTTGTTTCGGTAACTATACTTGGTTTCTCTTCTGCTTAGTTGCTTTACAAATCGATATTTGACTTCTCCTTGGATTCTTTCTGTTTCTTGCCTGTCTTCTCACCATCGAGATTGAAATCCAGTGTTGTAAGGGTGTTGATCTATGAAAGTTAGTTGAGAGTATGACTGAATCCAGTGTTAGATTTTATTAGGGGTTCTATTAGTTTCACACAATAGTATGATCCTGAAGTCTTCTAAAGTCATTGTAAAGTGGTAACAAAAGCTGTCTTTCGTTTAGGCCAGTTTCAAGCAATGGTTGTTTTCACGCCAGTTTCAAACAAGCAGGATGGTCATTTATGCATGACTTCGTTGCGGAAAACACTTGCTGACAAAACCTATAAAGAGTTTCTCAAGGTCCTCAACGATTTCATAACCGGTGCTTACTATTTATGTTGCGCTTTAAATACATGTATCATGTGAAACAAGCATTCCGTGACGAACCAGCGAAATATGACCAGTTTCTCGAGATATTGCTTACCCCTCATACGTACGTAATCAAGTTTTTTTATTTTTGGTTTTGCTCTTAATTTAAACTCCTACAACAAACACACACACACACAAGCTAGTGATCTGATTTCTGATGTGTTACTGGTTTCTTTGTAGAGTTGATGATGCAGAAAGTGCACTTGCAAAAGTGGAGGAACTCATGATAGATCACATGGATCTGTTTTCTAAAATTCAGTGTCATCCTTGCAGCCGAGCCCAAGATAACAATCCCTCCGAGTGCGACTCCGAGTAAGTCGTAAGAAGAAAAGAAAACGTGCCAAAAGGTACTGACTGGACTGGCTTTGATGATGAAGCAAACGTAAGATTGCTCAAATGGTAAAAACTAATCCGAGTTTAAGGAATTTAGGAAGATTGGTCTCTGAATGTCAACAGAACCAAGAATCAAACAAGATTTAACTGATTAGTGTACTAAGTGTAATATGAAGAAGGTGAGTAAGAAGATGAAGAGGAAGTCTACGAAACTTGATTTGGTTTGTTTCGATCACACAATCTTTGAAAATGGAAATGACTCTTGATCTCTCTTTTTATTCACAAATTCAAAACACTGGGAAAATGAAGTTTTAAAAAATGTTTTTTTTTTGGTCCAAATTGTTAAAAGAAAGTTTGAGTTGACATTTTTTGTTTGTGTCATGTAAGTACTTGCCATTTTAGTCAAACCATTGACAACAAACAAACCATTAACAAAAAAAAGAAGTTGATTCGGTGCATGTAAACATGTCCGTTCTTCTCGATTGAACATGGTAGTTATGATTTGTTAATTCGTCTTAACCGGTTTGAGAGTAATTGAATTAGATCGGTTTGCAAAAAGAGACGAGAAACTACCAGTCTCTTCTCACTTCGCGAAAGAAATGGCGTTGTATTGTTGCGTTAGGCAAATATTCACAGATTCGTTTTCTCAATTAAAAAACGAAAACGAACTTGTGTGTGATAATCATTTATTTAATCACACACTGATCGCAGAGAAAACGCGGTTAGATACGTCAAGAGAGAAAGAGAGAGATCTGTTAGTATCATTTGGAATCATCACCAAATCTCGCGAATTTGTGGAAGATGAATAAAAAATGAAGGCGGAGAAGAGTCCGCTTCAGTCCGTGATGTCATGGATTCGCCGGCAACCGCCCAAGATAAAGGCTTTTCTCGGCGTGGTTTCGGCAACGGCGGTGCTCGTTTTCCTGAGGGTGATTGTCCATGAGCACGATAACCTTTTCATCGCTTCCGAGGCTGTCAATGCTCTGGGAAACTCTGTCCTTATCTACAAGCTCATCAAGGAGAAGACTTGCGCTGGTAATATAACGGAAATTGAATTTTCTGGATTACATTTGATTCTGATAAAGTTTGGATTTGGTATTTAATATAATTTGGGCTGTTCTTAGGATCGAGTTGACATGTTGGTCCATTTTGGTTATCAAGCAAGTTCTCTCTAAAATATGTTAATCTCTGGCTATCTGCTGAACTTTGATGGGTTTTTTTTTTTTTACACAGGAGTTAACAGCTTTGTTTCTGGCTGTGCGACTGTATTGTAGTTTTGTAGTGGAATTTGATCTTCACACGTTACTCGATTCTGGCTACTTTGGTGACGACTCTTTGGGTCATCTATGTGATCCGTTTCAGGCTTAGACCTACTTATATGGAGGACGAAGACAACTTTGGCATCTACTATGTTGTAAGTTAACCAAACTCTTTTCTTTCACTTTGTGTTTTTGAGTGTTAGACCTACTTATATGAAGAAGAGTGTCTGGAAGTTTGGTTATATTAGACTGCGATGATTCTCTTGCTCTCCCTAAAATGGTCATCAAGCAAGTTCTCTCTAGAATATGTTAATCTCTCTCTGGCTCTTGATTTCGATGATTCTCTTAATAGCAAATACATATCCATTTTTATTAGTCTACAAACTCGATAGTGAATGTTTATCCCTGGTCGTTTGATAACAGGCAAGAATTGATGCTTTCACTTACTACTAGGAAGCTGGAAGCGGATGCAACCAAATATGGCTCTGAAATTAGACATTGCTAAAGCTTTTGATAGAGTAGAACAGAGCTATGTTGAGTTCATGATGAAGATGATGAGATTTGCAGATTACTAGTGTTAATGTGGATCGTGAGGAAAGATCAACCCTCAGAGAGGTATCCCACAAGGTGATCCAGTCTCTCACCCCATCCATGTTACCAATTTTGCTAAATGAAAACATTAAACAGGGACAAAAATTCATGGTTTTAAAGCAATCAGAAACGGACCCGCGAATGGGTATCTAGCCACACTTGTTTTGCCAATAAATGGTTGTATTTTGCTCGATGCTTATTCTTCGCTTTCAGTAGATAATTAAACATGAATTTTCTTCCTGAACGAGCAAATTGGCTGTCTGATATTCAGGCTTTCTAAGTATTAGATGTCGTTTGTGCCTTTGTGGTGTGGTTGTATGCTTTGTTCACTCTCTATTGGCAAACTGTAGATATATTATAAACAGCAATGGTTAGTGGATTATTATTTAAAATCTGTTTGGCAAAGGGATTGAATGAAGTTAGCTTCAAGGCAATGGGAAGAGCTATCAACAAGAGTGTGACCATAGTTGAGCTGATTTAGCTTTGTATTTGGTTTGCTCGTTCAATATCACACAAGGGATTTGTATTGTATCTGAAAATGTTCTTGTAATCTGTATTGCAGAGAAGGATTCCTGATCTTCATCAGAACACTTCTATTGGATCCACAGACATAACTGATACGTGGGAACCTAAAGAGGAAGGCCTTCTTCCGTAAGTTGTTTTGGGACTCATATTACCATGTTGTGCTCTTAAATTTTGTTACCTCGACCTGTTATTTATTTCCTTTCGTTTTCTTTTCCTGAAGAATCGAGACAACAAGGCATGTGTCGATGATAACTATCACACTTTCAAAGGTGGAGCTGAACACATCCTCAGTTGGGTGAGTTTCTAGTGCTCTGTTTAGATATTTCAGGCTGTGACTCGAATAGTAGTATGACTACAGAGGTACATTGTCTCTAATTCTAAAACTCTCCTTCTATATGACGCTACAGGTACCAGTGTCCGATTCCCATTGAGATGGTGAAGCCATTAGCTGAGATTGATTACGAAGGACAAGGTATTTATTTTCTCTCACTTCTAATGAACGTTTTCAAGCTCCCTGCCTTGTGAACTTTTTTAAGTTTATACTCTATCTCTCTGCTGTAGATGGATCACCTAGAGGCAGGGGAAGAAGAGGCAGAGGAGGAAGGGGAAGGGGAGGAAGAGGTGGCAGAGGTAGGATTGCTTTAGCAATTTTCTTTCCAAAATCTTAGCTTCACCTGAGCTGTGGAGAAGGGTGGTTCCAACTTGTGGATTTGACTTGCTATTTCTTTTTTTCGGATACATCAGGAAATGGATATGTGAATGCTGCTGAGCATGAGGATGGAGGAATGGAGCCTGAGCGGTCATCTGGAAGAGGAAGAGGGCGTGGGAGAGGAGGAGTGCGCGGTGGTCGAGGAAGAGGAGGTTACAATGGTCCACCTGCACGGTACTATGAAGCTCAGCAAGATGGAGGAGACTATGGATACAACAATGCTCCTCCTCCACAGGATCGTGAGTATGGTGATGGAGGTGTGGAGCCTGAGAGGTCATATGGTAGAGGAAGAGGGCGTGGCAGAGGAGGAGGACGTGGTGGTCGTGGAAGAGGAGGTTACAATGGTCCCCCACCTCACTATGAAGCTCAACATGATGGAGGAGACTACGGATACAACAATGGTCCTCCTCAACATGATCATGGATATGATGCTCCTCCTCAGGGACGTGGTACGATCTTGTTTTAAAACACTTGTTTTTTTTTCAGCACAAATGTTGATACTTGGCATGAGTTTCTAAATGTGAAAACTTTTTTTGGAACAGGACGTGGCCGTGGAAGGGGAGGTCGTGGAAGAGGAGGAGGCCGTGGTGGATTCAACAGATCAAATGGACCACCGATTCAGGCAGCTGCTTAAGTGAGACCAGGGGTCGTTGACAATGGACTTTGTTCTTTTTCTTCATTCTCTAAGTTTGTCTCTGTCCTTCAAAAACAGTGTCGTAGCATAATTTCTCTATTTCATGTTGCCTTTAAGGTTATATATATGTTCATTTATTTATGGATGTTTGTCTTTGGATTTCTCAAGTTTTTCTTCTTCCTAACAGTTTTCCAGTTTTGTGATTGTTTTCAAGTATCGGAACGACAAGTTTTGTCACTGTTTTTGAGTATTGGAAAGACAAGTTATGATATTTGATGGAGTCTTCAAATTACACAAGTTCTTTGTTCCAGACTTCTTCACCACGAAGTTATACATAGATGAAATTATAGTAAGTAAAATCTAAAATAGAAAACGTTAATCAGATTTTTTCATTGGATAATCCCAGAAAAGAAGATGGTACGAAGATGACAGTTTTTTTTTTCCGAGTGATTTTACTTACAGGTTACGAATTCTCTGAACCAACTCCATGTCTCTCTGCATAATCGTCACCCTCTTGGCATGAACAGCGTACAGGTTTCATTCCTCAAACACTCCTACCAAGAAAGATTCTGCGGCTTCTTGAAGAGCCAACATGGCGCTGTGTTCGAACCTGAGTTGATGCTGTCTCTGCAGAAAATAAATTGGAAGTCGTTCATCATATATAGAAATAAGTTTGAAGTCAAATTCGATGATATGTTAATTGGGAAATTGAGATCTTACCCCATAGTTTTGCTTTTGGGCAAGTTCACGTACTAGTTTCTGAAAACGAAGTTTACCAATTAGCAAGTCGGTGCTCCTCTGGAATTTTCGAATTTCTCTGAAGAACAATCAAAACGAGGTCTAGATGAAAAAGCGCACTAAAACTCGAATCGCAACAATCCCATGATTATCACGAAGCTGCACAATCAAAATCGAAAATAATACCTCAGAGCCACGGTTCCAGGTCTAAACCGGCGCTTCTTCTTCTTCTTCTTCCCGGACGCCGCGTTCTCCTCCGGAGTAACAGCCGCGTTCTCCTCCGGATCACCTAACAACATCGAATCGAATCGCTTGCCTTTCGCTGCGTCGCTTTCTACCTACAGAAACAAAAATATCGATTGAAACAAAAATCATGTGCCGAGAAACAAAAACAAAAATCATTGAAAGCAATTTCAAGCTTAATCGACAAAAAAAAAAATTATGTGCCGAGAAACAAAAACAAAAAAGAGAAACTCAGATTCCGAGAGGAGAGGTAGATTCAGCAATTTCAAACGGAGTAAACTACTCACCGGGATCGGATCCACTTGAATTTCCTCAGGATTCACTTCAACTACCTACAGAAACAAAAATATTGGAGCTGAGAGAAACGATGAATAAACTATAACGCAAGAGGAAACGAGAAAAGAAAAATCACACCATGAACGTTCATTGGAAAAAATATGTGCCGAGAAACCATAAACAAAAAAGAGAAGACTCAGAAGTCTCAGATTCCGAGAGGAGAGGGAGATTCAGCAATTTCAAACGGAGTAAACTACTCACCGGGATCGGATTCACTTCAATTTCCTCAGGATTCACTTCAATTTCCCCAGGGACTACCTACAGAGACAAAAAATTTGGAGCTGAGAGAAACCATGAATAAACTATAACGCAAGAGGAAACGAGAAAAGCAAAATCACCATGAACGTTCACTGAAAAAATTATGTGCCGAGAAACCATAAACAAAAATCATCGGATTTAGAAAACGAGCGTTTCTCAGCGAAGTAAAGTGCTCTCACCATTTTCGCACGAGATTCAGTGGTCGCAGTAGAGAATGAGAGAGGGAGGGAGATGAGAAGAAAAATTTTCAAAACAGAGAAAATGGAGATGAACAGTGTAGGAGACTGCAGGAAATTTGGCCGGGACCCACTTTACTTGCGCGTTTTTAAAAAGATTCTTTCTTCAAGGCGGTTATAGCTTCCGTGTTATCAAGCTGTATGTATTTAAATTACGTAGGATAAAAGAGTACCAGTTTTGTTTAGTTACATCGATACTACAAACTCAATACTAGATGAAAACCTTTTTGTAATTTTACGTTCATTGTTAAAAGTTAAAAATCTAGAATCTGTTATCATTATAAGAAACTTTTTTATTAGTATTAGTCATCGAGAGGAACTTAAAAATGGAGAAGCTAGTACAGCAGCTAAAGCAGGAACGTCGTGCGTGTCCGCGGAGGCGGATGGTGGCTTAGCTGCAGTAGTGTGAAAACTGTAAACATATTCGGCCCAATTCGGCCCAATGTGTGTAAAATCCTACAACTGTAATCGATTAAGCCCAGTAAACCTCTCTTCACTTTGTCGACAAAAGTCAATTGGGGATTTTGCTCCCAAACTCTAAACCCTAAGTTTTGATTAACGACCAAAAAGTTAAAGCCACATCACACTAATTCGGGGTTTTCTACCAAGATCCTTGCCTTTTTGGAGTTAATTTGAGGTATTTACCAAACAATTTGTGTTTGTTTTGTTCGTTTCTGTTTTCAAGTGAAATCAACTTCAATTTTCACTTGTGTTTGTGGAATCGTTTAGTTTTTGACCTTTTTCTACAATGTGTTTGTTAGCGTGAGTGTGGTGTGTTCTTTTTTGGTTAGTCTTTATTAGCAGAAGTTTTCACAATGATAATTTGAGCTGTCTAGTAAGAGTCGAGAATGAGAACTTGTTAGACTTGTGAACTGTTAGGATGAGAACGAGAGAGACGTTAAAGTTATTTTTGAGTTGTGTTCTTGGCTTTTCACTCGTTTGATTTTGTGTATCTCGGTAGATCTTTAATCTTGACTATCTAAGGGTTGTTAGGGTTTAACTCTGTCTCGGTTCTACTGTCAAAAAAAGTGTTGCTTTGTCTCAAGTTCCTGGTTAATCCATTGTTACTTGGAGTTTTATTCGCATTAATTTGGTTTGTGTAAGCAACTGAAAGATATTGAGAGTTATGTTACTTCAATTTTGCGTTTTTATGTTAGGTTAACAAATCCAATGGAGAAATCTCGGGAAAGCGGTTTCTTGTTCTGTAATTTGTGTGGAACGATGCTGGTCTTGGAATCAGCCAAGTATGCAAAATGTCCACTATGCAAGACAACCCGAAATGCTAAAGGTATCCGCGAATTGGTTTTTAATTTTTTTTTTAATATGGGGACTCCAATGCTTATATGGACTCAAGTCGAACAGTTTTGCTTCTTGGTTTGGCTAAACTTATTGTTATTTGAATGTAATTGTTTTCCAGAAATCATTAGCAAGGAAATATCTTACACAGTATCTGCTGAGGTATGTTTATTTTCTTTTATTCAGCAGTGTGGATTCTAGTCTCGCTAGTTTTGCTGCATCATATAATCTCTATGGCTCTGTGTTATTCACAAGTTGTGTATAAGAAATCAAATTGAGTTTTGTTTCTGTTTCACGGAGTAGCAAATATATCTTAGTCCATTGTTATTAGGCGAATGACCACACACACACACGCACACAAAAGGACCAGTCCTGTTATGTAATTAGTTTCAAACCAAAGATATTATGACCACTCTTTTTCTAGGGTGTTTGCGCTCTCTTTTGGAGTAATTTAGAGAGCTGTGAACAACTCATGATCTTTGCTTTTGTTTGTAGGATATCAGAAGAGAACTAGGAATATCTCTGTTTGGTGAAAAAACGCAGGAAGAAGCTGAGCTACCAAAGGTTTGTTATGAGAAAACAGATACACAAAGCACAAGCAAAAACAGATTACGTTTTCTTCTCAATCTCTCTGACTTTTTTTTATTTATTTTGATGATTCGCTTTGCAGATCAAAAAGGCGTGCGAGAAATGCCAGCATCCTGAGCTTGTATACACAACCAGACAGGTAACTCCAACTCCAGGCCATTCAAAGTCTGTGTTTTCAAGTTCTTGGTCTTCTCTTCTTTCATTTTAAAGAAAGTAATCATCTTGAGTTTTCTTATTTGCAGACTAGATCGGCGGACGAAGGACAGACGACATACTATACTTGCCCTAATTGTGGACATAGATTCACAGAAGGTTGAAGGATCATTTTGTCGTCTCATCTCCAGCATGTCTCAGATTCATGGAGATACAAGTTTTGTTTTTTGCATGATATTAAAAACCCGATATTTCTTCATTGTTAGAACCTTTTTGTATTATTGTTCATCTGATTATAAGGAACTTAGAAACATAAAAATGAAAAATCTACTACGGAACTTATTTTGTGCCAAGCGAAGCTTATTTGAAATGTCACGGCTCAGTAAATCACACACAATATATCATTAAAAAAGAACTAGAGCAACTTGAGCCATAAATCATTAAATCATTTAAAATGCTAGCAACTTGTGTTTCAACTTTCAAGTTCTTGTCTTCTCTTTCAATTTCAAGAAAATATTCATCTTGAGTTTACGTATTTGCATACAAGATCAGCGGACGAAGGACAAACTGATTGTGGACATTCACATAAGGTTTAAAAACTAGATATTTATTGTCATCGTTAGAACCATTTTGTACTGTGCGTTCATTAATGATTAAATGTCACAAGTTTTAACAACTCAAGATTGAATATCATTATCAGAAACTCCATTTAATTAGTCTTAGAGAAGAAACATAAGACAGCTATTTTGTGTCAAGAGAGCCTATATAAAAAAGTCATGACATAGCACAAGATCACACAAAAAGCAGAGAACCTAGGCATAGGCAAACTATTCGGCAGTGGAGATAATAACACGATCGCTGGACCGGGATAACCATCAAATCCTAGAGGAAAATCACTCTGGTTGTTAGACGACAACATATGTAGTACAAAATATGTAATTCTGGAACGCTGCATTGATATTTTTTCCATTTGACTAGTCAAATGTTGTACAAAATATGTAGACTATCTAAGTGAAAAGTCACTGACGAAATAAGTGCACAAATCTAAAGGGAAATTTACATACAAGAGAGCCACCATTTCAGGCCCTAAAATAGTAGCAACACTTGTTATTAACTTATTATTCTGAATTTGGAATTAAAACTTCAATTCAACATTATTGTAATCTCAATAAATCGGAATGACAAGAAAAAAAAACTCAATATTCTAACAGTTATATGAACATATAAAGCCGTGCCTAGGCATTTTCATGTCATAGGCTAAATATATATATATATATATAATCTTTTAAAATAGAAATTCAAGAAAAAAATCACAAAATAAATGATCTAATTACGATATGATTACTATATAAAATGTTACAAAAAATTGTTGTAAGAAAATTATATCTTATCTTAAATTTTAATGTACCTAAAAACTGCCAATGAAAATATTAGATTAACAAAATAATTGAGAAAAATTGAAATCATGTAAAGAAAATGAGCATATATACATAATATGAATTCATATATCAATATTGATTAGCCTTGATATATAAGTGAGGGAAATGAGCTAAGAATACAATCTTAACTAAAACAAAAGCATTTGGAGATCGTGGAGTTTGAGAAGAGAATCATAAAATTGTGGGTTTTTAAAGATCGTGGAAAAAGAATAGGTCGTCGGTTTGAGATGGAAAATGAGATAAAAAATGATTAATCATTTTCAAAAAAGAAAAGTATTAATTAGAAATATTGGAATACCAAATGTCGTTCATATAAGCCATGAGAAGGTTTGTACTTTATTAGTATAAGATATTTATTGTCATCGTTAGAACCATTTCGTATTGTACGTTCATTAATGATTAAATATCACAAGTTTTAACAACGCAAGATTCGATCTCATCATCAGAAACTCCATTTTATTAGTCTTAGAGAAGAAACATAAGGCAGCTATTTTGTGCCAAGAAAGTCTATATAAAAAAGTCATGGCATAGCACAAGATCACACAAAAAGTAGAGAACCTAGGCATAGACAAACTATTCGGCGGTGGAGATAATAACATGATCGCTGGACCGGGATAACCATCAAATCCTAGAGGAAAATCACTTTGGTTGTTAGACGACAACATATGTAGTACATAATATGTAATTCAGGAACGCTGCATTGATATTTTTTCCTTTTGACTAGTGCAAATTCTATACAAAATATGTAGACTATCTAAGTGAAAAGTCATTGACGAAATAAATGTACAAATCTAAAGGAAATTTTACATACAGGAGAGCCACCATTCCAGGCCCTAAAATGGTAGCAACACTTGTTATTATTCTAAATTTGGAATTAAAACTTCAATTCAACATTATTAATCTCAATAAATCGGAATGATAAGAGGAAAAAACTCAATATTTTAACAGTTATATTAACATATAAAGCCGTGCCTAGACATTTTCATGTCATAGACTAAATATATATATAATCTTTTAAAATAGAAATTCAAGAAAAAAATCACAAAATAAATGATCTAGTTACGATATGATTACTATATAAAATGTTACAAAAAGTTGTTATAAGAAAATTATATCTTATCTTAAATTTTAATGTACCTAAAAACTGCCAATGAAAATATTATATTAAAAAAATAATTGAGAAAAATTGAAATCATGTAAAGAAAATGAGCATATATACACAATATGAATTCATATATCAATATTGATTAGCCTTGATATATTAGTGAGGGAAATGAGCTAAGAATACAATTTTAACTAAAACAAAAGCATTTGGAGATTGTAGAGTTTGAGAAGAGAATCAGAGAATTGTGGGTTTTTAAAGATCGTGGAAAAAGAATAGATCGTCGGTTTGAGATGGAAAATGAGATAAAAAAAATGATTAATCATTTTCAAAAAAGAAAAGTATTAATTAGAAATATTGGAATACCAAATGTCGTTCATATAAGCCATGAGAAGATTTGTACTTTATTAGTATAAGATATTTATTGTCATCGTTAGAACCATTTCGTATTGTTCGTTCATTAATGATTAAATATCACAAGTTTTAACAACGCAAGATTCGATCTCATCATCAGAAACTCCATTTTATTAGTCTTAGAGAAGAAACATAAAGCAGCTATTTTGTGCCAAGAGAGCCTATATAAAAAAGTCATGGCATAGCACAAGATCACACAAAAAGCAGAGAACCTAGGCATAGGCAAACTATTCGGCAGTGGAGATAATAACACGATCGCTGGACCGGGATAACCATCAAATCCTAGAGGAAAATCACTTTGGTTGTTAGACGACAACATATGTAGTACAAAATATGTAATTCTGGAACGCAGCATTGATATTTTTTCCATTTGACTAGTCAAATGCTGTACAAAATATGTAGACTATCTAAGTGAAAAGTCACTGACGAAATAAATGCACAAATCTAAAAGGAAATTTACATACAAGAGAGCCACCATTTCAGGCCCTAAAATGGTAGCAACACTTGTTATTAACTTATTATTCTAAATTTGGAATTAAAACTTCAATTCAACATTATTGTAATCTCAATAAATCGGAATGACAAGAGAAAAAAACTCAATATTCTAACAGTTATATGAACATATAAAACCATGCCTAGGCATTTTCATGTCATAGGCTAAATATATATATATATATATAATCTTTTAAAATAGAAATTCAAGAAAAAAATCACAAAATAAATGATCTAATTACGATATGATTACTATATAAAATGTTACAAAAAATTGTTGTAAGAAAATTATATCTTATCTTAAATTTTAATGTACCTAAAAACTGCCAATGAAAATATTAGATTAACAAAATAATTGAGAAAAATTGAAATCATGTAAAGAAAATGAGCATATATACATAATATGAATTCATATATCAATATTGATTAGCATATAAGTGAGGGAAATGAGCTAAGAATACAATCTTAACTAAAACAAAAGCATTTGGAGATCGTGGAGTTTGAGAAGAGAATCAGAGAATTGTTGGTTTTTAAAGATCGTGGAAAAAGAATAGGTCGTCGGTTTGAAATGGAAAATGAGATAAAAAAAAATGATTAATCATTTTCAAAAAAGAAAAGTATTAATTAGAAATATTGGAATACCAAATGTCGTTCATATAAGTCATGAGAAGATTTGTACTTTATTAGTATAAGATATTTATTGTCATCGTTAGAACCATTTCGTATTATTCGTTCATTAATGATTAAATATCACAAGTTTTAACAACGCAAGATTCGATCTCATCATCAGAAACTCCATTTTATTAGTCTTAGAGAAGAAACATAAGGCAGCTATTTTGTGCCAAGAGAGCCTATATAAAAAAAGTCATGGCATAGCACAAAATCACACAAAAAGCAGAGAACCTAGGCATAGACAAACTATTCGGCGGTGGAGATAATAACATGATCGCTGGACCGGGATAACCATCAAATCCTAGAGGAAAATCACTCTGGTTGTTAGACGACAACATATGTAGTAATAATATGTAATTCTGGAATGCTGCATTGATATTTTTTCCATTTGACTAGTGCAAATTCTGTACAAAATATGTAGACTATCTAAGTGAAAAGTTATTGACGAAATAAGTGCACAAATCTAAAGGAAAATTTACATACATGAGAGCCACCATTCCAGGCCCTAAAATGGTAGCAACACTTGTTATTATTCTAAATTTGGAATTAAAACTTCAATTCAACATTATTGTAATCTCAATAAATCGGAATGATAGGAGAAAAAAACTCAATATTTTAACAGTTATATTAACATATAAAGCCGTGTCTAGACATTTTCATATCATAGACTAAATATATATATAATCTTTANTTGTTTTCCAGAAATCATTAGCAAGGAAATATCTTACACAGTATCTGCTGAGGTATGTTTATTTTCTTTTATTCAGCAGTGTGGATTCTAGTCTCGCTAGTTTTGCTGCATCATATAATCTCTATGGCTCTGTGTTATTCACAAGTTGTGTATAAGAAATCAAATTGAGTTTTGTTTCTGTTTCACGGAGTAGCAAATATATCTTAGTCCATTGTTATTAGGCGAATGACCACACACACACACGCACACAAAAGGACCAGTCCTGTTATGTAATTAGTTTCAAACCAAAGATATTATGACCACTCTTTTTCTAGGGTGTTTGCGCTCTCTTTTGGAGTAATTTAGAGAGCTGTGAACAACTCATGATCTTTGCTTTTGTTTGTAGGATATCAGAAGAGAACTAGGAATATCTCTGTTTGGTGAAAAAACGCAGGAAGAAGCTGAGCTACCAAAGGTTTGTTATGAGAAAACAGATACACAAAGCACAAGCAAAAACAGATTACGTTTTCTTCTCAATCTCTCTGACTTTTTTTTATTTATTTTGATGATTCGCTTTGCAGATCAAAAAGGCGTGCGAGAAATGCCAGCATCCTGAGCTTGTATACACAACCAGACAGGTAACTCCAACTCCAGGCCATTCAAAGTCTGTGTTTTCAAGTTCTTGGTCTTCTCTTCTTTCATTTTAAAGAAAGTAATCATCTTGAGTTTTCTTATTTGCAGACTAGATCGGCGGACGAAGGACAGACGACATACTATACTTGCCCTAATTGTGGACATAGATTCACAGAAGGTTGAAGGATCATTTTGTCGTCTCATCTCCAGCATGTCTCAGATTCATGGAGATACAAGTTTTGTTTTTTGCATGATATTAAAAACCCGATATTTCTTCATTGTTAGAACCTTTTTGTATTATTGTTCATCTGATTATAAGGAACTTAGAAACATAAAAATGAAAAATCTACTACGGAACTTATTTTGTGCCAAGCGAAGCTTATTTGAAATGTCACGGCTCAGTAAATCACACACAATATATCATTAAAAAAGAACTAGAGCAACTTGAGCCATAAATCATTAAATCATTTAAAATGCTAGCAACTTGTGTTTCAACTTTCAAGTTCTTGTCTTCTCTTTCAATTTCAAGAAAATATTCATCTTGAGTTTACGTATTTGCATACAAGATCAGCGGACGAAGGACAAACTGATTGTGGACATTCACATAAGGTTTAAAAACTAGATATTTATTGTCATCGTTAGAACCATTTTGTACTGTGCGTTCATTAATGATTAAATGTCACAAGTTTTAACAACTCAAGATTGAATATCATTATCAGAAACTCCATTTAATTAGTCTTAGAGAAGAAACATAAGACAGCTATTTTGTGTCAAGAGAGCCTATATAAAAAAGTCATGACATAGCACAAGATCACACAAAAAGCAGAGAACCTAGGCATAGGCAAACTATTCGGCAGTGGAGATAATAACACGATCGCTGGACCGGGATAACCATCAAATCCTAGAGGAAAATCACTCTGGTTGTTAGACGACAACATATGTAGTACAAAATATGTAATTCTGGAACGCTGCATTGATATTTTTTCCATTTGACTAGTCAAATGTTGTACAAAATATGTAGACTATCTAAGTGAAAAGTCACTGACGAAATAAGTGCACAAATCTAAAGGGAAATTTACATACAAGAGAGCCACCATTTCAGGCCCTAAAATAGTAGCAACACTTGTTATTAACTTATTATTCTGAATTTGGAATTAAAACTTCAATTCAACATTATTGTAATCTCAATAAATCGGAATGACAAGAAAAAAAAACTCAATATTCTAACAGTTATATGAACATATAAAGCCGTGCCTAGGCATTTTCATGTCATAGGCTAAATATATATATATATATATATAATCTTTTAAAATAGAAATTCAAGAAAAAAATCACAAAATAAATGATCTAATTACGATATGATTACTATATAAAATGTTACAAAAAATTGTTGTAAGAAAATTATATCTTATCTTAAATTTTAATGTACCTAAAAACTGCCAATGAAAATATTAGATTAACAAAATAATTGAGAAAAATTGAAATCATGTAAAGAAAATGAGCATATATACATAATATGAATTCATATATCAATATTGATTAGCCTTGATATATAAGTGAGGGAAATGAGCTAAGAATACAATCTTAACTAAAACAAAAGCATTTGGAGATCGTGGAGTTTGAGAAGAGAATCATAAAATTGTGGGTTTTTAAAGATCGTGGAAAAAGAATAGGTCGTCGGTTTGAGATGGAAAATGAGATAAAAAATGATTAATCATTTTCAAAAAAGAAAAGTATTAATTAGAAATATTGGAATACCAAATGTCGTTCATATAAGCCATGAGAAGGTTTGTACTTTATTAGTATAAGATATTTATTGTCATCGTTAGAACCATTTCGTATTGTACGTTCATTAATGATTAAATATCACAAGTTTTAACAACGCAAGATTCGATCTCATCATCAGAAACTCCATTTTATTAGTCTTAGAGAAGAAACATAAGGCAGCTATTTTGTGCCAAGAAAGTCTATATAAAAAAGTCATGGCATAGCACAAGATCACACAAAAAGTAGAGAACCTAGGCATAGACAAACTATTCGGCGGTGGAGATAATAACATGATCGCTGGACCGGGATAACCATCAAATCCTAGAGGAAAATCACTTTGGTTGTTAGACGACAACATATGTAGTACATAATATGTAATTCAGGAACGCTGCATTGATATTTTTTCCTTTTGACTAGTGCAAATTCTATACAAAATATGTAGACTATCTAAGTGAAAAGTCATTGACGAAATAAATGTACAAATCTAAAGGAAATTTTACATACAGGAGAGCCACCATTCCAGGCCCTAAAATGGTAGCAACACTTGTTATTATTCTAAATTTGGAATTAAAACTTCAATTCAACATTATTAATCTCAATAAATCGGAATGATAAGAGGAAAAAACTCAATATTTTAACAGTTATATTAACATATAAAGCCGTGCCTAGACATTTTCATGTCATAGACTAAATATATATATAATCTTTTAAAATAGAAATTCAAGAAAAAAATCACAAAATAAATGATCTAGTTACGATATGATTACTATATAAAATGTTACAAAAAGTTGTTATAAGAAAATTATATCTTATCTTAAATTTTAATGTACCTAAAAACTGCCAATGAAAATATTATATTAAAAAAATAATTGAGAAAAATTGAAATCATGTAAAGAAAATGAGCATATATACACAATATGAATTCATATATCAATATTGATTAGCCTTGATATATTAGTGAGGGAAATGAGCTAAGAATACAATTTTAACTAAAACAAAAGCATTTGGAGATTGTAGAGTTTGAGAAGAGAATCAGAGAATTGTGGGTTTTTAAAGATCGTGGAAAAAGAATAGATCGTCGGTTTGAGATGGAAAATGAGATAAAAAAAATGATTAATCATTTTCAAAAAAGAAAAGTATTAATTAGAAATATTGGAATACCAAATGTCGTTCATATAAGCCATGAGAAGATTTGTACTTTATTAGTATAAGATATTTATTGTCATCGTTAGAACCATTTCGTATTGTTCGTTCATTAATGATTAAATATCACAAGTTTTAACAACGCAAGATTCGATCTCATCATCAGAAACTCCATTTTATTAGTCTTAGAGAAGAAACATAAAGCAGCTATTTTGTGCCAAGAGAGCCTATATAAAAAAGTCATGGCATAGCACAAGATCACACAAAAAGCAGAGAACCTAGGCATAGGCAAACTATTCGGCAGTGGAGATAATAACACGATCGCTGGACCGGGATAACCATCAAATCCTAGAGGAAAATCACTTTGGTTGTTAGACGACAACATATGTAGTACAAAATATGTAATTCTGGAACGCAGCATTGATATTTTTTCCATTTGACTAGTCAAATGCTGTACAAAATATGTAGACTATCTAAGTGAAAAGTCACTGACGAAATAAATGCACAAATCTAAAAGGAAATTTACATACAAGAGAGCCACCATTTCAGGCCCTAAAATGGTAGCAACACTTGTTATTAACTTATTATTCTAAATTTGGAATTAAAACTTCAATTCAACATTATTGTAATCTCAATAAATCGGAATGACAAGAGAAAAAAACTCAATATTCTAACAGTTATATGAACATATAAAACCATGCCTAGGCATTTTCATGTCATAGGCTAAATATATATATATATATATAATCTTTTAAAATAGAAATTCAAGAAAAAAATCACAAAATAAATGATCTAATTACGATATGATTACTATATAAAATGTTACAAAAAATTGTTGTAAGAAAATTATATCTTATCTTAAATTTTAATGTACCTAAAAACTGCCAATGAAAATATTAGATTAACAAAATAATTGAGAAAAATTGAAATCATGTAAAGAAAATGAGCATATATACATAATATGAATTCATATATCAATATTGATTAGCATATAAGTGAGGGAAATGAGCTAAGAATACAATCTTAACTAAAACAAAAGCATTTGGAGATCGTGGAGTTTGAGAAGAGAATCAGAGAATTGTTGGTTTTTAAAGATCGTGGAAAAAGAATAGGTCGTCGGTTTGAAATGGAAAATGAGATAAAAAAAAATGATTAATCATTTTCAAAAAAGAAAAGTATTAATTAGAAATATTGGAATACCAAATGTCGTTCATATAAGTCATGAGAAGATTTGTACTTTATTAGTATAAGATATTTATTGTCATCGTTAGAACCATTTCGTATTATTCGTTCATTAATGATTAAATATCACAAGTTTTAACAACGCAAGATTCGATCTCATCATCAGAAACTCCATTTTATTAGTCTTAGAGAAGAAACATAAGGCAGCTATTTTGTGCCAAGAGAGCCTATATAAAAAAAGTCATGGCATAGCACAAAATCACACAAAAAGCAGAGAACCTAGGCATAGACAAACTATTCGGCGGTGGAGATAATAACATGATCGCTGGACCGGGATAACCATCAAATCCTAGAGGAAAATCACTCTGGTTGTTAGACGACAACATATGTAGTAATAATATGTAATTCTGGAATGCTGCATTGATATTTTTTCCATTTGACTAGTGCAAATTCTGTACAAAATATGTAGACTATCTAAGTGAAAAGTTATTGACGAAATAAGTGCACAAATCTAAAGGAAAATTTACATACATGAGAGCCACCATTCCAGGCCCTAAAATGGTAGCAACACTTGTTATTATTCTAAATTTGGAATTAAAACTTCAATTCAACATTATTGTAATCTCAATAAATCGGAATGATAGGAGAAAAAAACTCAATATTTTAACAGTTATATTAACATATAAAGCCGTGTCTAGACATTTTCATATCATAGACTAAATATATATATAATCTTTTAAAATAGAAATTCAAGAAAAAAATCACAAAATAAATGATCTAGTTACGATATGATTACTATATAAAATGTTACAAAAAGTTGTTATAAGAAAATTATATCTTATCTTAAATTTTAATGTACCTAAAAATGCCAATGAAAATATTATATTAAAAAAATAATTGAGAAAAATTGAAATCATGTAAAGAAAATGAGCATATATATACAATATGAATTCATATATCAATATTGATTAGCCTTGATATATTAGTGAAGGAAATGAGCTAAGAATACAATTTTAATTAAAACAAAAGCATTTAGAGATCGTAGAGTTTGAGAAGAGAATCAGAGAAATATGGGTTTTTAAAGATCGTGGAAAAAGAATAGATCGTCGATTTGAGATGAAAAATGAGATAAAAAAAATGATTAATTATTTTCAAAAAAGAAAAATATTAATTAAAAATATTGGAATACCAAATGTTATTTATAGAAACTATGAGAAGATTTGTACTTTATTAGTATAAGATATGTTTTGATTGTGGACATTTATATTAAGTTGAAAACTCGATATTTATTGTCATCGTTAGAACTATTTCGTATTGTTCCGTATTATTCGTTCATTAATGATTAAATGTCACAAGTTTTAACAACGCAAGATCTCATCATCAAAAACTCTATTTTATTAGTCTTAGAGAAGAAACATAAGACAGTTATTTTATGCCAAGAGTCTATATAAAAATGTCATGACATAGTACAAGATCACATACAAAAAGCAGAGAGTACTATCAATTTAAAAAAACAAGACAGACCCAAACCCAGTAAAGTATTCAAAAGCCCATAGCTTATTTTATTTGTCAACATTACGTAGTAGCACCACCTTTCATCGGAGCTGTAAAACTCGCCGGATGTTATCGGTGGCTACGTCTTTTTTTTTCGGCAGCTTCTGCGTTGCAACAAAGCTTGTTGATCGAGAACCTAGGCATAGGCAAACTACACGGCGGTGGAGATAATAACATGATCGCTGGACCGGGATAACCATCAAATCCTAGAGGAAAATCACTCTGGTTGTTAGACCGGATCGGAACTGAACCGGTTCTAGTCAGTTTCGGTACAGATTCAACAAACTCTACTTTCTTCTTTGTTTCAGAAATTGTTGTCGTCTGAGCGTAAGGGAGAGTAGAGTTGTTGACACGTGGGCGAGAGCTGTTGACACGTTGCAGAGGAAGAGTTGAGCTGTTGACACGTGGAAGAGGTAGAAGAGGAGGCTGCGAGTAATTAGGAGGCGGCAGATTTGCTGGCGAAGATCCCCAAGAAGACGGTGGATTCATCGGTAGAGCCAAACTTCCACCGGATCTTGAAAGCGAACCACGAGAGCTCCTTCTTCTAGGGTTCTTGAATTGTCTCAAACCTGCCGAAACCTGTTTACCCGGTGAACGTTGCACTGATATTGTTTCCATTTGATTAAAGTTAAGAAAATTTCTTTAATCTAGTTTCAAGAAGAGAGTGTTTTATGAAGATATTGAAGAGAGTATAACAAGGGAAAACAAAGAATGATGTATATGCTTTTCAGTGGCGATGACGATCTACCAAATATTACGATCGAAACATGCTAATATTCCAATATTCCAACATGCTAATATTCTTAAATAAAAAGATAAATCTAAAACATGCTAATATTCCAACTTCCACAAGACCATAAGAAGATCCGAAGGAATCACGATCGTTAGTTTGATGAAAAGGTAACTCTCTCTAAGAACCCTAGCCTCGAGAGGACAGATGTTGCCAGTCACAGGCACGGCTGATTCTTTTTATAATGGAAACCACCAATAATATTGCGTATTATTTATTTTAATATACAAATTCGTTTTTGTAAAGTATTTATTTTTGTAGACTAAAATGTCGCAGTATATTAATGTTATAGCTTCAAGTTTACATTCCATTTGCGCCATACAGCACAAGTCCCGGGAAACACTGTAGGACGGTCACCGCCGATTGAAGCTAGACCGTTGGATCATGAAAAAAGTATTACTATAGCCGTTCAGAGAATCCGAGCCGTCTAACACGGGATCTGTTTTTAGCATTTAGGTAGATCCTGACCATACACGTCTGTTTCATCGGTGGCTATCTTTCGTGATGACCTCACGTGGAGGGAAAGTGTGGGTCCTAGTCAATTCTGTCGCCGTAGATCTTGCTGACATAGCATCGCACCAGCCATTCATCGATGTCATGAGATTTCATAGAATAGGATTGGTCGGTCTTCATGCATCGTTTGCATGTGCCTGCCATAAAAAACAATACGAAGGAAGGAAGAATATCGAAAATGTCGATAGGTATTTTATATGGTGGACAATAGAGAGCGTCGAGGAAATCACTACGATATTGTCTATTGCGTAAAGATCAATTTTTAAAATAACTAGTATATAATATTTAATTGAAATTTCAAATGATAGGTATTAAGCTATCATATGAACGATTGAGCCTATAAGCTGATCGAGTAAACTAATTAATAAAACTACGTACGTACTGCGATTTGCGAATCAAAACATTGTCATTTTCTTAATGCTACCATTTGAACGATTGAGCCAATAAGCACTACCGAATCTTTAACGGAGGAGTTGTTTTCGGAAAAGAGATAACTCGCAGCTGACATATAACATTACAGAATTACTAAGTCTAAACAAATCATTTAACATTAATCTATTTTGGTCTAATAGTCGAGAATTCGTCGATTTGTCATATGGACCAAATTTCCACAGTTTGATTTTAATTATGATTGGTAAGTACTAAATGGAAACATTTTGTCCACAAACTTTAAGGATTGGTCTCGATGTCAATTCAAAACCTTACGATTATCAGAAGAAATACAGAAAAATTATCATACTCATCACAAATGCATAAACCATAATCATTTCTCTATAGCACTCAATTATGGTAACATCAAAATAACTTATTTTAGCCGGCTGAATTAAGTTATAAGCAAGTGGATGGTACTAATTAATTCTCTTTTAAAATAGATGTAGTCTATTTTTATGTCGATGTGCTTTGGAACACCAAAAATATATAAAATGAATGGCATAGGTAAGTGAGATTATATATACAAATATTATACTAAGGGTGGTTGCTCGATAGGGTTATTATATACTAACGTTGGATGATCGCAGCTTTTTTTTTTTACCAGTTTTGGGATGATCATGGTTAGGTGTGGTCACTCTTTTCTTTTCATCATTTTGTCTCATATATTGATATTTAATACATTACAGCGTGTTTGGTAGAAATTTGGTTCTATTTGTTGACTTTCATTTTTCAACCAAAGAAAATCAAAATTTAACGCAACTTTCACCTAAGTCCAACATTTTTTTTTTTTTACGGCAAAATACAATTTCATTTATATAAAAGATTTTACATGGTCTGAATGTAAACATTCCGATAGCCACTGAGGCGGATACAAACGTGAACTAAAAAAAGTTCCATTACTTGGAAGTTTCGAAGCTAAACAATGTGCTAAAGAGTTATTCTCCCTTCTAGTAAAAGCAAAAAGTCCAACATAAGCTGTAATATATACACGCAAAAGATACATGCTACATATGAATATCATATACTCTTATAAACTAAGATCAAGACTCCCGAACTATACAAATACATGTGTTGCCGGATTCACCATAAAAGTTGGATCACAAACTGATATTTATATACAATATTTCCGCTGCAAAATGATCGTATGGAATTAAATTTGGCATTGCAACAAAAAATAATAATATTACATTAATTAATTAAATATTTCTCAATGCGAAGCAAAAGGATCGTTAAAAAAGCAGATCTAGAAAACAAAACAAGGGCATTGGAGTATAAAATAGTGAAGTACGTGGCCTTAGATATGGTCGGTGCACAAAGTAAGAATAATCATAATGGACCACGTCACCTGCTAAAGGTGACTCCAAAAGTGGCAATGCACACTGTCGTGGTAACTTCACATAAACCCTAGCTAGCAGCTACGTATATAATGTGCCAATGTGGGGAATGTATTGAAATTTGGTGTCGAATGGGATCGAAGGGAAATAATATGAAAATCAACTAAGTAATCCTATATATGTAAAAATAATATCAGGTATGGTACAGCACGGTCAATTGATGACGTATTAAACACGAATGAATTGAAACAAATTGTTTTGTTTTTGTTGTCAACGAAACAGACTTACAAAATTCCTTCAGTACTTGGGTCGAGCAAACAAAATTCAATCTCTGTAAAACTAAAATAATACGCAACTTGGCATACGATACATCTAATTACTAGTATAATATATTTTTATTACCAAGAAATTTCATACAATACAATATAATTCCATTTTTGGTCAAGAGTCGAGACTAGCATATAATTTCCAAGATCCAGTGATTCGAAAGAGAAGGCCTTCCCATCAATAGGCTGTTTATTCCGGGCATATATAGCTAAGGCTTATAACAATATCATTTAAAAAACTTAATTAATGAATCTTATAAAAGATAGTGGGCAGCAAGAATAAAAAGGTGACATTACACATCATAAAAGAAGATTGACCAGTAAGCAAAAAAAGCCGAACGAGAAGTCGACGCAAAGGTTTGATGAAATAAAATAAAATTGTGATCCCTTGGCCCTTGCTATGAAGTCCTTTATTTATCGATAGTATTGAAACAAATACAAAAATCGCAGCCAAACAAATGGACGTTACATAGAGAATCCGTATATAACGCTCTTGAAAAATTCCTATTCGAAACCGTTTTTTCAGAAAACAAAAAAAAAGTCTCTCTGATCAATTTTTTCTCAAGTGAATTAAAAAGGGAGTGAAATAGTAACGTGACTATGTTTTTCGAACATTTTCTCTTTCTCTAACGTAAATTCATGGGAAGATCGATCAATATTAATTGATATTTAATATCCCCCGAGTTAATGCGATCTCCTCTTTTCTGGATGTAATTCTTGTTTCGTGGTTCTTAGAAAGGAGAAATACGAAGAGTTTGTGTGTTTATAGGAGATTTTGATTGGATGAGAAATGGGATTATTCAGCACAATATTTGGTGTGATTGGTTTCGGATTCGGAACAACGATCGGAATCGTTATCGGTTACTACTTGTTCATCTATTTCCAGTCTACTGATGTTCAGGCATTTCTTCTCAAATCTCTTATTCAACCGTCCATTTTTGTTTGTTAGATGCATTTTCCATTTTGATTCCGTATATGTTTTCTCGTTAGAATGCGACAAATCGTGGTTATATATATATTTTTCCGACAATTCCTTTAGTGGTCTTAATAATTTGATAATTTTGCATGCAGGAAATCTTACGATCACTTTCTTGTTTTTTGTGTGAATTGATCGATATTGTCTGAAATCAACATAGAGAAGATAAACGAATCCAGTCGTTTATGTAATGATTAATATTTTCCAAATCGTTAGGAATTTTGAAACTGAGCTCCCTGAGTTAGTTGAAATGTTCTTCTTGCTTAGCCAAAGTTTATTGGTTAATGTGTTACTATTTTTTCTTACAATTTTTATTCAGGCTCCAGAGATCAAGCCATTGATGGAATTAGATTCAGAAACTTTAGCAAAATTGTTTCCTGAGATACCTTTGTGGGTGAAAAATCCAGATTTTGATCGTGTATGTTTCTCTACTTACTCTTAACTAAATAATACTCTACTAGAATATTAAAATAAATTTCATAACAAAGACTCTCTCACTCTCTGTTCTCTTTGAAGATTGACTGGCTTAACAAGCTCGTTGGCCATATGTGGCCTTATATAGACAAGGTAATTAATAGTCTTCTTCTTCTTAGCTTCATGTTTTTGTGTTTGATCTTCTATAAAAGATGTTTCTTTCTAACGTTTTCAGGCGGTTTCTAATATGGCCAAATCAATTGCAAAACCAATCATTGCTGAACAAATTCCAAACTACAAAATCGATTCAGTTGAATTTGAAATGCTCACTTTGGGTTCATTACCTCCAACTTTCCAAGGTTTTCTTCTCCTTGTGTTTCACACTCAAATTAAGATAAATATTCTTGTTATTCGGTTGAGAACAAAAAAGAGTGTTTTTGATTCTCATTTCTCAGCACTATCATTTTGCAGGAATGAAAGTTTATGCAACTGATGACAAAGAAATTATCATGGAGTTGTCAATGAAGTGGGCAGGGAACCCTAATATACTTGTTGCTGCCAAAGCATTTGGGTTAAAAGCCACTGTTCAGGTAACTTTTTTTTATCTCTGAATTACCAAGAAAATAAGTAACAACTTTTTCTGATTACTTGTAAGGCATGTGTCAATATCAGGTGGTTGATTTGCTAGTTTATGCCACTCCAAGGATTACTCTGAAGCCATTGGTCCCATCTTTCCCCTGTTTTGCCAATATATTTGTCTCTCTAATGGACAAGGTATACAATTCTAAAAGGAGAAATGTTTTTTTTTTGAATAATACATAGAGATTCTAAAATATGATTTTTTCTTCAGCCACAAGTAGATTTTGGACTGAAGTTACTAGGTGCAGATGTAATGGCCATTCCTGGGTTATACCGATTTGTCCAGGTACGATGTTTTGTAAGCTGTTTTTTTTTTTTCTTCTCACCCAAGCAAACATCTCTGTCATTAAAAACTATTTCTTGGCTTGGCTTCTTATTATAGGAACTCATTAAAGATCAGGTCGCAAACATGTACTTGTGGCCAAAGACTTTGAATGTACAGTTAATGGATCCTTCTAAGTAAGTTTTTTTTCTTCTTCTCTAAAGCATCACTTCTACTACTATTTCAGAATTTGCTAATTGTCGAATTTCATGACATGCAGAGCAATGAAGAAACCTGTTGGATTGCTTGCAGTGAAAGTAATCAAGGCAATAAAGCTTAAAAAGAAAGATCTTCTCGGTGGATCAGACCCTTATGTGAAGTTAACACTCTCTGGAGAAAAATTACCTGGTAAGAAGACAGCTGTTAAACACAGCAATCTAAATCCTGAGTGGAACGAAGAATTCGATTTAGTTGTCAAAGAACCAGAGACCCAAGAACTTCAGCTTATTGTTTATGATTGGGAACAGGTAACAACAATAACTCTTTAGTGATTTAGCTTGCATTCTGAAACTTGCCTTTTTGGGATCGGATACTCACATTAGACTGTGTTCTTGATCAATCATCAGGTTGGGAAACATGATAAGATAGGAATGAATGTGATTCAACTTAAAGACCTTACTCCAGAGGAGCCAAAACTCATGACACTTGAGCTCTTGAAATCCATGGAACCAAACGAGCCCGTTAGCGAGAAATCGCGTGGACAGCTTGTCGTTGAGGTCGAATATAAACCATTTAAAGAAGATGATATTCCAGACAATTTAGATGATCCAAATTCAGTAGAGAAAGCACCAGAAGGAACACCTTCTGGTGGTGGATTGCTTGTGGTTATTGTTCATGAAGCTGAAGATTTAGAAGGCAAATATCACACAAACCCTTCTGTTCGTTTGCTCTTCAAAGGAGAAGAGCGTAAAACAAAGGTACAAAAAAAAAATTATCTTTTACTCAAATAAAAAACTTGCTTTACATTATAAAGAAAGACATTAAAACACTTTGGATTTGATTTGCAGCGTGTGAAGAAGAACAGAGAGCCAAGATGGGATGAAGATTTTCAGTTTCCATTAGATGAGCCTCCCATAAATGATAAGCTTCATGTTGAAGTCATAAGTACTTCTTCACGATTGCTTCATCCTAAGGTAGAAACAACATTCTATCTCTTTGAATTCAGATCTTTGAGCAAGAACAAGAATTTTGATTATTGAGTGGTTCTCTTTTTATCAGGAACCTCTTGGGTACGTTGTGATAAATCTTGGTGATGTTGTGAGTAATCGAAGAATCAACGAAAAGTATCATCTGATTGATTCCAAGAATGGTCGGATTCAGATCGAGCTTCAGTGGAGAACTTCTTCATGATTCAAAAGGGTTCGTGTTTTTTATCTTTCTTTTGTTTCGAAATCCTTGCACTGTACGTAAAATTTGTTGCTATGGCTTGCATTTAAGCATAATGGGCCTATACAGATGGGTTTTATGGGCATTAGTGGGCCAATTACTTTAATTATTAATCTTTTGCATTTAATTTATCTCTTTTGACATGTTAATTCTGGATTACTTTTGTAGCTTACTGAAACAGGGGATGTAGTTGAAATTTGCAAAATTTTCTATTTATGATTTTAAATGAGTTGGTGTTAGTTGATACTATAATTATGGAGTATTGTTTATAACTAAAATGAAATGGAGTTAGTTAATAAAGTGGGATGGTTAATGGTTGGTGAATAGTTGGTAGGGACGAAGAAGGGGAAAATGTTAGCTTAACTTGTTTGATTTAATGATTTGGTTAACTCATACCTTCCTCCACTTTCTCTTTCATTTTTCTTTATTTAGTTCCGCAGTTACTTCCTCTAATCTCTCTTACTCGTGGAAAGGGCTTGTATATGTTCTGTATTTGTAGTTGTTTACACATGAATCTCGTAAATAAAGAATACGACCATATGAGTGGTTAAAGGATAAAAAAGTTCTAAAATGTCAATGTTTGTACACATTACTACGGTCTACGGCCATTGGATAAAACAGTTAACTGAAAATAACTTTGATTAAATTTTCAAAGAGAGATGAATTGAAAGGGCTAAAAATAAAACATGATGCTAATTATAGTACTACTAATTATGATTCATTGATAATGTAACAACGAAGCTACCGTCTGGTGTGATTATGATTCGGTGATGGTACATTCAGTGACGTGGTAGATTGTTATTGGTTGGCCTAGTTTGAGTTGGGCACACGTCCCATTGGACTCTGGTCGCCTATGTTTCGTAATCCGAAGGAATCGATAAGAAAAATAGAACATAATTTGATATTTACCTTTTTTTAGGAATCGTGCCGTAACACTAAGTGGCACGTTCTTGATGAGAGTTGCCAAATCCAATGATCATTAGAGATTTCATTCATGTCTCTCCGTGTTTTGCTATACTATAAAGTCTCGTATTACATTCAATTTGATTTTTTTTTGGGGTAATACTATAAAGTCTCGTATAATCATTTGAATGTACTCGGTGTTAACTTATATGAATATCCAATACGGGAATAAATAATCGATAACCAAACAAAGTTTATTATCTAGTTTTGAAGCGTTAGAATGTTTACCAAGCACACGATGATATAGATTTCAATGAATAATGATTAAAATAAGATAACAACTTTAGTTGTTGTTTCTGTGAATGTGACAAACTTCTAGAAATATATAAAAGATAAAATATGATGGCCAACAAACATAATTTGCTTGAGTTTTATGAAGCTAGTTAATATATTTTCTTACCATATATCGGTAGATGAAAGGTACCAAGAGGATTAGACGGATAAACAACTTCTTATACCAACATTGATTAGTTTGAGTTTAAATAATCAAACCCCAATAGTTTCAATTTGATTTTATTAAACCTACGAATATGTGGAAAAATGCCATGAGTTGGGAAATTCAATAAATAAAGCTTGTAGTAAATATATTCCGATAATACACTCACAAACATTCATGACATTTGTACTTACCTTTGTTTTAAAAACACCGATAGAAGAAGATCCTCATCATTCAAAATTCAAATCCGTGACATAAAAGAAGAAGAGAGGATTCAAAATTTGAAAAAGCAAAACATAATAAAATACGTGGTGAAAATATAAAGTATATAATTTAAAATATATAAAAGGGGTGGTGAGTGTATATGATAAGGAGGTGTTTGGTGGTGTAGCCTTAGCTGTCAAATAGTTGTATAGTATTAACTCTGTCTTTAGTCCTCCAGGCTCATCTCTCAAAGTCACCAATCAACCGCCAAAAAAAAAAGCATTTCCTCTTCCTTCTTCTCATCTCTCATCGATTACGCTTTGCCATTTTCGAATTTTGTTCCGTTCTCTGCTATTTGCTGCTTTCCAGATTCACAAGCTCGCGAGTTCGAATTTGGTTATTGAGCTAGAAGTAGATTTGCTTCTAAGGAATGTCGATGATTTGAAGAAGAAGACACAAAAGGGATTTAGAGAGTTTTTTTCCGAATCTGACGGCGGAGATGAGCGCGTCGAGGTTTATAAAGTGTGTGACCGTCGGTGATGGTGCCGTCGGAAAAACCTGCATGCTGATTTCTTACACGAGCAACACTTTCCCCACAGTAATTTCACTTTTCTTCTCTTTCCGATTTCTATTTTTGTTTGTGAAGAGCTTCCTGGAAAATGAATTTTGGAGATATCATCTTAAATCTGCTAGTAATCTCTACAATCGACCATGTTCTGTAACCAATATCATGAGTAATTTCATCTGACACAATCAAATTTGCTGTAGACTGTAATTTCAGCCATCTCATACATCTATCTCATGATCTGTTTTCTAGAAATTGATCAATTTGAATTTGTTATATAGTGTTCTTATTTGATTTCACATTTCGATGATATAAGGCATAGCATTGATCTTGTAGCTAATGTAAATCTGCGACTTGTGTATTGTTTTTTTTCAGGATTACGTTCCAACTGTTTTCGACAACTTCAGTGCTAATGTGGTTGTAGATGGGAACACAGTCAATCTTGGATTGTGGGACACAGCCGGTAAATCTTTCGTTTCCAACATTGGAATTTGGAATGATCTTTTGTGTTTCAGCTTTTGACTTGGTTTGCTTTTGGGGATTGCAAACAGGTCAAGAAGACTACAACAGGTTACGACCTCTGAGTTACCGTGGCGCTGATGTTTTCATTCTTGCTTTCTCTCTGATCAGCAAGGCTAGCTACGAGAATATTGCCAAGAAGGTTTGTCTCTTTTGATAATACTCCAATATAACTTGTGATGAGTGGCTTAACACTCATTATGTTCCTCTCTCAGTGGATTCCTGAGCTCAGGCATTATGCTCCGGGTGTTCCCATTATCCTCGTTGGAACAAAACTCGGTAATCAAACTCTTTCCTCAGTGAACTGATCATGCTATTGTTTTGACTGAAATATCTTTGGTTATGTTCCCGCAAATCTTGTGACGCCAACAAAGTTTTTAAGTTTTCTTATGAAATTTGTATTTGTAGACCTTCGAGATGACAAGCAATTCTTCATAGATCATCCTGGTGCAGTGCCAATTACTACAAACCAGGTATCAAGTCTTTTATATGGTTAGTCTGGCCATGATTGCAAGTTCTTGATGATATATGGTCTAATGGTGTTATGGATGATGCAGGGAGAGGAACTGAGGAAAGTGATTGGCTCTGCCGTCTACATCGAATGTAGTTCAAAGACGCAACAGGTAGGCATAAAAAATAGCTTTGTCCTGGTTGTTAATGTTTACATGCATTCTCGTTAAGAGGCTGAACTTGTTTCGTTTTTTTTCTCTTTTTGGGGTTTCTACAGAATGTGAAGGCAGTGTTTGACGCAGCTATCAAAGTTGTGCTTCAGCCACCGAAGCAGAAGAAGAAGAAAAAGAACAAGAACCGTTGCTCGTTCTTGTGATAAGAAGAATCTTTTAAGAATAGGTAAACAACTAAAAAAGAAGAAGAAGAAGATGATTTGGACTTATTTGATTCGTCCCCATTTCTAGTATGATAATTTCGACGTGTTGGAGACATTTCGGGTAGCTTCTTGTATAGTTGCTAAAACAAGCTTTGTTGTTGTGTCTTTTACTCTTTGCTGGTGAGTCTTTTCAGTTCAGTGTGTTCTACTCTTCCTATGTAGACTAATCGCTCTCTCTCCCCCTTCTCTTTTGTTCGTGATGAGGATCATTTTGTATTGACATATGAATCTAATTACTATTGCAACTTTTTATTTTTTACGTTTTAGCTATTGTTTTCTGCTTTCACCCCAAATTGTATATGCAAGTGATCCGATTGAGAGACATCATGAGCCTAATGATAACAAGTCAACTTTTATTAAACCCAAAACTTCTTTCACCGTATTGTTTTCGAGCATATTCAAGAAGCAGTCCAACAAAAGAAACCTACTGTGGAAGGGTTGTGACTTGTGAGAGGAAGAGAGACAGCTTATGAAATTTTGAAAAAATAATGTTTTCATTAGTGTCAAAAAGTACAGAGATCATTCAAGTATTATAGATCACTGTGATTGCGATTGCTGCAACCAGTGGAACTGTACAGGGCTAAGGGCTAAGGCTAAGCTAAAGAAAGAACAAAACAATCTGGTGACCTAGAACGGGACTGTGTATGGTAATGAAAAAATGCCAACCTCAGACAAAAACCGAGCCCTAGGCAACAAGTAATCTCCTGAATTCTGCAAGCTCATGGTCCTTTCTTCATCTTTACTGATAGAAGCTTTGGAATAAGCATTCTCTTGCCGCCTTGTACCAAAAAGCCAATCATCGCAACTGCTGTTATCTTCCTCCATCGAAATGCAGGGAGGAGGAACCAATTCATCAAACAATGAATTGTACCGAGACTCTTTGCTAGTCTTATGTTTCTTCCGCTTCGTTGATTCAGAAGGGACTACAAACTTTTCACTCTCAAGAGAAGTTGAGAGCAGCTTCTCAACATGACATGAGACAGCACTTGGTATTTCGCTGGGTCTCTCAGCCTGGGAAGTGGAGCAAGCACGATCCTCCTGAGGAACAGGCACAACCTCAGCTTCTTTTGGTTTCTTGAAAACAAACCGTATCCGTAGAGGATTACCAGCTACAGGTTTAGCTGCATATGAATAAAAGTATCCAGTTTCAGTACACGAGACCCAATACAAGAATCAACATTTGTATGGATCAAAGAAAGAACACAAACCTTTGATATTGCTCTCAACGGCAGGAGAAGCTTCCCTTCTTCTCTTGTTACTGTTCTGGCTACCATCAGACAAGTACCCAACTTGTTGATGCTGCTCGTGCTCATCTGTCAAACAACTCTTCTCAAGCTGTTCAGATTCAT